GCGGGGAATCCATTTCTCGACGGCTGGTATGCGGACCCGGACACGGAGATCTACAATGGAGAGTATTGGGTGTTTCCCACCTACTCGGACGTCTACGAGAAGCAGACGTTTCTCGATGCCTTCTCCAGCCCAGATCTCGTCAATTGGACAAAGCACCCCAAGATCCTGACAACCGAGACGGTGAAATGGGCGCACAAGGCCATCTGGGCTCCCGCCCCCATCTCCAGGAACGGGAAGTACTACCTGTACTTCGGCGCCAACGACATCCTCATCGACGAGATTGAGCAAGGCCTGGTGGGAGGCATCGGGGTCGGCGTCGCAGACCAGCCGGAGGGTCCCTACGTCGATGCCATCGGGAAGCCTCTCATCGGGGAATTCCACAACGGCGCGCAGCCGATCGATCAGGACGTCTTCATCGACGACGACGGCCAGGCGTACATCTACTACGGCGGGCACTCGCACGCCAACGTGGCCAAGCTCAACGAGGACATGATCTCCCTCGGCACCTTCTCCGACGGCACCACCTTCAAGGAGATCACGCCCGAGAACTACGTCGAAGGGTCGCAGATGATCAAGCGCAACGGCGTGTACTACTTCATGTGGTCCGAAGGGGGATGGACCGGGCCAGATTATGCTGTTTCGTACGCTATGTCCGACTCGCCGCTTGGGCCGTTTGAGCGCCGCGACAAGATCCTCGAGCAGGACAGCGCGGTGGCGAGAGGGAGCGGCCATCACGGTGTCATCCGCGTCCCCGGCACGGAGATCTATTACATTGTGTACCATCGACGCCCGCTCAGCGAGACGGACGGTAATCACCGTGTGACGTGCTATGACAGGATGTATTTCGAGGACGATGGGACGATCCGGAAGGTCAAGATGCTGGTCAAGGACAACTTTGCGGATGGCAAGATGATTGCCTGGAAGACATCGGGGGCCGACGAGTGGTCGGTGGAAGACCAGAGGCTCAAGGGCACTTCTGGGGTTGAGCCTGCGTATGCTTTCCTGGATACGAACTTCACGGACCTGATTTTCGACGCGACAGTATCTTCTGCCGATTATTCCACCTCAGTCCCAGCTTTGATCTTCCGGGCATCAAGCATGGAGGCAAACAGCACTCATTACTGGGCGAAGGTGCGCTCCGATCGCGTCGAGTTTGGCATCGCGACAAATGGCGAGGAGGAAGTCATCCATCGTGAAGAGACAATTGTTGGAAGCGGGGAGCATAAACTGAGCATCAAAGCTTTGGGCACTGAAGTTTCGATTTTCGTCGACGATGTTTCTAGCCCGCTCCTCGTCGCCAACGACACACGCCTAGCAACCGGCGCGACAGGCGTATCTGTAGCTGGGGAAGCGTTCTTTAGCAGTATCTCAGTCGCTCGTGCAAAATAATTCCGAATCATTAGACGCTTGGTTGATCAAGGTGAGGGACGGAAACTTCGGAGTTCAAAAGCCTACCCTGTACTCTAGCTGTCCCCAAAATCTTTGGTCTAGATGCTCTGTTCAGACGTAATGCAGTTGCAGAAAATGTCGAGTAGCCCGAGATATCATGTAGTACTTTTCCGTAATTTCCATTTTCTTCTAAGCGAAATATGATGAGCTCAGCCTATCAGTGAACACCACAAATGTGTATGTTTGTATTGACATGCACAAAGCTGAAGTTGCATCAAGGAGAAATGCGGCAAGTAGGCGGCCGCACTGAGCGGCCTAGCGCCTCACTGTAATCAACGGTTTAGTGCAGCGTTTCAGCGCAGCCAGACCACCAACTTAGTGCAGATGCTTACCCAAAGTCCCCAAACTTTGCTGTTCCTCGTGCTGGCTTCACAACTCCAAACCAATTGATATATAAACCTCAACATGACCACCGTCTACCACATACGACCATACCCAGAAGAGAACTCGGGATCCCGTCCGCTCTCCCATAGATAAGCTTCTGAGGGGTGGATTAGTAGTTGGGTCGGTGACGACCAGCGAATACCCGCTGTTGTATGTTTTTTTATTGTTATTTTGGGGTGGGGTCTCTAGTAGCTATATGATCCCCACGATGGCTTCAACTGTCACATACGACCATACCCACTCGAAAACACGCGATCCCGTCCGCTCTCGCCTAGTTAAACGAGTGAGGGGCGGATTAGTAGTTGGGTCGGTGACGACCAGCGAATACCTGCTGTTGTATGTTCCTTTTTGCCAATTTTTACTACCTACATACAAATACTTTAATACCAGAGTAACAGTACCTATATCGTAGTCCCTGCCTTCGTAGTGTTATTTCTCTTACTAATCAAAGCCAAGACATAAAGTCGCAGAGATGATATTAAGCGGCAGGTGTTTAAAGATATGTGAGAACTAAGTTCACCTTTGGAAAGGATTTTCCTGTCTTAAGGCCATCCCCACATGCTCAGTGTTACATCCAAGACTATCTTCAGAGAGGGGCGTGTAAAATACATTAGATGGTTTCGAGCATTGATATATTAACTATTGCAACCTTTTACACGAGATGCAACATTGCCGGTGGCTACACGCGCAGAACCATCGAAAATACGAATCTAAAGTTACGTATGATTTTGATGGCATTGTGCCATTACATAGTTTAAAGACAAGCAAAATCTGCACTTGGTTTCAACTGCTCCCTCATCTGACCCCATCGAACCCTTGTTTTCATACTGATGTTGCCAGTTACCATGTATCAACAGGAAGCTCCTACCCTCACCGCCCTTTCCCGCTTGATCACGGACTCGGCGAACACTCTCCAGCACCTCCTCACTCAGTACAACCTCCCACCTCCTTCCGTCTCCCCTACTGGGCGCAAGGACTGGTCCGATGCCGCAGCCCACCCGGACATTCTCTCTGCTCGTTCTGACCTCATTGACCGCACCCAAGCACTTCTCAACCTCGTCCGCGGACCCGTCGAGACCCTAGCTGCCTACTCAGGCTCCATGCTCTGCGAGATCGATGTCCTGCGCACTCTCAACCTCCTCAAGGTCCACGAGGCCGTACCGCTAGACGGAAGCCTCAGCATCTCGGACCTTGCCGCAAAGATTGGCGTTAGGGACGAGCGACCCTTGGTCAAGCAGCTGCGATTCGCATACCTCATGGGTCTGTTCCGGCAGACCGACGATGGACAAGTGGCACACACAGCACTCAGTGCTGCGCTCCCAGAATCGAGTGCTTGGATCGAGTGGAGAACAGGCAAACTGGCAAGCCAGGGAGCACACGAAGTAGCAAAGGCCATTCTCCTCCCCGTTGAGCAAGAACAGGTGGTGGCCCCATGCGCCCTCGCGGACCCGCTTGGAAAGAACAGGGCGTTCTGGGTGCAGATTGAGGACGTCAAAGAGGCAGCTCCCGAGCAAGAGACAGGAACGGAGTTGTACAGCAGAGCGATGAGGGGGCTCCTGCTACACCAGAACTCTGGCGGGGGCGCAGCAACCTATCTCCAAGGACTTGACTGGGATTCCCTCAAGGGAGGAACAATTGTGGATGTGGGTGGTGGCAATGGGCACGTTGCAGTAGAGCTTGCGCCTTGGGTGAATGGGATGTCGTTTGTTGTCCAGGATCGGCCGCAGAACGAGAAACCCGCGAGAGAATTGATTGAGGCTCACAGGCTTGCTGATCGTATCCAGTTCCAGGCTCATGACTTCCTCACGCCGCAGCCTGAGCTTCCAGATGGTAAGGTCCCCGCTGCGTATCTCCTTGTTCGGGTGCTACAGGACTGGCCAGATGCAGGGTGCATTCGTATCCTGAAGCCCCTGGTGCGCGGAATGGAGAAGTATAGGGCAAAGACATGGATAATCGGCAGGCTCTTACCCGACGGGTTTGGTGAGATGTCCGTCCACGAGGAGAAGAATCTCCGCAACATGGATCTTCTAGGATTCAATCTGCATGGAGGTGGTGATAGAAGCGAGAGGGAATTGAAGAGTCTTTTGGGAATGGTGGACACAAAACTTAGGATCAACAAGATCTCCAGGCCACCTCAGTCGGTACTTTCGTTTGTCGAGGTTGTATTGGATGTTTAAGGCAGGGAATCCTCCATCCCACACATGACCGTTCTTTATATCTAAATTGACTGTAATACACTGCCAGGCCTATCTTTGGGACGGTAGTGATTTATAATATTGCGTCATCAGGGTCTTTTGGTTGCAACTAAATCTATTCGTTTCATTACTGGGGTCGTGTACGAAGTAGATTTGCATGTTTCTACATTAGCCCAAGGCTGAGGTAATGAAAAAAGAGGGGGCTGAAAAAGCTGTTTATATATAGTAAGCAGTAATAACTAGAATTTTAATATTATTTACAATATATATATATATATATATATATTATACTTTAGTAGAGTTAAGTATCTAGACCTTAGATCTTCTTACTAACTCTAGTTACTGAGGCATTGAGATATCTGCGTGTACTTTGCAGCCCCTGTTTTTTGATAACGTCTTGGTTAAACCTAGCACCTCGCTTAGACGGCAATATGTTCTCCGCTTATATAATAATCTTACTTGGTGCAACAGGAAGGAAGTAGGTTTTGTGGCAGGGGCAGGACTGATTTATAATCTGAAATGAAAAGAAAAAGGTGTGTGGATGGCAGGGCGTGTCAATTGGATGAAGCTCCTCCTATCTTCGCAGAAGCCTAGGATGGAAGGTTCCTAGTCTTACAGGGCTCTCGAACAGTTCGTGACCGAAACATGAGGGATTGTCATCCCCGGCAACGAAAAAGACGCAAAGTTACTCCATGGATAGCAAACCAAGGTATCGCAGTTAATGTAACCTTGGCTCATAGGCATGACCGTATGACTGACTGTAAATCAAGAGGCCTATTGACTTCCTCTACCAGTCAGAGTATAATGAAATATGAGCTTTGTTAAGATATTTAAACTAGACACAGAAGATATTGGCCCATTAAACATCTCTTTTTATAACAATCAACACCACACTCGAATGCACCGAGTCTCCTCTGAATAACACGTATATTTTGCACGTTTTTGACCAAACCCCCTACTACATTTATAAACATGGCAAGCGATGGACAAATCCCCAATGCATCGCTCGAGACCCTCAGCTTTGCGGCCTTGGAGCAAAAGGATGCCAAGGAAATCAGCAAGCTGGCAGCAGCAAGTACCTCTGCCGGATTTTTCTACCTAGATTTTAAGGGTAGCAAGGTGGATAAGCTGCCCGAAATGAAGAGGGACCTGCTCAAAGTCATGGAAAGTTACTTTAATCAGCCTCTTGATGTCAAGCTTCAGGACTACAAGGGGCATTCAAAGAGAGGGCAAGTGTAACTGTACTGTGAGTTATCTGAGTATACTAACAACTTTACGTTTGAAGATTTGTGAGAAAAGGGACATTCTCGGGTGTTGATCGCGAGAAACAGGAAGAATCATTTGAGCACCTCGCTGTAAGTTACAAAGAGAATTACCTACATTTCTTCTCCCCGCTGTCTAACACGACTCAGATTGGATCGTACGACTTGAAAATGAACGTGGCAGGTGCACTCCCAGCCCTTTTCCACGAAGCTGGCAAGCTTGTCCCAGAATATATAGCTGCCTGCGAGCATGTTGTTAGAAGCCTCCTCTCCTGTTACGGTTATATCCTAAATATGTCCGAATCAGACCTGCAGAAGCACCACGACCAAAGTGTCGAGTCAGAAACTATTCTTGCTCTGCTAAGCTACCCAGGCAGACTTACTCACCAGAAGCATACTGACCTGGGCTCTCTGACTGTTTTGTTCAGTGACCAGTGGGGTCTACAGGTCTTTTCGCCCAGTACCAGTGGCTGGGAGTGGGTTGAGCCACGGGAGGAGCAGGCTGTTATCAATGTTGGCGACGGGCTGCGTTTCATTTCGGGCAAGAAACTCTTCTCGTCCGTGCACCGTGTAGTTAGAGAGGGACGAGCTAGTAGTGAGGGCCACAGGTACTCGATTGCTTATTTGCTTCGTCCGGCAGACAACACCACTTTTCTAGATGCCGAAGGGGTTGAGACTACGGCGAAGGAATTGGCAGAGTCGAAGTATAACAGTTATGCGGCCAGCCATGCCGAGCAGGATAAATCATCAGTACTTATGGGCGGAATGGAGAAGACGTTTGGTGTACGTGTGTAAAGTATGAACTCACGTTAGGTGGAGGAAGATGAGTCGGAGGAGAAATCAATATCTGTTTCCTGACTGCTTTAAGGAGTGTTTATTGTCATGCAATGGGATTCCATTACTTCAACAGCTATTCATGTGTACTTGATAATAAAAAACTCGAAGAACAGAGTCTCCATTCTCCAGCCCTCTTGGGTCATGAGTCAATCCTAAGCGAGGTCCAATACTGCTAAATTGAATCACATCCTCGCAACCGACTTATTCATCACCAGGCGTGAGGCAGCAACCAAAACAGTCGAGGCCAAGGCCGTCCCGCCAGCATAGAACACCGCCGGCCGGAACGGCACAATCGACGTCGCCTTGTCTGCTCCCATGACATCAATCAGGGCGCCGGCAATAGGATTTCCCACCAAAAGACCGGGGCACCATCCTGCAAGCGCAATACTAATGCCATCTGCCGCACGGTCTTTTCCTAGCAATCTACTTACAGCCGTTGGCATCGTAACAAAGAAGGCGCCATTGGCGATGCCGTTGGTGATAGCGAACACTAATAGGGTAGCGAGGTCGTAAGAGACGGACCAGACTGCAAAAAAAGTAATTGCATTCAGTGCCATAGTCAAGAACACCATATTCATGGTCCCGAGCTTGTCGCAGGCAATGCCCGATATAAGACGGCCAATGGCCATGCAAGCATTGAAGCACGCGACTACGCCTGTCGAAGTCGTATTATCGAACCCTAGGGCGTTGGTCACGTAAGGGAGGAAGAAGGGCGGTATATACAAGGCAAATATGCCAACGGCGCCTGCTCCGAAAATGAATGAGAAGGGCAGCTCCTTGAAGATGGAGAGTTGGAAATGGTAGTTTCGCGGAGCTGTTGTTTGGCGCTCCTTGATCAGGAAGGCGACAGGAATACCCGTGCCTAGTGATGCCAGTCCGAAAATTCTGAATGTCCAGGCAATACCGACTTTTTCAGTCAGCATACCGGCCGCAATGGCCATAACGGTAGCACCTATTCCCCCGCCGAGCTTGATGATGCCATTGGCCGTCCCAAGTCTGTTGTCGAACCACTGAACAGGTAAAATATTAGACATGGCATATATGCAGCCACCTCCTAATCCATACAGAACGCCACTGGCGATGAATAAACCCCCCACGCTGTGGACTGCCTCTGCGCTCACGATATTACCCACGCCATAGATGGTAATACCAAGTAGGGCAGTGTTACGAGCACCGATGCGACGCGCAAGCATCGCAGCAGGAACACCTAGGCCGGTTCCCAAAGCGAGGCCAAGGGATCCCACAAAGGACACGGTGCTTGAGGAGGAGTGCTGCAGTGTCTGTTTGAGGAGCGCGACTTGGAGTATGCCCCATGACCCAGTCCAGGCGTTGAGCCAGAAGGTGTGTACGAAGCAGGCGAAGACGATAGCCCAGCCATATCCACCATCTGGGAGGGGATCCGGGTTTGGAACGGGAGAGCTTGGGTGTTCCCCAGACACATGAGCGTCATCTCTCTGGTTTGCTTCGTTGCCACTGGCCACAGCACTGAGCTCCACTTGAGCCTGGCCAGTAAAGCTCCTTGGATTAGGAGTGTTTCCCCTCCTTAACAACGGACGCATTGCTACCACTTGCGCAGTTGCCGAAATACTCAATGCCTCTATGTCAGAATATAGAATGAGTAGGTGGGATCCTGGTCATAGGTTCAATGTTGTTTAGGAAGAATGATTTGGGTATGGTAACTCCTAAACCCCGCCCCCACCTTTCGCGGGGGCCTGATAATCTACATAAGACTGATAAATGTGGAGACGGTAACGTGCCATGGTAGGTACTTACAACAAGGTATTCGGAAATGTAACACCGGCGGTTGGTTTGCAGGCGTATAAATCCTATAAATCCTTTGATTTTAGGGACACACCCTTGTACTTTTACACTTTGGACCTGTACATACAGCACACCAAGGTCAAGAGTGATATGAGCAATCCGGGCGGGGGCGGGACGTTGATAGCCATTGTCGTGTGTAGATCTTGACCAGGTTACATAGTGTTTGGTGACTGATAGCAATATTATTATATAGGATAGATTTCGCCACGTAGATAGACTCACAGATGGCAGGACCAAACCTACTCGATTTTATACTACCAATTCCTTAATTCTGGGCTTTCAAGTATATCAAAATGGCAATTATCCCAACCCTTTCACCCTGGGTTCTCCTGGTTGCTGGGATCGCCTTCTTGCCTGTCTACTATATTATCATTCCCTATTTCTGGACCTACCGTCACCTAAGAGGCATTCCAGCTCCCTTCCCGGCTCAATTCACAAGTCTTTGGCTTCTGTCCATCAGCCGTGAAAACAAACGATCCGAGTTCATTGATGCCCTGCACCGTCGCCTTGGCCCTGTCGTCCGTATTCAGCCAAACCATGTGAGTATTGCCGATGATAAGGCAATCAACCTTGTTTATGGCCATGGTAGCGGCTCACTGAAATCGTATGTAATGCATCAAGACTCTTTCTGGATCGTAGACCTATTGTGACTGATATACTCCTAGGGCTTGGTATGATACTTTCCGGTCAATCGGCTACAGCGTGTTCAATACACGGGACCGAGCTCAGCATTCTCATAAAAGACGCATCGTAGCCCACACATTCGCTCCCAAGTCCGTCCGTCAAATGGAGCCCTGTTTCGCCCAGAATCTCAGGTTTTTGATTGAAAAGTGGGATAGCATTGCTAAGGATGGACCCAAGAGAGACGGCTATGCCGACCTTGACTGCAGACGTTGGATCAAGTAAGTCGACGGAATGATTATCATAAAACACCTTTCTAACGAGGCTTTGCAGTTTCTTTGCCTTCGACGTAATTGGCGATATCATTTTTGGGTCACCATTCGGCATGCTTCAAGCTGGGGCTGACCTTGCAGAGTCGCGCACAACTCGCGAAGGGCCATCAACGCTTCTCCCAGCAGTCAAGCATCTCAGCCACAGGAGTGAAATTGCAGCAACTCTTGGTGCCATTCCTGAGCTTAAACCTTATGCCCAGTACATCCCTGATCCATATTTCCGCAAGGGCTTGAAAGGTGTCAAGAACTTCACTGGCGTTGCAATTGCTCGCGTTAAAGACCGCTGGGAAAATCCAAAGCGGCCAGAAGATCGCCAGGATCTTCTTTCACTCCTACAGGAAGGGAGTGGTGGTAAAGGAGACGCTTTCGGGTTCGAAGAGCTCACAGCCGAAGCGCTCACCCTACTAATTGCCGGTAGTGATACGACAAATAACACGTTCTGCGCAGTAATGAACCACTTGGCAGCCAACCCTCACGCCCTGTCAAGACTGCAAGAGGAGGTGGACACAGCACTTCCCGCCGATATTATAGTTCCCACCCACGACATGGTCAAGAATCTGCCCTACTTGAACTCGGTTATCAACGAGACTCTCCGCCAACACTCCACCATCGGGCTCGGTCTTCCTCGCGACGTTCCGCCAGACTCTGAAGGCATCCATTTCCGCGGACACTATTTCCCTGCAGGCACGACTCTCAGTGTACCCATCTACACGATCCACCATTCGGAGGAAATATGGGGTCAAGACGCCCTGGAGTACAGGCCAGAGAGGTGGGATAATGCTACAGCTCAACAAAAGAATGCATTTATACCGTTTAGCACCGGACCGAGGGCCTGCCTTGGGCGTAATCTTGTTGAAATGGAACTAAAGATCCTCGCCGCAACTTGGGCAAAGAGGTATGATGTTTGTATGAGGCAGGGGCCACCAGAAATTAGCGAAGGGTTAACAAGGAGGCAAATTACAATGAATATAGGTATAAGACGAAGGTAGAGGGTATTTATAACTCTAAATCTTACTACTAAATTATAAGATTATATTGTGATAATTATCGTTGACTTATACCGGATGAAGGCCTAAAGTAATAAAACAAGTGATATAATACCCCTGTTTAATAGCATAAGAAGGATTAGAGAGAGATAAATAGCTAGCTATTAGTATAATATTTCCAAAGAATATTTACTCTTTTCTTAATATACTTCTAATCTCTTAAAGTTACTATAAGATCCTAATCCTAGCCTATATACAACTACCTGTATACTTATGCCACGTACTGCCGTAGTCCTTGGAATTGTCTCAATCCATCTTAGGAGAAATGACTACTCACAACCAAGTAATTTAAGTATCGTCCACCTTCAACCCTTCTTCTTTGGCACCAAAGTCTAAGTCCTGATAGTAAGCAAGAAAGTGTAAGGCTAGGCGAATCGGCTGGTAATTTGACGCAGGTGCGTCAACCTAAATACTGAAATGAGCTTACTGCCACCAAGCCTTTCTAGCTCCAGGATGGCAAGCGGCTACTCATGATTTGTCTATGCTAATATATTCAGATGTAGCTGAAAGTGCTGACAGCTGCTTTTGTACCTCTTCTACCACTTTCTCCCTCGGAATGAGCTCTCCTCTGTCCTTCTGATCCTTGTCACTCTCCAATGCAGAGCGCAGCCTTACTTGCCCGTTTTCCATCTCCTCCTGGCCCAAGATAACCGTGAGGCGGGCCCGACTGGACGCGTTGAATTGCGCCTGCACCCGAGGCTTGACTTTGGCAGAGAATTCAGCACGAATGCCAGCGGCCCACAGCTCCCGAGCAATCTTCATACGTTCCAAAATATAGCCGCCAGACTCCTTGCTTCCAAAGGCCATGATGAAGACGTCCGTCTCGTGCTCAAGCTCAGATGTGCTCTTTTTCCGCTGGGCAGCCAAGATGGTGAAGATTCGATCAACGCCAAACGAGATGCCAACACAGGGCACTGGCTGCTTTCCGTACATGCCGACGAGGCCGTCATACCGGCCTCCGGCGGCGATGCTACCGACCTGGGTCGAGGCCTTTGGAATAACCTCAAAGATCAGCCCGGAATAGTAGTTCAGGCCACGAGCGAGTGACAGGTCGAAAGACACCTTGTCCGCAACACCCATAGCCTCAAGATACGACAATAAGAGCTCCATGTCGTCAACTCCGACTTTGATATCCTTCTGGTCGGAAAGCGATTCGTCCGCACGAAGCGTGTCGATCATCTCGCGCAAAGACCCATTTTGCATAACATACTTTCCAATACGATCCGCAACATCGTCAGGGATTGATTTTGTTTCCACTATCTCCTGCTTCACATCTGCCCATGGAAGCTTATCCAGCTTATCAACTGAAGAGCTGACAGGCCGTATCTTATCCTCGGGGACACCTGCAGCAGTGAATAGACCATCCAAGATGCGCCTGTGGTTCAATTTGATGATCATATCAAAATTGAATGCTTCAAAAAAACTTCGCTGATGATACAGAGAATCTCAGCATCAGGGATCATAGGGTCATAAATCCCCGCAATATCAAAATCACATTGATAAAACTCGCGATATCTACCGCGGGCAATAGCAGGTTGGTCACGGCGGTAAACCTTAGCGATCTGATACCGTCTTATCTGCTTCACATTGCTGTGCATGGCAAGCCATCGAGCAAATGGGACAGTAAGATCATATCTGAGCGAACAAAGTTCACCGCCCTGGTCCTCGAGATTATATATCAATCGTGAGTCTTCGCCGTACTTCTCGGAAAGAATATCTCGAAGTTCGAATACGGGGGTATCGAGGGGAATGCCGCCGTGGCGTTTCAGGACGTCGGTGATCGTTTGACTACAAGGGAGATGGAGATTAGTGATGTTCCAACCAGTGTTCACGTAATGAAGAGGATTTCTTACAAGATATAGTCACGCAACAGCAAATCTTGACCAACCCAGTCGCGCGTTCCCTTCGGGGTCTTGAGTTGTGCGCCTGCACGAGATGGTGCGCGGTTGTCCTGAGTTGCCATCTCGTACTGAGGTTCGCGTAGCGTAGGAGAAAGAGGATTAAGTTTAACAAGAATAAAGTTGCCAGGGCCCGACCACTCCAACGCAGTGAATATAAAAAGCTCAAAAATATAGCTTTTCCTAGTACACCCAAGGAGTCATACGGCTAAAAAAAGTCTAACCTTCGTACGGATGACTCACTTGCCGTCAGGATAGTGGCTCGTCGAATGACTATTAACACTGCCTCTTTCACCTGGCTTCCTTTATACAGACGGGAAGGGTTCCAGAGATGGCATTAATAGAAACGCTTTTAAGCTTATAAAACACAGTGCAAGTACTGAGTTTCAAACGGACGGCAAGAATTCAGAAGATGCGACTCCCAAGGATGGAGGTACCTTGATTGCAAGTCAGAAATTAGGACGATAATTCAGGAGCCGTCCTAGTTATGAAGAGAGGGGAAAATAGCCCAAGAGAGGGGATATGATTAGTGAAGTGGTGGGGAATGGAGGGGGCGGATTAGTAGTTGGGTCTGGTGACGACCATCGAATATCTGCTGTTGTATGTTATCTTTTGCTATTTCTTTTACTACATACAACTACTTATACCAGAGTGACAATCGGTATACCGCTGTAGTCCTTGGAGTTGTCTCAATCCATCTTACGAGGAACGACCACTCACAGCCACAGAATAGTCGAACGTCCTGTGACTTTCCGTTCGCTAGGAGGCCTGAGGGATTGTTGCAATTCGAGGTCTGTTCCTTGGCTTCGTGATGTCTTATAGGATCACTAAATCGACGCCACTTCCCTAGACTGTACCATATTCGTTGGAGGCCAAGATAGTCATCTCAAAGCTGTAGAGACGACACTCTGTCAGCATGCAAGCAATATATGCGTGTCGCTTCCTATTTTGGCCTGACCCCTGTCTCTGCTGCAGGTCTGATTGATGCAATCCTCAGATTCAGCTGGCTTCTGTCCTGAGATGGAGGGCTGCCAGCTGTCACAATTCTTAGCATATCACCTCATAATATGTCTCTCATTAGCCCTTTGTGCTTTCTCCCCTTCACCTAATGTCATGATTCCAGAATTTGGACGCGAAGATGTTCGCCAACGGGGCAAGACCGCTCCGGCAGGTGCTCGCACGCCGGTTTCAATACGGTTCGTTATCGCCAAGACAACAGTTCCCCCGCAGATACTCTTCGTATGGGGGCAAAGAGCACGGCTCTGCTGGGTCTACCAACCCTCCGCTGCGTGGGTTCCGGGGCTACTGGAAGATCTATTCAGCCCTCGCTGTTCCTGTAAATCTCATCCTGCTCTTCGTCTACGAACCGCTGCGAGATGCTGGCGTATTCGACGCGGCGGTTAGCTCTACCATATTCCGCTTCATACCGCCAAAGCGAGTCAAGCCTGCGTCCTCTGGTAACGTAGATGAGAGGCCTCTTTATCAGCCGATCACACGGGCGGACGAAATTCGTCTGATTGTCCTGGATCCCGGAGCACCCGGTGACGCGCTCACCTGCCGCCTCATTAATGTCCGGCAGTCCTGGAGGACGAGATACGAGGCCCTGTCGTACACGTGGGGAGACCCGAGCGTCACCCGCCCTTTGAGCTGCTCTGGACACACGATAGATATCACCGTGAGCCTGCACGATGCCCTGACGGATCTGCGCCATCGAAGACGTAGGCGCTTGCTCTGGGTGGACGCCGTCTGCATCAACCAGACAGACAACGACGAGAAGGGTCAGCAGGTCAAGCTCATGGGCAGCATCTACTCCCGTGCCCGCAGGGTGCTCATCTACCTCGGCAAGAGCGATGAGGGAGTCGCGGGAGCGGCGAAGGACATTCGCTGGCTCGACTGGAAATTCATGCCGCTGCACATTCAACGCTACAGCACGAGACTTGCCGCGTTCGGACTTCCCGGGACGTTGATACACGAGAGACTTCCAAAGATGAAGCCGATTCGTAGTGACAATTTCAATTGGGGAAATGTGATCAACCTCCTGCGTCGTCCGTGGTTCGAGCGCACGTGGATCATCCAGGAGGCTATCCTCGCCAAGCGCGCCTGGGTCATCTACGGCGACCAATCTATTCCATGGGCAATGTTGGAGAGGGTCGTCGTAGCGATGGATGCCTACAAGGGCTTGGTTGCACCGATACCAGACTACAAGATGATCGAGGATGCTGCCGCGGGTGTCCATATGATCCGGTCGGCGCGACGAGACCGTCACCAGTTTGTCGTCACGCCGGACATGCAACTCTTCCTGTGGCTGACACAGAAGTGGAGGAAGCTCAACGAGTACTCGAAACTTCTAGACTTGATTCTCGACTGTCGCAAGTTCGCATGTACGAACCCGCGTGACAAGATCTATGGGATGCTGGGTGTGACAAACCAGGATACTTCCCACGAGCTTCTCCATCCCAACTACGACCTATCACCGCAGGAAGTGTATCGGAACTTTGTCATGTGGGATATCTTGCACAACAAGAGCCTTCGCGTTCTCGGCTGTAGTTGGGATAAGACCGCCCCGGAGCAGATATCGTCGTGGATTCCTGACTTCACGAGACTAGACAAGTATCACCACCTCATGCGCTTGGAGAACCGCGCAAGCTTCCATGCAGGCGGCGACTCCCAGATCGCGGCTCGGCTCTCCCCCGACGGCTCAGTGCTGCACCTCAAGGGGAAAGTCGTCGACAGGCTCCATGTTGTCGGAAATCACATGTTGGGTTCCCGCTGGGAAGCAAGCGTGGATCGCCTTACCTACCTCATGATACGAGAAGCCGTGGCGATATGGAAGGCAACACAGAAGCGCCTCGAGTCACGTATTCGCGTGCATGAGGATGACGAAGGGCTTGGGAAGAATGCTTTCGTCCGAGCTTTAGTCGGTGACCGGACGGACTTTGGCCGGAAGGCGACCCTTGTCTTTCTGAACAATGTCTCTCACATGGTGCGTGAGATGGGAAGTTCGAAGGGTGCCGTGGGAAGCTCGCATAACAGAACGCTTGAAGCATTCCTTACGATCGCCATGTCGAGGCGGTTTGCGGCGACAGAGTTGGGCATGATCGGATATGTTCCGAAGGCGGCTGTGCCGGGCGACCTTGTTGTCGTATTCTATGGATCGAGTGTTCCGTCTGTTGTGAGGCTGGATGGAGAGGGTAAGACAACTCTGGTAGGAGAATGTTATATCCATGGTATTATGGATGGAGAGGCGATGGGGGCATCGTACGGAGCCAAGGAGGTGGAGTTTGCACTTCATTAGGATTTATTGAGCTGGGCCAAGCAAATTACACGGATCCTCTGAGTAAATATAAGCTGGTTGGATTAAACGTAGCAAACTGTACGCGGACTTCGTAGCGCTTGTCGGCCATTTCCCTCCGACTCTGACGCTAGACTTCCTGTGGAATGAATACGTACCTCGCACTGACGTTGTTGGTCTGCAAAAATGCATTAGCAGTGTTGACAACTGTGAGATAATCCATCTTTCAAGCGAGATAATGGTAAGCTGCAAACTGGTCTAGAGGCAGACAAGCAACTGCGGTAGGAGTACACAAGTCCTCAGACTTTCTGGCCGAAGCAAAACTCCATCTTCTCCACACTCCCACGCTCAAGTTAGTCTGGCAAGGCCTCAAGAATCTTCTCCAAAAAAGCGACAACTGCTTTTGATCTTCGACATCAATCAGCATTCTCGCACACCACACTCCACCCCACCTCGAGCCCTTACCGCGCGTCAACCAATCTTGCCAACAAGCGACGCTTTGTGAGGCACCATGTGCTCCTACGAGGTAACCAAGTACGCCTCCTACGACTACGGCAAGGTCACATCGTTCAACGTCCTCTGCTGCTGAGCTATGGGGTATGGAGAGCGTCTGAGTGCGCACGAGAGAACATCATCAAACACCACCTGGTTGATCGCATAGGACTGCGGAAGAAGTTGGTTCTCTACTTCATTAAACCATACCACTTTAAGCGAGACCAGGGTTTACAAATAACGTGAGTAAAGAGATCTTTTTTTGAATAGGGAGATCACAATAACTTAAAGAGCATGCCCGAGACAACTCTTCCTCTATCCTAGCGAACCACTTTCTTGCCTCGCATGAAGCGCCCAACTATCAATTTAGGGAGATTATGTATGGCCGTAAATTCCTCAATATGAAGTACATTAACCGAGATGCTACTTTCTTCTTATCTTTGATATGCCCCACCAATATTCTTCGAGTTGTTCTAGATTCTGGTGGCGAACGCCATTGGAACGCCACCTGATCCTTGATCTAACCACCAAGGTAGCCGAAAGAACCCAAACGAGGAATCTCTTCGTTCTAAAGGTTAGGCATCGATGTCTAAAATGATGTTGAATTGCAGGATATCATTGATATATAGGGCAGGTGGGCACTGAATATGGGCACTCTCTTGGTGATTTGATGCAGTAGTTATGGCAGATGTGCGCATCAATAACATGCTTCAGCCACTTGGGCTGTACATGTAGCTGAGTTAGAAATACATGGTTCCATCAGAGACATCATATTTTGACTGGCGTGAATCATTGCTGAAATTATATTAACTATTATATCATCCCTTATAGCTTCATTAATCAAACAACATTATGCAAGAGCCTGCCACACCAACATTACCAGGCCCAGAGCCAAAGACTTCGTCAATGAGACAACGTTGGCTGCCGAATTCTCTTTGTCGGTGGCTGAGTCCTGAGTAGCACTTGCGGCTCCAGTACCGCTGGGAGTGCCACTAGCAGTTCCACTACCGGATGCCGTAGCAGATGATGAGGCGGACGAAGAAGAAGAAGGTGGTGGCTTAGGGCATGGATTCGTGTATACATACTGCTCGGGCGCGCCACTGCAAGTAGTTGCGTTCCCAGCATCGTATGTGCCACTGGTGTAGATCCAGCAAGTGCCCGGCAGATACGGCGAGTTCTTCTCGTTGCGAGGGTTGAAGACGGCATATGTGCAGGCATCAGCCTCTGCGCATGCGCTCAAGCAGTGGGTTGCACCCGAGCTGGCAACGCAGGTGCTGAAGCAAGTATCCGGAGGCGAGTAGCCGCAGATCGACGCAACGGCAGAGGGACTCGCAGTGGCCGCGCAGGCGCCGGCAGTAGATGTGGGTGTACCCGCGCACACTGGCTTGTCGTAGACGGAGAGGTAAGGGTTGCTGCAGCCGGTGCTGGTGCCGGCGCTCGCGTCGTAACTTTCGCCCGGGTAGAGCCAACAGGTGCCGGTGCCGGTGTACGGGTTGCCAGCAGCAAATATAGCAAAGCTACAAGGCTGATGGCTGTCGCAGTAGGCCAAGCAAGAGTCTTTGCCCGCGCTGGCGGCAGCAATAACAGGCTCCTTGTAGTCGCAGAGTTTGGTGATGAGGGAAGCTGTACAGCTTGGCGTAGCAGAGGTGGTAGTGCTCGAGGCAGCAGATGTGACAGTCGACTGGGCAGAGGCGGCTGGGATCAGCGATAGGGCAGCGGAGGCCCAGAAAGAGTGAGTGATCTTCATCGTAGCGAGTGTAAGTGGCAGCGAGCGGTGGGTTTGAGGGAACAGCGAAAGTCCAGATTGCTGGGGGAATGGTGAGATTATATAAATACACTGTGGGCATAAGTTAATTTGCTGGGTAACGTTACGGGGCTGCTTATTTCTGGGCAGAACAACGCCAAGGATCCTGGTTAATTTTCCTCGGACCTGCACCAATAATGCAGCTTTGCCACGAGCCCTACGCTTACATGACTCATAGGAATGCTGGCGAAGACCCGCCTATTCATTGTAATCATCGTAAGTAGCAAGGAATGTGCTACATACCTCTGCCAGCGCTATCTAGTTTCGGTGAGGCTGACACGTCTATACGACACCGTAGGAGGAGACACTACAACAGTCGAGGCAACAAAATCAGGTAAGTGGTAAGGCACATTGAGTTAGATTCCATCGGGCTAGCCCCGGAAAACCTTTGTACTGCAAGGGTCTGCTGATCCTTCAGGCACAGCCGGCTCGCTAAGAGGTTTGGTGGGAAGCCTCCGGGAATGCTTCGGAGGTAAGGCAACTCGTCTACGTGAAGTTCCAGAGACCAAAACCAGGGAAACAAATACCAAGCCCTCAGACTAAGAAGGATTACTATGTTCCGGTTTAGACCCAAAATTGTTGCGTGACGAGTTGGCCATCTGCTAATTGAAATGAAGCCTGCTCTTGTTGGATATGAGATGTGGTTGCGGCCACCATTTTAAATGTGAGTCATTCCGGGGTAACCCACAGAGAGGCACAGTTTCCTAGCGTGCTTTCAAGTTGGCGTCAAACATGATACGATATCCCGTATTCACAGGCCAGCTTCTCATAAGGTAAGGGCCAATGGACCGCTAAGCCCCGAGGCAGGATGGTTTAATGTCTGAAGGACATATTTGTGGACTACAGCTTTTGATATAACAGAACTTCATTTCGACTGCCATTCGTATACATACTCAGGTACCCAATCCGGAAAACCCTTTTATTCTACATCTATATTTAAATATCTTTTCTTTATTGTAGCGAGAAAGAAGAGGAATATTGTAGAAGAAGCAAAGATGAGATGACTCACCCCTCATGTTAGTATTATTGCAGGCACAGGTCTACCGCCTGTACCTGCGAAAGAAAGAGCATAACAAGCACACTAGACACATGAAAGCATAGGTATCTTTTTCTGCTCAATGTCACGTCGAGACTGTCTGACTCATTCTCTTACTCGGGTAGTGGCCGACTTCGTTTCGCTGCATGCGTGAAACGGCATGGAACTTGCAAGCGAATGTACTCAAGGCACGTTTACCATTAATAAAGCAGGATTCTACTAAGAGTAGTTCAAAAGAACACCCCCTCTCCCAGTGAGCCAACAATTGGTCCCTAACTCTCGATGTGGTGGTACTTCGATATCTGTTCCGGTTGCATGAGACACTGGGCTTGGCTTACATAGATAGGTTTGTTTTCAAGAGCCAGGGCATCACAGGGCCCCTCTCACCATGACATCGCCCCTTCTTCCGCTTTCCAGCCTATGAATTACCTTTATCGAGAGTTCTGTACTATAAATCAGCAAGTGCAAAAACCGCCGATGCGTCGGGGGTCCCAAGATACACAAAACCAAGTTATGCACAAACCACACTAGAAACGCCAGGAGACGACCTGTTGATCCCAAACCGGATCACCAAGCCTTCGATATCGCTCCAGTTAGTGCCCGGTATATCCACTTGGACGGACGACTCACCCAATGTTCGCCATGCTGTTTGGAGTTCGTATACAACCAAGCCACTGCCCACTTTTAAGATTCTAGTCTCAGACTTACACTCGCTGTGTAGATATCGTGCATCTTGGTTCTCAATCCCTGGGAAAGACAGACAAGCTATCAATGTGAAGGTGATCCAGATTTCATTGGCGGATTCGCCGCCCTGGGCTTTCCGAACCGATGCCCTAGCACGGGCTCTCTGTTTGGCCACTCACATTTCTCATGGGGATTGTTATAGTTTCCACCATCGCGCATCTCTGCAGTGCCTCTCCCGTGACTACCACTATTGGCCTGACAGAACCTAACGCTTTTCCTACGGCAACACCTTTCCCAAATATAGACAAGCCACGTAGTATTATGTGTAAGAAGCCCATATGAAAGTTATCCTGCTAACTAGGCTCACGCCTTCCAACTAATTGGATCGCGGCGCCCCGGGTTGGTTTGGAGGTTTTGGGGGCTCATAATATCGGAATTGCTATCTGGGTTGTTGTCCACTGTGGGAAGCCGATAATATCTTCTACTTCTCAAGCAGACGGGCTGCAGCCCAAAACACAGGTTTTCTCGAGGATCAGCGTTAAGACGATACGCTGGTAACACCTGGTGAAGGCAGCTGCGGTAGGATTGAATTGGGTTTGGGACAGCTATCATTCAAAGCTAGGTCTTGGGATAACAAGGCATCTGGATGAATGACTAATTCCTCGCAAATGCGCAGCCAAGAAATGCTCAATTAGATTGGTAGCGGCTTAGTATTCATTTATAACCCACTTAGATTTTATAGCATTCCCTCGCTCGGTTTTATGAGCAGACCAGACTTTGCTGCGATGGTTTTTAGCGATAGGGCTGGTCTGCTTGAATGGGTTCATATTCGTATTACCAATGATGATGTTGTATTTTGCATTCGTTTGTTTATTTACGTTTTTCTCACGTGCATAGTTCCCCTCGCGCGTGTTGGGGTTCTGGTTGGTCAAAGGCCTCTTTGGGATTGCCAAGGTCTTCAGCCGGGGTTTTCAGCTTGACTTCCCAGCCGATCTTCATCATCATAAGCATTTTTCATTCATTTTATCGCCTCGCTTTTGGTGCCAGATCTCGTTCAACTCCGTAAGGGGTCTACCCGTAAGGTTTATACCAGATCGAATTAGCAATATGGATGCAAACACGCCAACTGAGAACAGATGGAGACGCTGGGCCCGACAAGCTGGTTGCTGCATTGGTGATGACAACCAAACGCAAGAGCCCAACAAGCCAGTCAGTCACTGGGCCACCTTTCAAAAATCCATCACGAGTATATTTTACATCTTGCTGACAGAAATTAATCATCCAGGTTCCTCTCGTAGCCGTCGCCGATGCCCAAAACATGCCCGGAAACCCTCCAACCTCGACGAGCAGCACTGGTTATGCCAACCCGCTCCCGACTCCTCCATCGCGCCCCGAAGGAGCGACTACAATAGACAGTAACAATGCACAAGGCAACACCACACAAGCAGACGGTGAATCATCCCCGATCGCAAGTCAGATTGACCTGGGGGCTTCAGGCCCCATGGCAATTGAGGGCTCCGATACAGGTCCTCAAGACGCCACCGAGCTTGCGTCCCCAGGGCCCAACAAAATAGACCTATGGGACAAGGCCTTAAGTCAGATCCAGGAGTCACAGGACAAAAAAAGCGTCGACATGGTGGAATCAATTGTGCAGAATTTGAAGGCTCCAGGGTCAGATCCATTGAGTTCCGCAAAGGTTATCCAGAAACAATTGCAAGATTCGGTTGCGGGCAAGGAAGCAAAGACCGGAAGCGACGGATGGATCATCATCATCGGGCAGAAAGAATATCACGTGCGGGAATTCGTCAAGAAGACAATAGTGATTCTGGAGAAATTCGCCGGTACCGTCAGTAAATTTATGGGTGCTGTTGATGTGGCTGTTAGCTTTGATCCAACCCATGCAGCTTTGCCCTGGGCAGCTGTGCGACTGGTTCTCACGGTATGCTGTCTCAATAACTATGGCATATATATGTCAGTTGAAATTAACTGATTGCAGGTTATCATTGCGGCCCACGAATTCAAGGGTAAAGTAGCTGTTGGCCTTGCCAAAGTCGCTGTCCTTGTCTCCCAATGTCAGATCTATCAAAGGTTTTACATGACTTCAGATACGTCAACAGAGTTGGATAGAAGCGAGGTCGACAGTCTCGAAGAGGCTATCGTTACCGTCTACACACAATCGCTTTTATTTCTTGCCTTCGCGTATAAGAAAAGTAAAATGCGGGTCCTTAATGCCTCCTGGAAACTTTCCGATCTGGAAGGATACTTCGAAAGTCTCAAGGACGCGGGCGATGGCCTTGTTCAAGCTGCGGATCGCTGCCAAAAATTGTTTGAAAAGCAGACTGCAGTCCAAGTTGGAGAAGTTATTAAATTGTTGAAAGACTTTGACGCGACCATCTACGAACAAAGGTATGACAAACTGATCTGTTGTGATATTAATTCACTGCTGATAATATTTAGAGAACTCATTGTTGATATTGGTCAACGAGCGCTACTTGCCGAGTTGAAATGTGCCGATGGTGCTAATTATAACTCTGGGGATGACCAAGCTGAGCCCAGATGCCATAAGGAGACAAGAGTCGAACTACTCAGAGCTATTGAAACGTGGATGGATACCTCCGAGGAAAAGCCAATCTACTGGCTTCAGGGAAACGCAGGGACTGGCAAGTCTACCATTTCACGCACTGTAGCCGAGATGTTTGACGCCAAAAGCAAACTTGGTGCGAGCTTTTTCTTCAAGAGAGGCCGTGGCGATCGCGCCAGTGGCAGTCGCTTCTTTACAACCATCAGTTCACAGCTCTGCCATAATCGCCCACGGTTTGCCCAAAGTGTCGCCAAAGCGATTTCCGAGAACCGCAATATTGTCACGACCAATTACACAGAACAGCTCGAGAAACTCATCTTGGAACCTACCAAGGCACTGGCCAGGGACCCAAATAATTGTGCGAGCATCTTGATCGTTGTTGATGCCTTGGATGAGTGCGAGGAAGATACTCATGTGAAGATCATGATAGAATCATTGGGCCAAATCAAGAAGTTGAAAGAGTGTGGGGTTGACTTTAGACTTTTCATTACTAGTCGGCCAGAGGTCCACATTCGGCGCGGATTCCAGGAAATTCTCGATTGTCAAAAGGAAGTGGTTCTTCATGACATCTCAGGTGATGTGATCCAACAAGACATAACGATTTACTTAAAAGACGAGCTAGCACAGATCAGAAACCGACACAATAATGTTATAGGTCAATTCGGGCAGCCGATAGAAGAAGATTGGCCTGGCGATAAGCGTATCAAGAGCTTGGCTCAGATGGCGACACCATTATTTATCTTCGCCGCAACCGTTTGCCGACTTCTGGACTGTGACAACCCGCGCGAAGAGATTGATCTCATTCTCTCTCAGGGACAAAAGCCACACGATCAAATACTGGACGGAGCATATGAAGCGGCTCTCAGACGTATCCTAAAAGGAAAAGAAAACAGCTCTGCAGAGTCCAAAACAGTAGGGAATTTTCGCGTTGTTGTGGGCTCGATAGTTCTTCTCGAAGAACCCCTGTCCGTACCAGCTCTTGCACAGCTCTTGGGCGCTTCGCCAGAGACCGTCTTCAACATGGTCACCTCCGTCAGCTCTGTTCTGAATGTTCCGCGGGATAAGAAAACTCCCGTCAAGACTTTTCACTTATCCTTCCGTGAATTCCTCATCAACAAGCAAAGAAACAAAAGTCCGAAGTTGCAGATTGACGAATATGAGACACACAGAGACCTGGCGAACAAGTGTCTTAAGCTCCTTTTGAAATCAGGTATCTTGAAGAATGATATTTGCGAGCTAGGTAAGCTCGATACACGGAATCATGATGTAACACAAAACACAATTGATGGCAAGCTACCACCACAAGTCCAATACGCCTGTCGGTATTGGGTACATCATACCAAGAAAAGCAAGTTCAAACTCCACAATGAACATCCTGCATACGAGTTTCTGAAGAAGCATTTTCTCCATTGGCTTGAGGTACTAAGTCTAATCAGAAGGCTATCTGAGACCATCGGTCTTATACGAGAGCTGCGAGAACTTGTTGATGTAAGTTAGGGATAGCTTCATGACGCTAAAATGCCTACTGACAGGAATTGATTTAGCCCAATGGTAGCGAAGAAGTGTCAGCGTTTCTACATGATGCCAACCGCTTTCTCCTTCACTCGTTTACGGCAATTGACCAGACCCCACTCCAACTTTACGCTTCAGCACTTCTTTTTGCTCCAACAAATAGTATAGTCAGGAAATTATTTGAAGATGAGATCAGTTGGGTAATACACAAACCAACTGTTGAAGAGGATTGGAGTCCTTGCCTACAAACAATGAGCCGCCAGTCCTGGGGGCGCTCAGTCTCGGTCTCTGGGAATGGCAAGCTGATAGCATCCGGGAGCTCCTATGACGGCATTAAAGTTTGGGACGCGGCAACAGGCGCACTTCAAAAAACACTTGAGAGTCAAGGCGATCTTATGTCGGTCACGTTCTCCTTCGGCAGCGAGCTGATCGCCGCAGCATATAGAGGCAGCACGATCAAGATCTGGAACACGCAAACGGGGCGTCTCCAGCGTACACTCCGAGGCAACGATGACTACCGTTACGACCCCACGAACGGATTTATCCTGGCATCTTCAAATTCCGGGCTAATAGCTTCGTTATCGTCTGAAGGGATATTTGAAATCTGGGATGCATCAACGGGGGAGCTTCGAACAACATGGAAGGGCTATGAAGAACCTGCCCAATTTTGTGTGTCATTCCGGGGGGACGGCAAGCTGGTAGCATCAGGCTCAAGTGATCACACAATCAAAATTTGGGGCGCCGCAACGGGCGAACTTCAGCACACACTCACAGGCCACGAGGACTGGATTCGATCAGTGGTTTTCTCACGCGATGGCAGCCTACTTGCCTCAGCATCATCTGATGGAAGCATTCGAATTTGGGACGCAACAACGTGGAAACTTCAAAGTACTCTCCAGGGTCACGCTAACCACGTTAATCCAATCGCATTCTCACACGACTGCAAAATTCTGGCCTCAGGGTCAAATGACAATAACATCCAAATTTGGAACTTGGTGACAAGAACACTCCACCACACATTTGCGGGCCATAGTGGCATAGTCACATCGGTCGCTTTTCCAGAAAATAACAACTTATTAGTATCGGCATCAGACGACAGGACTATCAAGATTTGGGATATCACTCAAGTCAAACCCCAATCTGCCATTGAAAGACATACTAAGGAGATCAAATCAGTGGCTTTCTTGGGTAATGGCACTCTAGTAGCATCTGTATCGGACGATAGAACAATCAAAGTCTGGGATGGAGCAACTGGATTGCTAAAATATACACTCGAAGGCCACAACAGCTTGATTCAGTCGATGAAAATTTCAGCCGATTGTACACTAATAGCATCTGCATCACTCGACAAAACAATCAAAGTCTGGAATGCCGAAAATGGATCATTGAAATACACATTGGAGGGCCACAACCGTCATCCAGCTACAGTAGCATTCTCAACCGATAACAACTTCATTGCATCTATACAACAGGGTGATAAAAAAGTTAAAGTCTGGGATGCAGCTAACGGGTCCGTAAGATATACATATACAACAACAGAATATTATGGTGGCATGATCCATTCAGTAACCTTCTTAGCTGAAGACAAACTGATAGCAATTGGAGTCAGGAATGGATTCTCGAATGCAACATTTGAAATCCTAGATGCAGCCAATGGATCATTCAAATACAGATTCAGGAGCCGCCCTCGTACACTGGCAGGATTCTCTTCCGATAGCAAGATGATCGCAACTGCATCAGTACATGATGGAATCGAAATCCGGGACGCAGCCAGCGGATTAATAAAATATACACTCAAGGACCACAACGACTTAATAATTTCAGTGTTCTCGGCCGATAACACGCTTATAGCATCTTCATCACGCAATAAAACAGTTAAAGTGTGGGATATAAAAGAAGGGAAAGTCAAGAAAACTATCCACATTGGTGAAAATCGTCAGCATCTATCATTCTTCAACAACAACTTACTTATGCTCCATGAGCCGGGACACATTGTGATAAACATCAATACAATCCCGGAGAACGGAGTAGCCCAAGTTGAGGTTCAAAACAGTATGATGATGGAACCTGGCGCCAACGACCTGCCGGAGATCAAATCCGTATCCCAACACACAGTCGTGCTACAGCCCCACGGCTGTAGTCTGAGTCTAGAGAATGAATGGGTCATGTGGGAGGGACAAAAAGTGGTCTGGCTTCCTCCTGATTGCCGTCCAATTCTTGGCAACGCGATGTGTTATACCATATCACCCTCGGGGGAAATGATTGCTATTGGTTCTTCAACAGGCAGATTATGTCTCATGGGCAGTTTCAAAACAAAGAGAGCTCAGTGCTAAAAATTGGGTGGTGATCGCCTCGACGGTAGTAAAAGCAAAACATTTCTACCCAACCGAACATTATCCTATTGAGTCCCAAATACGCGTTGCGACACCAAAACTCAGACAGTAATTACTCATCCCTACAGCAGACATTGAGGTTAAGCCTGCAGCAATCGCTTATCGCTCCAGCAGATAGTTAGGTTGGGTGCAAAGCACTTACAGCCTACTAAATACTGCTGGTGAGAGGATTCCATATATACGTCTTAATGATTTATTCAGATTTATCCTCAAAAAACAGATAATAGGTATCATGGTAGGTAGTTAAGAGGGTTATAGTCGGCTTGGTGCTGCTGTTCATGGTCCAACTATTTCTCTGCAGAAGTGCTTTCGCCCATATGACCGTTGTCATCATCTCCGACGTACACTCTGTTGCCAGTATCGTCACATTTCTTGCCATTATGAACATAATACTGAATGGTGTTTTGCAGGCGCGGATAGCACTGCCTGGGTTTTGGGTCTTCATGTATCGAGCGAGTCCGTTTACAGACTGGATTGCTAGCATTGTAGCAGCAGAGCTTCATGGACAAGAAGTCATCCGCTCCTCAGATGAGTTGCTAGCCTTTGATCCTACTCAAGGAGCTACTTGTGGACAGTATCTTTATCCAGTGCTGCAGCAAGTAGTCGGGGCTTTGCAGAATCTAGAGCCCACTCCAGGCTGTCGATATTGTGCCTACTGCAATGCTAACCAATACCTCTCAGCTTCTAACATATATTGAAGCGATCGTTGGATGGATTTCGGGATTATGTGGGCGTTTCTCATTACAACATGTGTTACTATCGATTGTATTATGTAGTTGGAGTTGGAAAATGGTCGTTTGCTAGTCTCCGTCACTTGAAGAAGTAAATGTTGAGTATTATTGCAATTACTTTTATTGTTCTGATGTACCCAAGATAATCCAAAATACTAGATCAAACCTATAACAGCAAATTATAGATGTGTAACAAGAAGCATCAAGGGCAAATTATAGATTTGCAACAATGGCAGCTGGTTTTCAAAACGGGGTTTTTATGTAAACGAAAGCATAGAAAAGTCGTTCTGCTCTCTCTCGGTTAAGCCGGCCGTCCGTAGAGAGCAAGCGCACGCCGTCGAGCCAAATACACCGGATGATTTCAATTAACTGTTCAATTTCTGCTTCGAGTGGCAGCAATATGACTAATAAGCAGATTCTATATGATATTATTCTATTACTATAGAACAAGATTTCGATGTTCCCAAGCTTTGCACCACACAAATCAAACCTGGAATCCCTTCCAGCTTTCTTGCTTCAGCGCATAATTCACAGCGGCGGAAACATTATCAGCGATCCAATCTGGTGTGTGTGCCGGGTCTCCGCGCGCTGGATTCCAGACTCCTGTCCTGACAAGGATAGACTTCCATAAGGCGCCATCAGAGCTATTATACTCATTGGCTCCTCTGATATCGCTCTCCGGGTTATCCCCAACCATGTATACACGCTGAAGGGGCAGCACGTCAGACGAAGCACCTTGCCCCAGCAGTGCCAGTCGGTGGGAATTCAACACTCTCTCTGCGTACTCGTAAGTGTAGGTGTAAGGCTTCCCAATGGTGCGACAGTTAAGCTCGCTGCCACCGGTGACCTCACTCCAGACACCGCGAAGCGCTCCTTGGAAAGCACCTTGGCCGAACCTAGGCTGGTGGTAGGCGGCGCTCCAGAAGAGATCAGGGTTCGAGAAGAACAGAGGTGGCTGGCCATCCGATTGCCAACCTCGATCGGGAAGGTCGGACCGCCCATTATTGGAGGAGTAGGTTCCCAGAACGCCATTCTCCGAGAGGAGCAGGTCGACGATGATCTGAATATCCAAGGCCCAGTCGCGAGGATCGTTGAAAACGAAGATACCATCGATCTTGAGGTCACCTTTCGGGAGAGGTCTCGCATCACTGGCGTATACGGATTCCATGAGAGGCTCAAATGGCCATATTGAGGGGTAATTCAGGAGGATATCGGCAGGTGTGATTACGTTTTTGAATCCATACTGTTCAGCAATGGTGCGGATCTTCTCGGCGTTGGAACCTGTGACAAGGATGTTGCGGTCGTGCAAGTCTCCCACAAGCTGCTGGAAAGGGGTATGAGACTGGACGAAGTTGTCAACGGACAAGGGGACTTTGAGCTTGTCGCTCAAATCGGCGACTCTCTCCGACTCATGCTTGCCGCCACCATTGGTGAGCAGGATGAAAGGGACATGATGAGCCTGGAGATGCCGAAGTGTTTCGGTAGCACCAGGAATGGGTCGCGACTCATGTAGAAGAACACCATCGATGCTGCAATTTCATCCAGCGGTGAGTCAGTAAAAAATTACAACACAGGGGAAAGTGGTGATACACAGCTTATGACTGACTCACTCGAAGGCGAAAGCGAAGGGCGCAATTCTCTTTGGGGCATGTGTCTTGAACGACCGGGAAATGGATCCTGTTGATGGTGCGCGGATAGATCGGTGCAGGGTCTGATGGAAAAGCCCAGCTGAGACACGGGCCCCGTTCCGGAGGACAAACATGGCGGACGTGGTGCTATGCTGCAGCCTACGACGAAGGACGAAGAAGGGCATAAGATTGTTGGTTGCGGTGTTTTGGCGGAACTCCACTGAGCCGGGCGATAAATCGCCACGCTTTCCCCTTTACAATCGCGGAACGTGGCTACCCTGCACCGTCTTGGAAGATTGACCTTGTATCTGCATGTACGCGTTACGTCGGCCTACATCGAGGAAGAGTGAAGACGAGGGGCAGATGAGCTCCATAACTCCTGTGAAGATTCGTCAATGACGCGCCTCTGGACTGTTGCGCTCGAACAACTCAATTCAATCCGGCAGTAGGCCCATATTAAGCCAGGATTAAGGCAAGATGATTGGCTTGATCATAGTCTGATCCCTGCATGTGGTGACATGTATGAGTCAGCATTATCGAAAGCTCGAGAGCGATCCTACCCGGGACCTAACTCCAAGGACATATCTAAGAAGCACTCGGACTGGATGATGCTTTGAGTTGAAAATCCGAGAGGCCGTCTGATTTGGACTAACTCAACTAGAGTCGAAACCGAATTGGCTCATCTGATTATGTTATTGCCACCGCTAGTCCTTTGTTTACGTTCAAGAGAACTAACGTAAGGGCTCTTCACAAAACTGGGGGATGTATCTCACCCTCCCTCACAACAGGATCGGACATTAATCCGCAGAACCAAGAGTTGCTACCATCAGCAAGAGTGTAATTTTATATCCAGTCCCCTCTTACATGCAGACGGCTATAAACGTGTGTGAGAGGATTATAGCTAGCCTCTATTTCAAGCTTGTTGGACAATACCGCTTGTTTTAGTGGGGAGGTGACTGAGGACCCATTCAAAGTGAGATCAAGGTGAGTGAGTGCTCAAATCGAATCCTGATCAATCACGCTTTGTTTCATCAAATGCCGAGTCAGCCTGGCATACTTGAGCGTAATCAGTTTCCATTTACTGGTAACCGGTGCCGCTGGACCAAAATCGGTCCCGCCGTCGTCTGGTCCCATTGAGACAATAAGCACCAATCAATGCCCATGCTGACAGGGCTCGGCGATTAATTCTTTGGGCCAGAAAGGAGATTGCTGGTTACAGAAACTTGCTCACTCTCGGATCCCCACACGATCGTCCTCAGGTTTGTCTCTGTTATACTCTGTGCATGCGGTGCTCTGACACGTTGTGCTTCATCATTTCCAGAAGCGGAAGCCTAAGCGCTGTTCTACAACGCTATTTCGCTTGTCTGACCTCTGTTCTGAAACAATGGAGTTTGGACATGGGATTAAATCCGAGTTGCCCTTGTTGTCGCGTTTGCGTACCTTATTCGAAGCGAGACACAATGAAATCAATCATCCTTCCTCCCATTGTCCCCATAATGAATCACTGATATAAAGCTCTTCCTCGGTACGGGATGTCTCTCTATTAGCTGCATTCCCTCCACTCAGAGTTTTCTATTTTTTTCTTCTCTTCTCTTCACTCCTTTTGACAAGGTAGACAAACGGCGACCACGATGTCACTCATTTCCAACTCTAGCGCTTGTGCGGCTGGCGCATTCTCGGCGTTGACTCCAGTATATGGTACTGAGATTCTCGCTGTACATGCCTCCGTGGTATCCAACTTCACTATGGAAGCCGACTCCTCGCTACGATACACCTCACCCTCGGTGGTGGCCCAAGGATTATCATTCTGCAATATCACTGTTGTCTACACGCACTCAGACACTGATGATGAAGTATACGTTGAGGCCTGGCTTCCGCCGTCGGAGAGCTGGAATGAGAGGCTTTTCACTGCTGGTGGGAGCGGGTTTGGCGCTGGTCGCTTCCTTGTTCCGTACACCGGCATGGCTGGTGCTCTCACAGAGGGTTTTGCAACCGTCACTTCGGATGCCGGCCTGGGGAGTACACTCGACGATGTTACTGGTGCCCCCTGGATATTGAAAAGCCCGGGCAACGTGAACCTGCAGCTGGTTCAAAACTTTGGCTCAACTTCGCTTAAGGAAGAGGTAGATACACTGACCAACCTAACATTACTTAACACAGAATCAAGATGAGATTGACATATGATGTAGGCTGTTGTTGCCAAGCAACTGATCGAAACGTTCTACGGCAAGAAACCCAAGTATAGCTACTTCAACGGATGCTCCCAGGGTGGACGACAGGGTATGGCCCTCGCGCAACATTACCCCGAGGAGTACGACGGGATCCTCGTGGGCGCGCCAGGAATCAACCTGCCCAAGGTTGTAGGCAGCATTTTCTGGCCCCAGCAAGTGATGAACGAGATCGGAGAACACCCCCACGACTGCGAGATCGATGCTATTGTTCATGCATCCATCTCTGCCTGCGACAAGCTCGATGGTGTCGAGGATGGAGTTATCGCCGAGTACAAGAAATGCCTGGACACGTTCGACCCCTTCGGCGAGGTCGGCAGGAACTTTACGTGCTGGCCTTCCGGAGAGGCACGCCTTATCGGCGCGTCCGCGGCAGCTGTGGTGAACGCTACGTGGAGAGGAATGCCGCTGTCCGGAAGACAATCCTGGCCTGGTTTGAACCCAGGAACCAACCTCACCGGTACCACTGGGTTCCAAAACGGTATCTGCCGCACAAACTGCACAGGCGACGGGGCGTGCTCAGGGCTGTACAACACGCTCGGCAACAACTGGATGAAGTACTTTGGAGCCAAGAATGCCGACTATAGCATCGACAATCTTACCAGGGCGGAATTTCAGGGTTTCGTGCGTCTGACTGCTCAGGAGCTGGCGTCATATTTCCAAACGGATGACGCGGATCTGTCTCCCTTGCAGCAAGCTGGCGGTAAACTGATCAGCTGGCATGGTACTGTGAGTCTATACTTCATCAATCTTCTCCACCATTTTCTACGCTCATGCTGACCCGTGCGCTCTGTCTAGGCTGATGATGGGGTCCCCCCTGAGGGCACGGCCGAATATTTCCGCAGGGTCAAAGACTTGATCCCCGAAGTCGGCGACTTTTACCAGCACTACGAGATCGCTGGTCTTGCTCACTGCGCCGGCGGATCTGGCGGGCAGCCTGTCGAGATGTTCCAACAGTTGCGCGCCTGGGTTGAGAATGGCACAGTACCCGAGAACTCTCCAGTCACCTACACGGGCCCGGATTCTAGTGTTTGGAGGCGTATAATTTGTCCCTACCCACAAAAGGCTACGGCCAAAGCTGGCTGTGAGGATCTGAAGAGCGCGAGCTGCTGGCAGTGCGCCTAAATTTCTACAACTCATGACACTCGGGTCGGCGTTACCCGGGCGTGCAATAACGAATTTCCATGAAATTCTAGATAGAAGAGGTGACAGAATTAGACCTCCTAAATAGAGTGTACATAGATAGACAATGATGTCCTGTAGAATGGGCAAGATACCCAGCTAGAATCGAATGCCACTTGGCTGCAAAATCATCAAAACCCATCAATGGAGCGTATATGAACTGTTATGGGAATCGAGATACACGTGGCTGGGAATGAAGTATTTTTAACGCACTGAAGATCCAAAGCCTAGCATGTGTTGACCATTCGCCTCCGCCTTCACAGCCATAGTGGTATTTATTCCTATGACGATATGCAATCTAAATTAGCATTTCGGGGTCTAGCTTGCTATAGAGGGATCAGAGTGAAAGAAGAACAAGTGAAGACGACCCATGAGCTGAGATATCCATAATCAATCGCGGGACATTCCCCGAATTGGTCATATTAAGGGCATAACTTCGCTGAGAGGGCTGATCTGTCTTGGCAGACTGCAGCACTCCATGTTCCCATTGGCTGGCCCGCGCCATATTGACTAATGTGGAAAACCATTCCTTATGCTACACTGCCTATAATAAGATCAAGAGATGGCCTTCAGTGCAGCTAAAAAGACAAGGCGCGACGACGTAGTGGCAAAATAATAATATATCTCTGTGCTCAAGAATATGCTACATTGAGCAGTCCCGCCCACAGAGGTTGAATATATAAAGCCTACTCCTTCATGGCAGTCATGATGGAGTTTGCTAAAGAGCAAGAAATTAAAGCTCAGCAGTCGTCAACAAACAGCAACCTTCAGAATGGCCAAGATACGTTCCTTTTATGACCTCCTGGTAATGCTTTCATTACTCACGTCACAGACGTTGGCCAAATGTCCAGTGGCTAGTGTTTGCGCCATTGCCCATAAGGGACCATCGATTGGCAAGGAGGTTGTGCACGAGAATAGTCAGTCTTTGTCCCAACAACAACGAAAGAGAATGAAAGCTGACAACCAACCCTCACATCCACGCAGTGACACTTTATGTTACAGGGAAGCATTCAAACACAGCCGTGCTGTATTTGACAGATGCCACCGGCATTGTGCAACCGGAGAACAGGTTGTATGTATCAACATCCCGTCCTAACCCTCCATCTACGACTGGCTAACACGTGAGTCTCGACAGGCTGGCAGATAGCTTCGGCCGTGCAGGATATCTTACCGTCGCCCCTGATCTGTTTAATGGCACTCCAGCACCCGCGGCGAAAGATCCGTATAACCCAAACTACAACCAGACCGAGTTTCTAGCCCGTCACAACCCAAAAGTTATCGACCCGATGATCGATGCCACAATCCGATACATTCGCAACGTCCTAGGCATAAATCGCATCGTAGCATCCGGGTACTGCTTTGGCGGGCGCCATGCCGTCCGCGTCCTGTCTGAGGGCCGAGGTGTCAGCGCAAGCTTTGCCGCGCACCCGGCCCTGCTCCAAGACGACGAGATTCTGGGGATCACTGGGCCCGTAACTATTGCGGCCGCGGAGAACGATTTCGCCATGTCAATTGATCAGCGACGCCACATTGAAGATCTGTTGTTGAACACCACGCACCCATATTCACTCTCATTGTACAGTGGGACGGAACATGGATTCGGTGTTCGAGGCAACGTCTCGATTCCTCAGATCAAGTTTGCTAAGGAAGAGGCTTATTTCCAAGCAGTTCGGTGGTTTGACTCTTGGGGCAAGGCAGCAAGTGGTGGTAAGATGGAGAAATAAAATAAATTTTCTGTAGGCTGACTTTGAGAGATGACTCACGGGGGCAGACTAGAGGGAATAACTAATGTGGCTTGGAGGAGTTTAGGCAGTGATATATGATTATGAACAGATCCTCTTTCACTGGAGAGTGCATGCACATGTCGGAATTCACCTGGCTGAGTAATTGAACTAAGGCGCTCCCGTCATTAAGGTATAAAACCTCTCGTAGGGCCCCGTTGTCTCCTCCAAACTTGAATTTATTCTAAAGGCTTAGTTTTCAATTTCCCCACCAAGAAAACCACGAGCATGTCTGACACGCCTATTATCAAAGGTCCCGGCTATAACTTCACCGCCGATCCTACGACCTCCACCTTCGCAGTTTCTCCAAAGTCGTATCTGGCAGCCAATCAAAATGACAAGTACAACGTGCTAGCGACTGGTTCTCTAGTGTTCGATCTCTCCACTCATCCTGAACCTCGGATTCTACTTCTCCAGCGATCCCCTGGCGACAGCATGCCCAACAGATGGGAGACCCCCGGCGGCGGCTGCGATGACGAGGACGAGAGTATTCTGCACTCTGCCGCGCGAGAATTGTGGGAAGAGGCCGGCCTGCGGGCAACGCACATCAGCGGCCCTCTCGGAGAACATCACCTGTTCCGCAGCAGGTCCGGAAAGAAGATCGGCAAATTTAACTTTCTCGTCCAGGCGGAGGTGAATTCCAAGGGTAATTTGGAGGTTAAACTTGATCCGAACGAACACCAAAATTTCGTCTGGGCCACCTTGAAACAGGTCCAAGAAAAGAAGGTTAACGACATCGTGTTGGCTTTCACAACGGCGGATACGGAGAATTTGATAGTAGAGGCATTTGCCTCGATCAACAAAGACCACTGATACGGGTCTCAGACGGTGTTTGATTCTTTCTAGGCGCTATTCGGTAGGAGCAGAGCGTTCCTGGATACATATACCGTGGTTACATTCCTAAAATGCGGATAGAATTTCTAAAAAATGCAACCTTCATTCGTCATATCCTAGTCTGTAACATGACCTGAACCCGCCTCAACGCCTCTTAATGCTTGTGAGGGCAATGGCACGGCTATTCGTAATATATACTACCTGGTAATGCCTTAACCACTACTTGCGTTGCTTCTTGTTGCGAATTCTATTCCCTTTGTTGGTTGAAACGTGCGGAAATTCGTAGTTATGAAAAAAAACAGGGACTTGTGACTCACTTCTTAAGCTGTTTCTCGAGGAGATTTGCGCCAACAGCACCGGCGGCAGCACTCGCAAGACTTCCCAGGACGCCCTTGCCAGCCTTACGTGCTGCCCAGCCACCGGCACCGCCTCCCACAATTGTTGCACCGAGGCCTCGCTCACCATCGGGTACTGTGGCTGTCTCATGACGACCCTGCATATTTGCGTGTTGGTTAGAAGGAAATGCATGGCGTTGAACATTCTGAGGCTAGAAGAATGCGGGTTAGTGAGTGTGGTATTGAGGAAGTAGACAAAACGTTGTCTCACCTGTCGAGGAGCGTTGTGGTAATTGGTGAACCCGTAGTAGCTCTGGTTAGACATGATGATTGTTATCCTCGGAGACTAAAAAGTTTGGTTTTGATGGAGTAGATGTGTGAATGTATCGATTGTTTGCTGAATGGAGTCTTGACGGTTTTAAGCCAGTTGCTAAGTCGGAGGAGCGCCTCTATTTATCGTTTTTAGAGGCTCAAGACTCGGGCTATGGCACTTCTTTCACCGTCTCGTGAATCTCATGTAGATGGAGGCTTAGAGAACTCATCCACACGGCTGACGACTCTGTCTCATGTTCGCAATGCCAAGAAGACACCAGCTTCTCGAAGTCCCACAGTAGCTTTGGCTATTGGGGTAAAAGTTGAAACCCTACGTCATGTCCAGCTGAATTATTGTGGCTCATTGGGTTTTGGATGAAGAATCCACGTGTAGCTCTCAGAAGAAGCTGGGTACATGGGAGTTTTTTAGTTGGTGGCTTAGCTTGTTGTCATCGTCAGCGCCAAGACTGACCTGTATGATGCCCATCACTGCCCAAAGCCACTGTATATGCATTTCCAGGCTGAGCGTGTTGATTGATATTATTATATCTTATTATCCGTTGAATACAGTTGAAGTTAGACTAAACGACAACGGGTTCAGACATTCCGTAGTGGCATCCGGCTAGCATAAAGGGAAGTGGAATGACAAGTACTTTCATTTTCTCTTAAATTTGACATTTCAATCCTTCATCGTATTTCCTATCTGTTAATTCTAAATTCAAGTTAGCCAAGGCAATTTGTCGCCGATTTGAGTTTCCGTCACTCCCTCGACGGACAGTATGCTGTCTGTTGGTGTAAATCCTAACCAAGACAGGCAGTCTCGCCTTGTAGCCTGTCAAGTGGCTGTGACATATGAGAGCGGCCAATAGTAAATTTAACATGATATAAAATAATCAAGACATTATTTAGTAAATTACTAACATAATGGTCATAGTATGTCCTATTATTTATGAATCATTGTGTGAATCATTGTGTTGACGTTGGTGAGAGAAGAATTGGTTGCAGGGCGGCATTGGGGTGGGCCATGTTTTATTCCCGTCACTGTCAATGCGTTCCCTCATCCATGGCTGTTTGAATTATTAGTGCGAGTCAGCACGATGTAATCAGGTGACTGGCCCATGCCTCCTATCTGGTCAATTCAGTGCCGAAATGATCTTTCGAGGGCTCACGCCCAATTTTCGTGCAACAAGCCGAATGAGCCGAACGAGCTTCAACTCTCCAATATCCCTTCAATAACTGCCAGCGCATTCCTCCCTGGTATTTCTGGATCTAAAATACTCTGATTGGGCGAATAGCCAAGATGACGCGGGCTCGCCCTGGCCCCTCCTTGCAGTTCATCAATATCGCGACCCCTGACGACACTGCTTCCCACGCACGGCGACGGCAGGTCCGTTCTCATGCTGCCAGGAACTCCAGTAAACGTCAGAGGGCCGTCTCCGAGTATCAAGAGAAGTCAAGGCAGCATGGCTCAGCATCAGCGCGGGCAATACTAACTACCCGTTCACCGCGCCTATCCCATAATTTGAGTGCGGCGTGGACAGACCCCTTTGATACTTTTATCCGTAAAGTCTCTCGATTAGAGTGGTTCCTCATTGACCACTGTGAGTGAATTACCTTTCCGTCGTTTGAACCAACTTTATCCTGACATGCCATCAGTTGTTCGACACGTGGCCGGAGTCTCTACAGTCTGCCTCCCCTTCACAAGCAGCCAGGAAGAGGCGCAATTCGTAGAGGAGTCGGGGAGATGGTGGACACAGATGGCCGCTGTGGACACGGGCATACTGGCCGCCGTGCTGCAAATGTCGTGCCGGGACCTCTCGTACAACTACCCAGCGGGATACGCTCCGCTCGCCCTAAGATACAACGCCGAATGCATGGAAAGCGTGAGCGATGCGCTCAAGGACATGACTGTAGCATCGAGCGATCTCACCATTGCCAAGACATTCGCGCTCGCATCCGATGCCGTGAGTTGATATGTTCCTACCTTAGACTAAGCTGTCTGGTAGCTGTCTATCCGCTCCCCCTTTTTGGACGGCACTGATATTCTCTCTTCCGACAGACTCTATGCGGTGACGCCCAAACTGCCAAAATCCACCTCGAAGGCCTGGACAAGCTGGTGGCGATTCGAGGAGGCACCGACACAATGTCGGCGCTCTGCTACGCTGGCAAACTGGTCACGCTCTTCCTGAAGGGCCCCTTTCAGCAAAATGCCCTCGTCACAATCACATGCATAGGTCTGATGGCATCGGCGTACTCTGAAGAGGAGACAAGCCCAGGAGGTGAAGATTAATTGTTTTATTAGAGTGTTTTTATATCCAAATCCTTACATCGTCCTGGGCTCTATGGCCCTTTTATATCTTACAAATGAACCGGGAACCTTTCCCTTAGTACCTTCCCGTACTTGAAAATGAGACTTGGAATGGGTATCATCCCCACGGCGATGAAGCCAAGGAGAGAGGTGCCCCAGCCTACCCCAAGCGTGTCGTACATCTGCGTCCCTGCCAATGGCAAGAAAGCTGCCACCGTGCATCGGAGAACAGCAAACGCGGCCAAGCAGCTAGCAGCGTATTCTGCATATGCGTCGACCAGATATGCCTGAGTTGGGAGCCAAATTCCATTCAGCGCGAGGCCAAAGAAGCCGAGCCCAATGATCGTAACCGCAGGATGCACTGCTTGGTCTGCAGCCCAGCCGTACCAAAAGAACGGGACAGGCAGGAACAAACCGAACCAGACACAGTCTGCCAGCCGCATCTCTGGTTCATAGACGCCATCGTTCTCGCGAGTCATCCGAACCACGGTGCGGTCAGACAGCCTGCTAAAGATAGCGAGACCCACAAAATTGCCAGCTAAGAGCGAAAAGTAAACCAAGCCGGTAACGCCCAACGACCAATGATATGTCTTTTCAAATACAATAGGAATCGTATTGAAAAGGAGGTAGAGGCATCCATACGCAAAAGCAATATACAGCGAGGCGCCGAAGATGATGATCGAGGTGAAGAGCATCTTGATAGGACGGATCAAGCCAACCAGAAGCACTCCGCTCTTGGACACAGAGGGAGCATCCTCGCTCACATAGCAGCTACGCAGTTCCGGACGATTCAGCTCCTTGCGCAGCTTTTCGGTCTTCCGGGCGATGAGAACCTTGTGATTTGTCTCAGGGTAGAAGATGGCCAAGCCGATAGTAGCCAATAAAGAAGGAATGAGGGTGATCCAGCTCGTCCACCTCCATCCGATGGTCTGGGAAACGAAGCCGCCGATGACCGGGCCAATACTGGGACCAATAATAGGTCCAGCCATCCAAATTGCCATGGCACTTCCTCTCTCGCTGACGGGGAATACATCAGCAATGATGGCACCGCCAATGGTCTGGCATGCCGAACCACCTAGACCGGACATGAAGCGGAAGAAGACAAGAGTCTCAATGGATGGGGCAAGGGCACAACCTATGAGCCAGACACAGAACCAGAGAGTAGCGGAGATGAAAACCACGTAACGCCCGTAGATCTCAGAGAGCGGGGAGAGGACAAGGGGACCAACAGCATAGCCGAGGAGGAAGATGCTGACGGGCATAGATGCCATCGTCAGCGAGGAAACCTGAAGGTCCTTGGCGAGAGACTCTATCGCCGGGGCTAGAATAGATGAAGCAAATGGAGTCATGGCAGTGATGAGTGACAGCAAGGAGACAATAAGCCACTTCCGAGACTGGGCAAAGTTCAGGGGCATCTCTGGGTCTTGTTGATGGTCCCAGCCAACAACGCCATTGTCAAGATCAGTGATTGGGAGCACCGGCGGAGGCAGTTTCTCTCTTGATTTAGTCTTCTTGGAGAGCTTGCTAAACATGCTCTGGCGGGCACGGCTCGCTACCGAATGGCGAGTGACAATTCTCTCGATTGCGATTTCATCCTAAGAGGTCGTCATTGAGCAAGGGAGGCTTCACCGTCGGGAAGGATCAGTACTAACATATACTACAATAGATTCTTGTGTGATTCTACCTCCAACTTGCGCTGTAGAATGAGTATCCGGGCCCTGTGACGAACCTTGCTTCTCGTCATCCTTTGATTCAATCGACCCACCGGGCCGCGCTGCCTTCTCAAGATCGCTTGCCGTAGAGACTGACATGATATAAAAGATAGATATCCGATACCAAGATGGCCGGGGTGGGTCACATCAGAGACGATGTGGTATTGGGTCGTTAAGAGAAATCAGTGACCATGTGAAAACATGGGGGATTGGAGAAACGTCGAGTAGAATTTAGGGGCGACTGCGGTTTTAGATGCTTGTGGGGACAGGAAAAGCTCTGGTGCTTCCTCTCATTTATCCGACCCACTTGGCACTTTCGTCAGGTCGTATTTATAATCAAGTGAAGGTGGCCTGGTTCTCCAGAGTATCATGAGTCATACGTTCTCAAGTCGATCTCGGAGATTTCATCGTGTTACAAGTGCTATCTTTTAGCAATCAAGGTCTTCGAACCTTCCCAGGCGTAGTCTTGGACTCTTGAGTACTTTGAGCTTTGAACCGACATGCCTCGGGTCGGGACCGTAACAGGGGCCAAGAGGTTAGCGTTGCAGGGATTAGAAGCGGGTGCTTGTTTAGGCATCATTCAGAGATTTCTTCATGGCAGGCTGAAGATATAGCTATGAGATAAGAACCATAAGGCTTAAGTGATAACTGAGAGCATTGTATCCCCGTGACAATGCTTCAAAGTCGACCCTTGTTGTATGATAGTAAATTGACTTGGGAATAGCTACGTTAACAGAATTCAGCTACTGGAAACTTCAGTGGCCATTTGTGGTCTTTATAGTGGCAATAGAGCTTAATACCTTCGTAAAATATTGATGATCTTTGCTCTAGCCACACATCATGGCAATTTGTTGCTGTGTAAGTAGGTAATGATCTACACCCAGTTAATGTAGGATTAAAGGTGTCAGAAATAGTATACATTGAATCCTTTGACCACACAATGAAGGTTAATGATTCTTTATTGAAATGAGAGCCCAAGGTTGACTGTTTGGGGTTCCTGGGTAGTAAAACGCCAAGTTCAATGATGAAGGGTGTGTGCGACTACAGAAGCTCTTCAGCCATAAAGATGACGAGAAAGTCAAAATAGGTGCGGGCTAGAACTGGAGAGGTAAGTACCAGCAAATGTGACGAGCGCACCGGTGTTCTAAGGTTTGTACTATAGCCTTTCAATAGAAACAAGACCTAGTGCCATGAACAAATAACTTGACATATTGCAATCATCTCAACCAGTGAAACCTAAACCAATTAATGTACCCCAAACGGTTCCGTACATGCAAGTTCAATTCTAAAGTTCTCCTTGATCGGTCTTGATAAATAGAAAACACCCAACTTGTTTCTTAAACTGGGATGCTGCCCCACGTTCAATCATATCGCGACACAGCAATTGAACAACACACAGAGACCCCGCCGACCCTGTATGTATCTTACGATACTAAAAATTTAACGCCCATTCATCTTGGCATTAGGGCATAAGGCTATAATCTGACAGCAGCTTATGGCATGGGTCGACTCACCTGAGACAAGGGTACAAATGCTCGAGCTGAAGACTATTAAAAAGGTGGGCTGCAGCTGACATTCCTCTAAGTTCCCCAAATTTTTGCCAACTAAACTCATCTCTAGCCAACTTAGTTCTTAGAAGAGCAAGATGAGTTCTGTCAAAGTTATCAAATCCCTCGTTGTAGGCAAGGTATTTTCAACACTACGATTTACTTGTTTCATTTCAAGTAAGCTCCAACGGGTATTAATATGACGTGCTTAGGGCCAAAGAATGGACATTACTGTTGATGAGTCTAAACCAGAGGATTCTATCGACCGCTGGGTAATGGACACAATCTGTACCGGCGAGGAGGCTCTTGAAATCCCACCACATTGGCATATGGTACGTGATTATAGTGATGCTAGTAAACGTACATCTTGCGAATTCAAGCTTACCTTTTGATGATGTTAGAATCATCAAGAATATCTAAGCGTGGTGGAGGGTCGAGTTGAAATTACACTCAACGGCAAAACAACAATTCTCAACGCTGGGGACCCTGCTGTCCTTGTGCGGCGTCGAGATGTCCACAGCGTCAAGGGCTTCAAAGGAGAGAGCCTGATCTTCCGAGAGAAACCCGACCCTGCTGGAGCCTACAAAGCGTTGTAAGTAGTAATGGTTGTCAAGTCTTTGGCATGTCTCGCTTCTAACCATTGCTGGGTCGCACTAGATTCTTCAACGATGTGTTTTCAAAGGGTGGATTTGGAGGCATATGGCATACTCTGAGAGCCTTCTATGACGGAGACGCCTACCTTGCATTGCCTTTGGGCGTACAGTTCATCGATCAAGCGGTGAGTACCAATCCTGGAGATCATAGCCATGCGGCTTGCTAACATTGATTCAAGTTTGTTACTGTATTGGGTGGTATTGCACATCTATTCGTATCAAAAAAGCCCGAAACATTCTAGATAGATATAATCCCAGCAGCTTCCAGACAGTGATTCGGTTTTACTGGTGCCATGAGAAGAATTTATGAATAATTGCAGGAACCTCTGGCGTTCCTCCTCGCGGTACCACGCCTTCTATGCACGCTTCGATTTGACCGATCGCCACTCTATCAGTAATGACCCAACCATAGTCGCGCATGCGAGTCCAACGACCAAATACCACGTCTGACTGATACTCTTATCAATCCCTTCAAGGACTTGCCTCGCTCCTGCTGATGATACCCTCGACACAATCTCACCCAAGCCACTCTTCTCCATCTCTCCTCGAGTTAACCCTTCAACGAAACCGCTGAGGTTAGTCCAGAGCTGGTTGGTGAAAATAACTTGGGCGATTGCGATCGCCACGGCTGGTCCGAATGACTGGGCGAATAGCATGATGGACATGCCCAAGGGGATCTCGTCTGCAGGTAACACCGTCTGTACCGCATTCTGAGGCCCCGAGAAACCAATCCCATAGGCAAGGCCGCACAAGGCGGTGTACATGATGAGCTTGACCATGCTCGTATCAACTTCAAACGTTGTCACAAGGCCCGCAGCGATGGGCAGGATGATGGAGGCAAATAGCATGAAAGGGCCATAGTGACCGAATGTACTTGTGCCGGTTCCATGAATAAGGCTACCGATCGTGGCACCGACGATGATGGGAAACATCAAGTAACCGCTCTTGGCAGGGGAATAGCCACGAACAGTCTGGTAGTAGGTGGGCAGGTAATATTCGAGCACATTTGCAGTGCTGTTAGTGCACATAATAAAGATGAAGCCCGCGATGACGGTGCGTCGTTTGATAATTCGAGGAGGCAGTGCGGCCGCGTCACCTCGTCTAAACTGGTTGTAGATGAAGCCAACGAGAAGAAGAACAAACACGACGAGGGGGCCAATAACTTGGCCGCTGCTCCAGGGATACTTCGTCCCGGCCCATGATAATGCAATAAATAGACTCGTCAGTGCTGGGATGAACAGCAGGTTGCTCACCAGATCAAGCTGGAGAATCTTCTGTCTGAAGGTCATCTGATCGACTTCGGTACTCTTGGGTTTGTCCGAGTAGCACCACATAGTCAGAAGCAGTGTGACGACTCCCAAGGGAGGGTTGATGTAGAAACACCACCGCCAGCCAAGTGACTGCGTGAGGACACCGCCAAGCAGCGGAGCAGACAGCGTGGCTATGCCTTCAATTCCACCCATCATGCCGACAAACAGAGGTCGCCGGTGAAGAGGAAGCGACTGCACGAGGATGACAAAACACCCTGAGAATATGCCGGCCGAGCCCAATCCGGCCACGGCCCTCCCCATGATGAGCATGTTTGAGGACGTCGCAGTTCCGCAGAACAGGGAACCCACTATGGAGATGACGTTGGCGATTAGGAACAAATACTTGACGGAAAACAAAGTGTACGCCTTGCCGAACATGAACTGAAAGGCGCAGAGGCAAAGCCGGAACGCAGACGAATACCAGCCCACGTCAGCAACAGTGTGGAAATGGTCGGTGATGCTAGGGACGGCCGTGGCGACGATGTTCATGTCTATGCTAGTGAGAACGAGAACTCCGCTCACAGACAGAATGATGAGCCATAGCTTAGCACCCGTCGGATACTCATCTTGTTGTCCAATGTCGGTCTGTGAGTTCAAGCTCCTTCCTGCTGATCGGTCTGCCGGCTCGCCCAATGGCTCATTGTGGCTGCTAGGGCCGTCCGCTTTGCCGGGGCCAAGTTGAGTCAGTTCATGCCCGACAGTATACTCGACGTCTACCACGGTAGAAGTAGCCATTGTCGGAGGCTTTAAGGCAAGATGAGGTGCGGTATGTGATGGTGTTCGGGGAATGAATGCCCAGCCAGCCCCGCTCGTGGCCGACTCCTATTTTCTGCGATCCCTGTGCGTGCTGACAATCACGACATCACTATAATTACGAAGCATCCCACGCTTACCCTATGTAGCCAAACTATCCTCGGAATTTTCGTTATTGGAAGTCTCAATGCTCTGAGTTTAAATTCATAGCAGTGGGATACGCAAGATTGAGAAGCTTTTCATCATCACGTCGTTCACATTTACTATCTCAGCTAACGAGTTTGAGATGAGCCTTAATTGCAGATAGTTGCGAAGAACTTGGGGAGCCTTCGGATTCTAATTGCCGATCTTCCCAATTCCAGCAATCGACTTGACGTTGGCAGGGACATCAGCAACAGCCCAGTGATCCCACGTAATGGCGCTCTTGTACTGGCCCAGAACAGAGAGAGCATTCGTGTTGGCGAGCGTGGCACTCGTGCCTGAGCCGGATCCGCGGTTCCACTCAGGAATATAGCCAAGCTGACCTGAAGCATTGGAGGCCTCAGCGACGGTCTGAATATAATAGATGCGTCCACCGTTGGTGTAACTGGCGGAAGTGATGGGTGTGGTCACTGTCTGGAAGTAGTTTCCTTCGATCAGGAGGTCGACGTTGTTATCCACATCGAAAGCATGACCGCCAATGTTCTAGAACTCGGGTGATTAACAACGATTATGTTTACTGCAAGTGGTAATAAGATACCACAGACGAGAGAGTTCAAATACAAAGTAGAACCAAAAAAAAAAAAAAAACAGCAATGAACATAAGTAGATGTCACATACCTCAAAGTAGTTGTTGATGGCGTGCATTACGATAGCGGAAGAAGTAGCGGTTGTTCCGATATGAGGAGCGCGGCCGGAGAGATCATGGAAATAGTTGCCGGAGAGGGTGTACCAATCCTTCAGGCCAATCAACAAGGCTGTCCAGTAATGTTTGCCGTTACAACCAGCTGACCATGTAGATCTGCCATCAAATTCGTTATCCGAAATGGTGACGTGACCAGCGGCTCCCCAGCCGGAAACAATCATCTGCCTTCCTATAAGCGAGAACTTGTTGTGGCTTGAAGTGTCACGTTAGTTTCAATTCGGGCAGAGACAAAAGGAAGTTGTTGGGAAGAACCTTACTCAATCCACACTTTGTCAGTGCCATCCAGGGTGATGGCATCGCCACCCCAGACGAATTGAGGGTTCAGTTCCTATTTGGGGTCAGATATGGCCATAACATGAAGGAAGATTGTGCTCCTTCTCTCCTCCCGACGGTTACTCACTGTGAAATGAATGTTCTGAATAATGATATTACTGACGCCGCCGCGAAGGCGAAGGCCTTTGCCCATAATGATACCCTTGGTTCCGACACCAACAAGAGACTTGTTGCTCTTAACGTCAATTGGGGTCCTGGGCGCATTGTTATAAGTGCAGGACACCCAAGTACCACTGTCGCAAGTGTCCTGGATCCAAAGCTGTCCCTGGGACGTTCCGCCTGGACACTTGGTAGTTCTATCATCGCTGCAGCAGTTGGTGGAGGTAGTGCCCGCAGAGGACCGGAAGTCAAAAGTACGGTCAATCATGATGACACGAGCCGAAGAGTCCGTCAAGTACCCAACTAGCCTGAAATGGATTGTCAATCACTATATCTTTCTCTTAGCTACTAAACACTTACTGGTCATTGGTAGTGGGATAGACCGGAGTGGCTGTTCCTCCGCCAGTAGTTCCAGCAGCGAAACCAAAGGCTGTACCTTTGCTCTGGGCTCGCACCAGGGCAGCCAGAGCAACCGGCGAGAAGAGAGTCGAGAACTTCATAATAGAGAAATGACTGTGCCAGAGCTTGGACTTTGCTATGATTGGGAGTCCCCAGGGTTGTAGGAAGAAAGGCAGGTAGGAGTTTAAGGAATGGCTTCCTGCATTTATATGATATGAACGTGCCCATTCTTACAAGGCTCAAGGAGGCAATATGGAACCTCGGGATCATTCCGACGGACATGACACCGACAATTTAGCATCGGCAAGAATTTTAGCATATAGTCACACGTGTGCTGTGTTAATTTCGTTCGACAACCCTGGTCATCAGGTGGGACTTCCTGGATTAATTTGTAGTTCAAGATATCGGAGCATGAGATCACTTGCATAACTGCAAATGACGCGTCACTCAATCCTCTTTGTTCGCTACGAATAAAGTCAGCGGAGAGATCAATGTTTGGCTCAGATTGGCATCGGACTGTAAAAGAAAAGCACGACATGCTGGCCTCAATTGGAAGTTCAGCCCTACCCTGGTTATCGAAATCATACCCGGTCAAATCGCGGCAGTCTTCAGACCTCCATCCATCCCGATTGGGATGGGTAGCAAACGGCACTTGACTCTCCGTGACAAGGGACATTCATATTACCCGCCAGGCTGGATACTCATACCAAGCTGTGAGATTGGCCGTGGTCCGCTTGATATCTTCCGATGTATGCCTTCTGCCCGAAGGTAAAATAGAAACCGAGAGAAGGACACCTACGACATCATATAGTACCTCTATGAGGGAAGTTGAACCGCCTTGCTAATCCAACAAATCGATCATTGTGTGTTGTTCCCCCGCTTTGCAGTGATAGAGTGGTAATTGTTCCATGAATCGAGACCGAGTTACGAAGTAAACGATAACCGAGGCGGCACGATATTGCCGTGACGCGTCGACAGTCTTGGCGGAGACTGACTTTCATACATATCACAAGATTCTCGGGCACCCCAGCTTAACAACCACTTCTCATCGAAATGGTTTTAGGTACCTCTTTGCAAGTATCGCTATGAGAACGCGCTCCGTCAACAGGAGACTTCTTTGTATATGCCAGAATATAATGTGTATCCAACCTCAAATAGTGTCAAATTCCATATTAACCACACATTTGAGTGGTTCCTCGCGAAGACGCTTGATAATATCCTTCTTCGCATCCTCTATTTGGGCTCTAGCATAGTCGTGTATATCTTCTTTCGCTTCGGAAATTTCTTGGTCAAATCTTGTCGTCAAGACATCCTCAGTTTCTTCGCGTAGATCCTTAATGTCTCGCTCAAATTCATACCGCGAATCTTCAAACTCCGTCTTTGAGTTCTCAATAGATCTCTGGATTGTAGTAAGCCTTGACTCTATGGGTGCAAGGAACTTCTCCACGGCGGCATCGATGCGGGGGCCAACTCGTTCGTCAATGATCTTGTCAATATGGGACACTAATGCATTGTTTATCCGTGCATTAATGGCGTCGTCAGTGTATGACTTGATACGTTGATCAATACGAGCATCAATGAAACTGTCGATATGGTCTGTAAACAGCTTGAAGGTTGCCGGGGTCACGTCTGGGTCTGCTGGAATAGAAGGGTTGCTGGCCGAAGGGGTTTCTCGCCGCCGCTTCTTATTACGTGGTCTCGCTACGATTTGGGGCTTCTCGTTAGTAAGAAGGTACACGAGGCTTAATAACTTGTGGTCCTAGTACCTTTGTCTAAAGAAAGTGATCCAGCCGAAGTATTGGCATGGGTTGCGTCGTATGATGGAGGAGAGTCAATGTCAAGCGTAGCAACTTGGAAATCGAGTGCAATAGCTTGGCCCCCTCTCCCTCCATACAGACTATTCAGATCATCTAATCGTGCATCTGACTTTAGTAAGCCTGGAGTAGAAGCAGCTTGGCACAGCTCTAGCAAGGGGCCTTCGGGGATACAATGGCGTGGGAAGCGAAGGTTGAAGGACTTGCGAGACAAGAGTCCAACCTTCAGCGACTCCATCAAGGAAGCAACCTGTTGTGCATCGGGACTGAAAGCACCAGGGCTAAAATCTTTTGGGACCACCAAAGCACCTGGCTCGTGCGTAGTTACGGACAAAGAATGCACATCATCCGAACTAAGCGCTTTCTTCACAAAAGTTGTTGTACTCGAAGGGTCGTCTTGCCCACCCACTACAGCTAGTGACTGTATGTGGTGAGGGCGAAGAAAGACATAAAGGTGCTTGGGACCACGGCGCGAAGGTTGAGAGATCCCGAATTGAAGTCGAATGAACAGTGTATTGACTGGAGATGTGCAGTACTGGATTAAGATTTCTGTTCTAGTGTCAAGAAATTGCTCTTGGCCATCCGAATCGACCCATGATACCACCGCCAACACGCTTGGAATGCGAACGTTCTCGGACTTTGAGGGCAGACCGGCCCTTGGCTCTGCATCGTTTTGGGTCGCGCGAGATTCGGTTCGAAACGCGTCGGCCTTATCAGATCTAGGTTCCTCATCGGAAGACATCGCGATTAGGGTCTGGAAAAAAGTTAGTTTCAAACAAGGAAAAATAAAGGCCCTTGCCCTCAGAACAGAGGGCAAGATCCCGCCCGCCCAGGCTTTTTGAAGTTGGCCCGAGCAGCCTTGACTCGGGTTCGATCGCAGGATTGAAATGTTGATTAAGATGGAAGGTTAACAAGTTAATAGCGAGAAACAGAACGAAGATAAACCACCGGCTGCTTGTTCTGCTTGTCTGACTGACCGTCCGACGACCGGATCAATCGAGGGCCTCGCAAAGAACAATGCCCCGTGCCTTTCAGAGCGCGCGCGCCGTGAGTAGGTCACGGAATTTTACACCGGCTTGGTTGCGAGGTGACCTGAGATCGAGTGTCCACTTAGCCGAGCGAGACTTGCAGAATAACAGACCGGTTTGATGTGACGAAATGAAGGTCGTGATGCAGGCGTGGTGCTGAGGATGAGGTGACGATTTGTGGTGCTGAGATGTGGAGGGAGGAAAATGTGGAGGCTGGCAGCCTTGGCGCCTGCTTTGTTTTGGGATCTGGGCCCGCTCTCACGTGACCAAGAATTCGCTTGCCGGGGTTATCCCGCTAGGTACCTAGGTACCCTTGTTGTCCAAGTGGGTGACAGAATAAATAAGACACAATGGAAAAATGTTTCAAAACAGACTACTTTCTTCAATAAATAGGGAAACTTAACAGTAAAAACCGAACTAAAATAATGACATATACTGCTTGTTTCTGGAAAGAAAAACAGAATACTTTTCGCACTCGATAATCTGATTATACCGGTCGCAGGCTCGACAATAAGCAGCTTAACGTCTGAGTACTACCCCAAATCCAGAGCCACCTTACTGCATATCCACCATCCCCTAAGAAGCTGCTGTAACGACTTCACCATTATCACTAAGGCTCAGCTAGATCCAAAACTACTAAAGAGCCTCAGCCCAACGTACCATCAAGTTGTGGGCATTAATCTGAGGAAGAAGCACAGTCTTTCATGCTTGATAGAAGCTCACTCTCCAGCTACAGAGAAGGCCGTGCCAAACATCTGGTTGACAGAAATTATGTTTTCGAAGTATCACTTTGACAAGCTTAGTGTATCGTACTGCCTTGACTTAGCCCTGTAAATCTAACCTCCGGGCCGTTAGGAACTACGGGGATGGCCCTCACACCGGAAAGGAGTATTCTGAGCCTTCCAGAACAGTAGTTCAATGAAATATCTTTGCTTACTGGATTGCCTCCGCCGATAACCATCACTTCAACTTGAAGACTAAGTCTATTTGGCTTAAGATGAAGACCACTACTCTCAAAAGCTAGGGGTCGAGGCAGCCGATATGACTGGACGGATGGTAGTGCTTTGCAAGGTTACATGTCTAGCCGATTATGGCTTTTGCACTTGTAACTTCAAATCTGGAAACTTAAAAGATTCAACTAGAAATAGACACCTGCAGACTAACATCAATATATTTGGCGAAAAAAATTGAGGCTTATTCCCCCTGCTGTGGGCATTTAAGCATATACCTACCTATTTTACATTGCACTTTGGCTGCTTGATGCAGTAGGTAGGCACTAATCGAATTATGCATATTAGGGAAAGCAAACAAGTAACTTACTTTTAGGTACCTTGGTAGCTAACCCTTTGGCCGGAGTGGCGGCAGGGATAATTAAGAGCGAGATCTACCTACTTCGTTCCCACCTCTGTATCAATTACGGATTACTACTTTTGGGTGTTCCAGCTCATGAAGCGAGCTTGCCCGCGAACCATTCCTTCCTATGCAAACAACAAGCAGCTTTTAGCTGAAGCATAGGCCACTTACGCTTTTCACAATCTAAGAGCAAAGAGACAATACGGAGTCGAGAAGTGGCGTTTCGGCCAAGGGTGCAATTGGATCTGCGCGACGAGGTCAACAGGAGCTCTAGGATTCAAGGATCTTCGCAGCTGCGGCTGACCACAATTGACGCCGCTAGCTTCGGAAGTGCTTCCTAACGAGGCGACATTGATGCATATATGTCGGTTTTCACAGGCCTAGCTGAAAGACAGGTAAGGCAAAATCTGCCTCTTTGACCCGAACATGGTTAGGTTGAGGGGATCTCGAGACAAGGGTAGACTCATTTAGGTAGTTGCTGAGTATCGAGAATGGCGAACCCTGCGCCTTTAGATCAATCAAGCATGGCCGACAGCTTTTATGGAGTTCTCAACTCTTCATATTTTCATTCCCTCCATGCGGGAACTTGAACTCGTATGACAGCTGGACCAAAACATGCAGTCCGACCGATGGCTGGGCTTCGTCGTGACCCGGGAATATCCCACAACATTGGCTCTGCCCAAACCTCCGATACAAAGCAAGAAAGCAAGCAACATGAGAGAACGCACAAGACACACTTGCCTTTCTGGCTGGGCAGAAATGCCTTGATCCTATTCCTCTTGATTTTTGTTGGTTGTGCAGCCTCTCTAATCGGGCTGAACCACTTCATCTCCTCTCGTGATGGCATCCCCCTCACCATATCTTCTAGCTCGTACTCGTGGACATACGGTCCTACTGCGATCCTCGTCGTCATACTTAGTCTCTGGAGGCGCGTCGACTACTTTTACAAGTCGGCGCAGCCGTGGCGCGAATTATGGAAAGGCCCTGCTCTGGCCGAAAAGTCCATCCTCCTTGACTACATCAGCCCCATCCAAGCTATGAGCGCTTTAACGGCGTGGAAGCATCGACACTATGCAGTTGTGGCCACCATTGTCTCTTTTCTGCTTCTCAAATTCGTCATTCTGATTTCTACGACCTTATTTGTGCTTGTGCCGTCTTTTCACCTCGAGCCATCTGACATCACCTATTCCAACGCATTTCAAGCAGCAAAGGCATGGGACTCGGGTGGGTACTTCCCATCCCCAGGCTTCGCATACATGAATGCGGACAGGAGCCTTCTCGCCGGTGGCTCAAGCGCTTCAGTCTGGACGTATCTGGCAAGCCTCACCGATGGCACCACGGGTGAATCCAGATTCAGACCACCTGGGAATATGGTGACGCAGCAATTCGCACCCATGGTCACCGGATCCAATTTGACATTGCTCGAAGCACCGATCGATGTTTTTGTGCCAAAGGTCACTTGCGAGGATGCTGTTCTCTCGTCCACACCGCTTGACTCAGGCCTTGTTGGTGAAGCCAACGACAACCGCACACAAGTCTTCAACTTTGTGTCTCCGACATGTTCGTCCGGCGGGGGGTGGGAGAATCCATGCAGTGCGAGACATGGAGTCACCACGCCTTCGGACGTGTACAGGACGTGCGAGTCACAGCCTCGGAGCTACATCATCCACCGGCTCAACTGCACCGACCCCTTCAATGCAACCAACTATGTGGGTGACGAGCGACACTGGCCTCAGGACATAGAATCATACGACATTCGCTATGCCATTGCAGCAACACACTTTGAGGCCAAGATCGATCCACCAGATTCCCGGGTGGTTCAATCTATGAATGTCATCAACTCGTCTGCCATCATCTGCAAGATTAACTACGGCATCGCTTCTGTAAATGCGACGTACAATCTCTTTACCAACGAGGTCATTTTCAAGGAAGACGTCCAACAGGCAGCGACGAGGCTGCTGTCTAACCTGTCAAGCATCGCAGTTGCAGAGATGACAATGGACAATCTGGCCGTGGCGGCCCAGTCGCTCGTCGTCAGCGAGAAGCTGCCTACTAAGAAGCCGCAGACCAGCACCCCTCCGAACGCGCCGGACGCCCTCTTCCAGCTCATGTACTCCAAACTGGGATCACCAGCGGACATTGACGTCTTTTACCAGGGCCACGTGCTCAAGAACACCACAATAGCGGCGTTTGAGGGCTTGCTTACGGAGTTCTCCCGGCAGTCGATGATCGTTGATGCTGCAACCCAAGCCTCAGCCACCGGCACGGTGAGTGTGAGGAAGCTCTACATGAGATCAGCCTCGTTGTGGATCATGGTGGCTGTGTTCCTGTTATTGGTCGTACTTTGCCTATTGTTGGCAGTGACTGCCCGGCGCAGTCTCTGGTTGAGCGCCATGTCGGGTTCGATGGCCGGGCAAGCGGCTGTACTTGCCAACAGCCTATCCTTGCAAGCCTTATTGAAGGATTCTGGTCACTGCCGAGAGAAGGATCTGAAGCAGAAACTGAAAAGTAGTCAAATTACTGCCATCGCGGATCCTGATAGAGGAGTTGTGCTCGAGGCGCAACAAGTGACGTCGCTTTCTTCAGAAGTGCCACATGCTGGCCCATCTCAGCGAAAGATGCACGAATGGTCGCCTCTTTTTGGCCGTCTTCCGGTTTTTATCTTGACGCTTGTTTTGCCCCTATTCTGTATCGGGACTCTCGAGCTACTCTATCAGCTCTCATCCAAGAATCAGGGACTGGTCAATATTGACAATAGTGGCTCATCGGCGTTACTATACATTATCCGGATTGCATCGACGCTGGTGGTCTTTGGGATTGCTACCATCTTTAACAGTCTTGACTTCACCATAGCTACTTTTGCTCCATATTCTAATTTGCATTCAGGCAGTGTTCGAGCAGATCGGAGCATTCTCTTCAACCTGCTTGCCATCTCACCATTCCTCGTCCTTATCAAATGCCTTCGGCACCGTCAGTTCGGCGCTGCAGCCTCGAATATCTCAAGCCTCCTTGCCGGTTTCCTTACTATTATAGTCTCGGGCCTTTGGGTTCTCACTGACTCCAAGGTCGCGGGACCAGCGACAGCGTCTGTTCGCAACTGGGACATCAGTTGGTTGAATGATTCAAGTAATGACGGCGGTGCCGGTGTCTTGTTAAATATCATTCGCCATGGAAGCTTACTTAATCCTAATAAGATTTGGCAAGACGTTGTCCTTCCCGAGGTTACCTTACTGTCTGATGATGGAGCAGGCTTGAGTGGCTTAAGTGACGCCAATTATACCTTCAGTGTGGTGTCTCTTGAACCCCTTCTGAACTGCACCCAAGTACCCCAGCAGCACATTGTCGTTGAAATTACCAGCCATCGGGAAGAAGTAGGGCAAATGGGCAACTTCATCAATGTTCAGGACACAAGAATCTCCGTCCACCCCCCAAACATCCCGATCGAATGTTCAGAAAGAGTAGCTTTGGGCTCAGCAAACCTCACCTATGACACAACTATCAACACATTGGGCTCCAGGTGGATAGGTCAGTACTTTGACTTGTACAATACCACGGCAGGCCGGGTCTCGACAGCTTGCCCATCAGTGGGCATTGTCTTTGGTCAAGTAGAAGGAGTCAATGCTGCTGCACGCAATCTCACCGCGCTGTTATGCACCCAGGAAATCAAAGAGGTGCCGATGACTCTTGGGTACAAAGGTGACCCTGCCTCTGGCGTCGTAGACGACGGTTCCTCATTAGTCTCGTCTCATGGAAAGGGATACCTTCGAAATGGCACGTCAGGCTCGCCTAGTCTAGGCTTTGCATTGCAAAAGTTCATGGATGCAAACTTCCTCCCTTTCAGTAAGAATGATAACGAGTATCTTTACGATGCATTTTTCAATCATCTGATCCTTGGACCGGATGGATTTGTACGAGAGGATATTGTGGGGGTGGAACAGATTGACAACCTGATACTGGCCGTGGGACAAAAATACGGCGAGTACATGAGGCACGTCATCAACTTGAACTTCCGCGCGGGATCGGAGAGCGTCGATGGCGACCTAGTCAGCGCTGCGGGTGAATTATCTTCGTCTTCAACCACCACGCTCTCACCGACTGTGACCATCTCCGGGGCTTCCTCTCGTGAGGTTAATCGCTTGGCGATTGACAAGACATCGAAACTAATTCTACAGATCCTACTTGCCGCAATGGCGATCCTGGGATTGATAGGATATACTTCCACCAAGATGTCCGGCCTCCTCCCTCGCAATCCGTGCAGCATCGCCAGCACCATGGGTTTTCTCGCAGACTCACAACTTTGCGACCGTGGCTCAGGTATTATACCCCAGGGGTCTGAGCTGAGAAGCGATCACGAGCTGGGAGAGCTATTTGACGGGTGGGTGTTCAGCCTAGGTTGGTGGAATACTGGGAATACTGTGGACTCTGCCGTAGCCACGGCGCAACCGCATGATAACCCGCAAGGGACACACCCTGATGCTAAGTTAATGATGACTTCAGTGTCCGCACAGAGAAGAGGCGCGAATCGCTTTGGAGTCGATGTTGGCAGAGCGATGGGTTATCGAGAAGACTAGAAAGATCTTATGGAATTCAGCTAGTGTAGACTTGACCTCAGTATCTAGGCAAACAAATGAGTATCGGAGTGAATAATTTTGATGTATAATAACTTCTGGGTATGACTAGTGGCGAGGAGGAATATAAATCAGCGTGTAGTCGTGATCTGGCTGATCAAAGCATTGCTGGCCGTTGTCGTCTCCACAGCTCTGGCAAATATCATAGCCGTCGTTGCAAATAGGACAATGCCAATACCAGCCCTGGATCAGCTGGCCACACGGATCACAGAAGCGCCTGGGGTACTTTTTGAGCCACTTGTGTCCTTTGCCTTTGCAGCCGAACCCTTGAAAGAGGCAACCCTGACACATATCAAAGTCGCCGTCGTTGCATTTCTTGCAGTGAATATAGGGCCCAAGGATAGTCTCATCACAATTGTCGCACTCGCGGTCAACGTCCAGCAGCGGCCACTCGTTGAATTGTGAGTACTCCGCATATGCCGTGCTATCTTCCTCAACGGCGTCTTCTCCTTCACTGTCGTCCTCTCCATCCTCGCTCCCCGCGTCTCCATTCTCTTCCGATTTCTCCATCTCCTCTTTTTTACCTCGAAAAGGGAATGAAAAACGTTAGTGAGGGAACATCATACGTGGGCATAAGGGTGATAGAACTCACCTTTGCGCTTGCCAACCTTGTATCCTACCACACCACCTACTGTAGTCCCCACCGCTGCACCTGCGGCGAAGCTAAGTAAATTGTTAGACGATAAGCCCCAAAACTTCTTGTCCTTCTTGTTCTTGTCCGGTGGAGCCGAAGTCTCGTAAGATTCTTGTGTTATAACGTCGCTGGCCGGTGGCCTCCCTGGAGGAGGACCGACTGGGGGAGCGAAGTCGTCCACATAACCCTGATAGAGAACTGGAGGTCCTATGGGAGGAGGATTATACTGATTTCCTAGTTTAAAATTCAAAGGTGAGTTATCCATTAGATTGAACGTCAAGGAGAGGCAAGCTATGCCGTATTGGCTGTACTTACTGTTGCCAATACGAAGATCCTCCATCCTTTTGATGACATCTTCATTCAAGCCCTCCATATTATTTGACATTTTTATCTGTGGAAATAGTTCAAGAGGCGGTACACAGATAGCTAGTGGTTGAATTCAAAGCTGGAAAACAGGATAAGGCTTTCTCCACGGCTTTAGCAATATATAGCTGGTGCGCATCCTTGCTTAGAGAATATGATTGATGATGAGAGATCAGTAAGCACTGTAAGCTTTATTTTCGTATTTGAATCAACTATTGAACGTCACTGGCTGCTTCTACCGCTGGAAATAGTATTCTTCGCATGGGTCGAGGTAAAAGATGTCTACTCGGCCAGATAAGGAAGTATGGTGCGCGGCAGACTTCCAGACGGCTGACCGATTGGATACCATTCATTGCGCTTCCAAAGGAAGATCGTCCAACTCGTGGCCATTCGGGGAAAGGATAGGCCGCCAGATGCTTGAACAGGGTTAAATCATGGGATCTTAATAAGGGGCAGTTCTCTGAGGTCAAAAGAATCGACCTATACGCAGCAGTTAACCCAACTATTATGTTTTTGCAGAAAATTACGCTAAAGCAACTTGATATAAATTTCAAAGGCGTAAACTTCCGACAGAACTTAAAGGGTGGGCGAGCAAAATTTGTGGCGGAAGAGCGTACAGTTTTAATACTTGGCAACCTTTACTAGAATAGATACGACCTAACATCTGATGCCATGCTATAGTACCAATTGTATATCCGTTTACTCTGATATCATACAAACTTTGTTCTCATGCTCGCTCCTCACCCTCTACTTCAGAACGAGTGGCAGTCTCCTTGTTTGGAAGGAGGTTAAAGATCACTGGGAGCACTGCTGCCAGAACCATACCAACACCCAAGAAACCGGCCGTTACTCCAAATCCGATGTGGTAAGTAGGCTTGTCCCACGAGGGCCAGATCCTACTACCATATACACTTGAAAAGTTACCAAATGCGTTGACCATTGCCAGAACGACAGCTCGCTTCTCAGGTGGCAGGCTGATTGTCCCGCTGGTCCAGGACAGAATAAGAGGCAATGCGGTCCAGATACCCGAAGCAATAAAGCACACCATGACGTAGCGAACGATAGGTGTGTTGACGGCGGCGCAAACAACACTGCCAACGCATCCAAGGGCCAGGGCGGCGGTGATGTGCCATCGTCGCTCAACCTGACGGTCCGAAGACCACGCAACGATATTTAAGACAACGGCGGCAGTGGCGTAGATGGGAACAGTCATGTACTGAGCAGTGGTCTTGTCGTAGCCGAGAGTGACAGTAATGGTTGGGATGAAGTACGAAATCGTTCCGGCGCCAACATCGAGCATGAAGAGCACGATGAACAGGTACGTCCGAGGGTCGGAGATGGCCGCGAGGAAAGCCTGCCAGTGGGTAAGACGGCTTGTGTTCTGGTCTCCTGAGGCGATACCGTCGGCGATGATGCGGATAGCGGCCAGGTTTCTCTGTTCGGGGGTGAGCTGTTTGGAGGTGCTTGGGTAGTCAAGGAGGACGAAGAAGGCGATGATTGCGACTCCAACAGTGGCAACGCCTTCAACAATGAAAAGCCATCTCCACCCAGCAATTCCGTGTGCATCGTGGAGCTTGGAGGTGACAGCGCCTGCAAAGATGCCTCCAAACGCGCCTGAGAGCACGGCTGCTGTGTAGAAAATGGCAAACCGCTTTCCAAGCTCCTTTTTGGTGTACCAGCAACTGAGGAGGTATAGAACACCAGGGAAGAAGCCGGCCTCAATACAGCCCAGAATGAACCGGAAGGCAAGCATTGCGCCGTAGCTATCGGCTTTGGCCATGACAGCACTGAGAGCGCCCCAGATCAGCATGATACCAGGTAGGAAGATGGATGGTCGGCTTCGGCTAAGAATCATGTTGGAGGGAACTTCGCAAATAAGGTATCCAAAGAAGAAGATGGACAGAACCCAGGCGTATCTTTCGTCTGTGAGCCCTAGATCGTCACCCATTCCTGCGATCATGGCATTTCCCTGTAACAATTAGATCACGTACATTGTGTCTCGCCTCATGTACAGCACTCACAATGTTCGTCCGGTCGATGTAATTTAAAATATACATGATCCAGAGCATAGGCATGAGGAAGAAGTCGATCTTTCGGAGGAGCTGCTTCTCCTCAGGTGATCCTGGTACATAGTTTCGCAGTGCCTCAGCGAGCTCAGGAGTCATGGCATTGACATCCCTGTTCTCCAGGCTCTCCTTGAGTTCGATGGACGCCTTGTCGTTTGCCATTTTGCCCACTTCAGACCGTTGTGTTCTCCTGGAGTTCAAGGGAGATGTTGGCTGTCTGAATTAAAGTTGAGCTTGAACTGGGGCAGATACACCTCCTTTTGTAGTCTGAAGATTCCCCAGAAAGTCTAGAAGGTGCGGAGAACGGTCCTGAGGGGATCCGCCCCCAGTTACTCAACCTACTCCAACATAAACAATGTGGAGACGGACCATGGAATCTAGGCCTTCTCCCATGGGTGGAACCTTGGATGTGGCGGCCATCACACCGATTGGCCAATTCGTTCTACAAGCGTCAAGCATGCATGTATGTATTGTGATGGGCAAAATAGGAGAGAACTAGCTCATGACTCGGGCATTTGAGATCCTAGAATTCCCAAGAGATCCATGTGGTAGTAGTCAGAGCCAAACCCGAACTGGTCTGATAGCCCGGCGGCGCCGAATCCCCAATCCGTCTCTGTCCCCCATCCTTGCCGGGATTCATTCCACCCTAAAAGCATATTGCTGTCGTTGGCAGGAGTCTGCAACTGTAGCTCGTTCGATGTCTCCCATCTGCGGAACTTCTCCAGCATGCTGCGGAGCCCATTGGCAATGTACTGGTTGACATGCCTGGAACAACCCCTGGTGTCATCGAGCAACACTACTATTGCCTCGATAAGGTGCACAATTTCATGGAAGCCAACCTGGAAATTGGCCGATCTCCACTTGGAATGGACCTTCATTAGGAAGATGGATGCATGCGAGATGGTGGTCAGTAAGTAGAGTGGAACACCAACTACGGCTTTGCGGATATCTGGGTCCTCCAAGATCAAGTGCAAGGCTGAGGAAGCACTCTTCAACGCGACGTTGATGAACTCTTGCCTCTCTGTAGAGATTATTGGGTGAGATTCGGGGCTAAGTCCTCTGAGGCTTACACCGAACAATTGCAGCCGGGCAAAGTGATAATGGAGGGTGACTCCTTTAGCTGGGTAATCTCCAATGTCTGGGTTAGGGTCTGTGACCTCGTTAGGGTTGTTACAGGACGATACTTATTGCAGGGAAAATACTTTCATACCTAGCCTTTGTTCCCACTTTCGCCTCCATTGATCGATGTCCGCGCCATAGCGCCGGATGGACTCAAACTCGTCGTTGGCCACAAGCCTAGATCTATCGGGACCAAAGCTGAAGTCGACACGGCTGAGGATCATGAATATTCCCACCTGGCTGTGGAGTCGAATGTCGGATTTGGTAGCTCCTGGCAGGTCTAGAAACGCTTGATGGTTTGTGATGGTCATATCTTCGTTGATCACGGGAGGTCGTCCATAGGCGATGCTGAAGTGATGATCACACACATACAAGACGTACCAGAGCCTCGCCTTCTCAAAATGGGCTGCATCACCTCTCAGTGCCTTTGCGCATGACTGATGAATATTCAGCTCGGTAGCAATGCGCACAGCCAGACCCGATAATTTCCAACTGACATCGGAAAGCCAAAAGGCACCAATGCACAAACCCCTTATGTCGTCAAGGTTGTGGTATCTTTGAAAGAGGCTTTGCCCAGCAATCTCCAACAGTATCGGGTAATAACGGTCAAAACTTTGACCCTCATCTTGTGTGTGAAGGGCGGTCACGGCGAGGATCGCTGCCACTAGTAGTGGCGACGACTGGCGGGCAGAGGCCAGAGTATCATGCACCAATACTACCCCTCCCCACAAATATGCATTGAGTGTCCCCTTGAAGGTTGTGAAAAGCTTCTCGGCATCAGCTAGGCAAGCTCGGTCTTCGTCGATGAAATCCATGGGCTGGCCCCGGTCGGATGTCACTGGCCCATGCCGGTGAGAGCCGGGATCACTTCGTATGTTCCTCAGCCTAGTGACTTTGAAGAGGCTAGCCATGGGGGCGCCGACAATCACCTGATCATCTCTGGCCTCGGCATCGCTTTCACCATCATTCAAGTTGTCTGGCGAATTCTCTCGGGTCATTGCGGTTACATTCGGAGTTGGAAGGCTCTGGTTGGGGCTTGTATTAGGTGTGCTGCGAGCCACTGGCAACTCCAACCCCTGCGATGCCCGCAGTGAAGCTAGTTGATTCTGGACATCTGCCAGAGATGTCTGAAGCAACTGAAGCTGGGACTCGACTCCCTCTCGCCAGTCACTCCTGTCTTCGAGGACTGCTTGCAGATTTTTGTTGAATATACATTCCGCTCCGAAACGTAGACACCTTACACATTTAGACTGAGAAGGCTCAATATCGCACTTGACCTTACGACTCTGACATCGTTGGCCTAATCTTGGTTTGAGATGTATTCACATAGCCAGTGCTGGGGCTAACTTACAGGCACGTATCCTCCGTGAGATCTTGGGTTGGTGTTGACGGCTCTCATCCGACCCTTGTGGGTCCTCGGAGTCAAGGAAACGAGCGCGTTTCATCTTGTCACGCGGGTCGTACGAGGATCAGTGACGATCTACTGTAATCTTTGATAGTCAAAAGGCTCACAGCTTCAGGCGCGGGTGAAATGCCGTGGACGGAGCTCGGGCCGTCTGTACATGAGAGAGGACTCTGAAATGTTGCGCGGATGGAACACCGCCCAACCCGTCCGACAATATGGACCAGCTGCCAATATAAGCAATGAGGAGAGGACTTCACTCCGTGCATATGTGGATCGTTATCATGCTTTGAATGCTAGTGCTGTGGGGATAGTCTCCACGACCGAGTTCGAGATCTCAAGCGCAAATAGCTGGGGGTTGCCACCCTCGGAGCTTTTCCGAGTTTGGGGTGACTTAAAAGTGATATTGTACGAGACATGCCAAGTAGAATGTGTGTTCGGGGAGCCTAATTCATAATCATAGACAAAACGAAATCATGACCTCTGTTGGAGTTATTGCTACTGGCGCAGCTATCGCCTCGATTAGCTCCAGACTTGGAGTAAATTCCAATTGGAAAGTCTCTTCGCATAATTTATCACTACATGCCAAAGACAACTCCTTAATCACAGAAGTCTGCAGAAGCGATTTCGTTATTTTGGCCACAGATGATTTGCAACAACTTGACGAAATTTTGTTCCAAGAAGAATCCAACGTCTTAAAAAGTGAGTGACATTTTGGAAACCTTGAATGTATACAGATTCTGACAGAACCAGACTTGCCACAAAAGGCAGTACTTCTTCTAAGTGCGGTATCACACAAGTACTATGACACCCTCTCTCAGCGCATTGCTCAGGCAGGCAGACCAGACATCCTGCATGTTGACTACTATACCAGCAATGGCGGCAAAACGGCAGCCGAAGAAACAGTCAACATTTGGGCATCTGGTACAACTGAGGCCCTAGCAGCATCAGAAAGCCTGCTTCGTGATATTTCCGACAGGCTGCATATGATCCCCGGCGGTTTGGGTTCAGCCAGTAAAGTGGCCCTAGTCAGTCAATTACTGATCGGGATTCACGCTGCCACTGCTGCCGAAGCCACGGGACTTGCCGAAAAGGCCGGTCTCTTTACAGAGGCATATGAGATCGTGCGAAATGCTGCTGGTGGATCTACAGTATACGAGAGTCTTGTTCCCCTTATGCTGAGAAAACAATGGGAATCAGACACTCCGCTCAATGCTCTTCTTAACAACCTGGTTAGTCATTCTACAAATCGGGTAATCAGAGATATCACTAACTCTTTACTTAGAGCTCCGCCATTGAGGCTGCAAGGGAGCTTCATTTTCCGTTACCTTTGGGATCGACGGCTGAACAAATTTGCCTCTCGGGAGCCGCGCAATCGTATGGCGATGAGAACGCCGCTGGCTTAGTACGATTGTTTGCCCCAACACAATCCCAGAGCTCCCCGACACCTGTACCGGCAAACGATCCTCACGCTGCTCTGTTAACGCCACCATCCTCTGAGGTCTCCAATGTTGCTGTCATTGGCTTGGGCGCCATGGGCCAGGGAATGGCTCGATCACTCGTTCGAGGAGGTTTTGCCTCCGTGAAGGGGTATGACACTTATCCTCCTTCAATTGAGAAGTTCGTTTCTGCCGGTGGCAATGCCCTAGCAGCATCGTCTCCGGCGGAAGCCGCCAAGGACTCAGAGGTACTGGTCATTGTTGTGCAAAACGCCGCTCAAGTCGAAGATGTGCTGTTCGGATCCGGCAAGGCTGCCGATGCGCTTCCCAACGGGGCGTCAGTGGTTCTCAGCTCAACAGTACCGCCATCTTTTGCCAAAGAGATAGAGCAGAGACTCCATGGCTTAGGACGCGGAATCAGGTTGGTTGATGCACCCGTAAGTGGCGGCGTGGTACGCGCCGCTCAGGGGCAGTTGACGGTAAGCCTATTATGCCACTCATAAGATCAAATATCTAACATGCTGCAGATTATATGCTCAGGCCACCACTCAGCGCTCCAGGCTACTCATTCCGCTCTTCTTGCCATGGCAGGAGTTGAAAGCAACATCTGCAGGGTGAAAGGTGGCGTCGGCGCTGCTTCGTCTGTGAAACTTATCAACCAGCTGTTAGCCGGAGTTCATATTGCCGCCAGTGCCGAGGCGATGGCATTCGCATCACGCCTTGGCCTTGACACCAGAATCGTCTTTGAATTGTTTAACCTGTCTCCTGCTTGGAGTTGGATGTTTGAGAACAGGGTGCCTCAAATGCTCAACGCGGATTGGACTCCGCACTCTGCGCTCGCCATCTTTGTCAAGGATCTCGGTATCGTTCTAACAGAGGCCAAGAGACTTACATCATATACACCAATCTCTTCCACTGCACATACTCTTTATCTTGACGGAGCCGCCAGAGGCTGGGCCAAAGAGGCTGACGCCGGTATTTGTCGTCTCTGGGAGTCAGCTGGGGCATCAGTGAGCAAGAGCGCATCAAAGCCACCACAAGCCAATCACACCAACGAAGACATTCAGGTCAAGCCCGCAGCAGAAGTTTTCAAAACGCTTCCTCAAGAATATCAGGTTGATCTGCTCACCTCAACTGCGAAGGAGGTCGCACAAGGCAAAGTCCCGGTTCTCGTTGTTCTTGATGATGATCCCACAGGAACACAAACCTGCCATGACATTGATGTGCTTACTATCTGGGATGTCGAAACTTTGAAGGAACAGTTTCTAACAGGATCCCGGGGCTTCTTCATTTTGACGAATAGCCGCGCTTTCCCTCCCATTAAGGCTCGAGCTCTCATCGTGGGTATTTGCGAAAATATCAACAATGCTGCCAAGCTCACTAATCAACACTTTGAAATTGTCCTCCGGGGTGACTCAACCCTCCGTGGGCACTTACCCGAGGAGCCCGAGGCTGTAGAGCAGGTTCTAGGAAAGACTGATGGCTGGGTACTAGCGCCATTCTTCCGTCAGGGAGGACGTTTCACAATCAATGATGTCCACTACATCCAGGAAGGAGAAGACCTCGTACCAGCGGCGCAGACCCCCTTCGCACAAGATGCTACCTTCGGCTACAAGAACTCAGACCTGAAGGCATATATCCTAGAGAAGTGTGGCGCGCGATTCAACAAGTCTTCGTTTTTATCCATTACGCTCGAGGATATCCGCCAAGGAGGGCCAGACCAAGTCAAGAGCAAGCTCCTAGGCCGACCGCGTGGATCAGACGATGTCATCATCGTCAATGCGGTTGCCGACTCTGACATGGATATATTCGTCTCAGGTTTAATGGCGGCCGAGGCTGAAGGCCGTCGCTACTTATATCGAACTGCTGCGGCCTTCGTATCATCAAAATTAGGGATCAGGGGTATCCCGCCACTGACCTTGGACGATCTCCAGAAGTCTTCATCTGCTAGCAACTCCTCCGCGGGTGGGTTGATTTTAGCAGGGTCTTATGTGCCGAAGACGTCGGCACAGTTGCAGTCTCTGCGTGACAGAAGGGGCGAGAAGTTAGCAGTCATTGAGCTCCAAGTCCCCGAGCTTATCAAGTCAAAGGAGAGCGCTGAAGCGGTTGTTCAGAAGGCAGTGGGCCAGGCCAATGACTTTATTTCGGCCGGAAAGGACGTCTTGGTTATGACCTCGCGAGCACTGATCAAGACTGACGATGCTCTAACTTCTCTCAAAATTGGCTCGGAAGTTGCTGCAGCACTTGTCAGCATCTTGGAAAATATTACTATCCGCCCACGATATGTCATTGCAAAGGGTGGCATCACCTCATCGGATGCAGCCACGAAAGGTTTGCGAATGCGAAGAGCTAAGATTCTTGGCCAAGCTGCGCCTGGAGTTCCGATTTGGAGGTGCGAGGAAGAAACCAGCCGACACAGGGGTGTTCCATTTGTGGTTTTTCCCGGGAATGTAGGAGACGAGAATACCCTGGCCAAGGTTGTCGAGGGCTGGGCAGTACAACAGTAACTGACTAACCGCTGTTATCAAGACCATCATATCAAAGCGTATAGCCAAATACCAAAAAGAAAATGTTAGAAAATTCAGAACAGCGATAGAGCACATTTACATAATATATCAGCACAGTTCTTTCACGTGATACCTCATTGAATCCACGCTTCAAGCTTTCTTATTTGCTGCATCATGTGAACACAATCACTTCAAAATGTCATTGAATCAAGTAGCCACCAGGACCGCCCGTGCGTAATACAGTTCAACGGCCGGGTAGAGACACTCGCCTAGAATACCCCTTCAAACACTGGCTTGCAACTTAGAATTTTAGCCCAGGTCTCATGAGCTCATCCTGGTTCTCTACGAGTTTCGAGCGTTATTAGTGATACTGAATTTGGAGTCGACATCTTTGAAATTGGAGAAGCAACTTGATCAGGCGGGTTTTATGCATAAACATGCCAGGAGTGACGGGAATTCAAGACCAAACACCTACATTAACATCCGTGTAGACCTCTCACGCTAATTATCCCTCATCATCTGATTATCCTGAAATAACGTTGTTTTATTCCCTTCACAGTACCAATGCGCTTGTCGTAAGGACAGCCACGGAAAGGGCAGCGAGAATCCCAACAGCACGAGAAGCGGCAGCGCCCGTCTCCTTCGCATCGGCTGAGCTGCTCGAAGATGAAGCCTTCGAGTCGCTTGCAGTAGCCTTGGCAGTCGCCGAGCTCAAAAGGTCCTGGCCGGCAGTAATGGTCACGGGCACATAGGTGAAGCTATAATCCTCCAACTCGCTGGCCGAGATGGTCAGCGTCGGGGTGTTGTCATTGTTGCCACCGATGTTGACAGTGGTGCACTTTTGGGCGACCGTCTTGCTCATCTCGCAGTGAAGGGAGAACTGGAAGGTGTCCATTGACATGGAGAAGTCCCAGTTTCCGGTCTCCTTGGCGCCAGGTGGGAGAGTCTGGCTTGCCCAGGGTCCGATAGTAACGGAGCCATTGTACATGCCGCAGTCATTGCTGTCGGTGCCGTCGGGGCAGTTCAGCAGGTAAGTAGTTGCGGTCGCGTCGGCGCCCAGAACCTCGGCCACCAGTGTCTGAGTGCCGACACCGTCGAGGAGGAGCGAAGTGGTGATTGGGCCAGACATTGTTGAAGCGGTTGGTGGAGTTATTGAGGAAGCGAGTGTGACAGAGCTCCGAAGCTAAGAAACGAACGTGTCTTCTGTTGGCGAGAAAGGAGGAAATGAGCGTCGATACAAGTATTAATGAGAATTGAAGAGATGAAATTGGAAGACCGCAATCGGGAGAAGCGAAGGACGCGCGCGCAAGGGCAACAAAATTAGTTGAATCCGGCAGCTTCAGATAAATTGTCTTACTTCGCGCTTGGACCGTCGCTTGCAGTCATCCAAGCGGCTCTCGCCATTGGCCTCTGAGATCATTCTGTGGGCCATCCAGGCCCCTTTCTTCGCCAGGATGTATCCGGGTTTTCCGGCTGGGCAAGCTGAATCCTTCGGTAATCAAACCGAAACATCCAGTTGGTTGATGACTTCGAGCTTCTGTGTTCAGAAGTTTGCCACAGATATGAGCATGGCATGAAACCAGTTGAGCGGCAATTCCAGGCGGGCTGCTCAAATACTATGTTGGTCGTTGCGTTCACTATTGTGTCGATCGATCGTTCCACCATTATACCTGGCCAATATCTGCCCAATTAATTGGATAAAATGGTATTAGCTAATGCTAGAAATAAATAAGCTTTTTCAAACGTCAAAATCAATCAAAATAGAGCCCATTCATTGGTTATCAGTCATTCGCATGCTTGGCTCGAACAACTGGGCAATCCACGAGATGGCTGACAAATCATCCGCTGACACTTCTCTCGAGCTATCTAACAAAGATCATGATCAGATTTTATCAACATATCACAGCTGAGGAAACTAGAAAGGCTCACTACGATGCCGCCTCTATCAAAATCCGAGAATGTCTGTACTGGCTGCAGATCGAGGAAAAAGAAGTGCGATGTAAGTCTACCTAGCTCCTTAGTAGATTTCTCTATTGACGTGACACACTACACCAGGGCAAGCGTCCATGCTGTTCACCGTGCCTCCGAAGAGGTGAAATATGTCTCTACAGAATTTCATTTGTTGGCCCGGCTTGGGGTTTTCTTGGTTCCAATCCGTCACTCAACCTAGACTTCGAGAATGGTCCAATTTCTACCAACAATGAGCCTCAGCGCCCCCTTACAACCATCCAGTTTCCAATAACTGAGGCTCCTTCAGAATACACTGAATCTGGAGTGTTTGGAATTACAAACCCTCCCGCTTTCAGTGATTTCGGGACAAGTCGAGAACAACCGCCGAGTACCCCTTTCATGAGCTCGCATCAACCAATTTCACTGCCACCCCCAAGTGTTCTTCGAGAACTGATTGACATATTCTTCGAAAGAATATATGTTTACATTCCAGTCCTCCACAAACCCCGATTTCTAGCAGAACTAAACAGCAAAGGCCTAGAAGGGTGCTCACAGGCGCTTCTCTTTGCCATCTGTGCCGTCTCAGCCGCGAGACACACCAATCCCGGCATACGAGAATTGCAGCGCAGTTGGTATGATGTGGCAAGAGAGACGCTTTCAAAATCACTCCATTCTCCAGATGATGTTCTGGCTACTCTACAGGCTGCCGCTATTATCATCTACCAGGCCAATATTTTCACCGAATACTCGACCGCATGGTTGTTGGTTGGCGATGCCTGGAGAATTGCCGTGGTGACAGGGTGCGCACGATTAGATAGGAATTCTCGATCTACGCCACTGAAACTAGACTTGCAAGTTGGAAACAGCTGGATGCAAAAGGAAGAATGCCGACGGGCTCTCTGGATGCTCTTCATTTTCGACCGTGGACTCTGCTCGTTGGATCTTGCACTAGTCGTTGACGACCAACAACTGACTATCAATCTTCCCATGGCCGATGACATCTTTTCCAGCGAAGATGAGCCAACTGACATTGAGCCTATTGGCTACACTCCAAGTATCGACAAGCTCATGGATACAATAGAGAAAGAGATTCGTCAGGGCAACAACATAAACATTCGCCAATTTATCGTAGCGGCGTATATGCTCCTTGGGCGTATTGGAAGCGAAGTTTATCAAAATGAATTCGACTATTCTAAGGGTACTTCCGTGTTGGACTCTTTAAGTGAAGCTCTGATAAGACTCAGGCTTCTTATACCCCCAGAGGCCACAGAGCTTTCTTTTGCCGATCCTAGACATTTCAAGCTTGTGATCTGGCTCAATGCCGTCATGGCAGCTAACGCCGTCTTCCTTTATCATCAGCCTCTTCTTGATGGGGAGAGCTTTGGTGAGCCCAGTGGAATGTCCAAAAATTGGCCTCATTGTGTTGCTGCCTCCCAGAACCTGGTCGCGGGGCTACGAGACATGTGCAGATCCTCCACCGACTTTGCCGATAATGCTTTCCTGGCATCTCTAGTATATACCGCTAGTCGAATATTGATGATTGAGTATATTCTATCATCTGGCAATACGAATTCTCGACAGTCAGGGAGTTCCTTTAATGTGTCATCTAGAAGTCAGAATCTAAAAGCTGATGTTGACCTTCTTTACCACATCTTCCGCCATTTCAAAGTATCGCTAGGTTGTTTGGGGGAGCAATTCTATGATGCGTTTGTTCAGTCCATGACAATTGATGAGGAGCATTCCCGGGCCGCCAAGGCGGGTTCATTGCTCGATATGCTCCGCATCTGCGATCGGTGGCCGTCATAAGAGAACACTGAGGATTTGATTCTTCTATAAGAAAAGATTAGGTAGAATGGCTTAATTATAAATCAATGAGTAAACTCCATAGCATGGGATTTCGTGGTATTCTGAATAACATTTACCTCTGTGATGATTCTCTTCTCTGGGTAATATCGGCAACAGGCCTCCAACTCCCCTTCTACTCATCGCTACGACCAATCAGTTGACCACCATTGGTAGTTATGATCGAGCCTGTTGCAAACGTATCCTTTAGCGAGTATAAATAGGCTTCGGCTACTTCCTCCGGTTTCCCAAGTTTCCCCATCAAATTATCCCGTGCAGACGCCTCGATGAAAACTTGCCGGTGCTCCTCGGGTATGTGCTCAAAGAACTCCGTAGTCACAATACCAAGTCTCACCGCGTTGACACGGATGGGCTTGATATCAACGGCAAATCCCCGAGCCAATCCTTCAACGGCAGCTCCAATACCCGCAATGATTGACCAGTTTTGTCCGGGTCTCCGAGAATAGCTACCGCTGGTAAGGGTAAAGGAGCTGTTGGTGCTCTTGGTCACATAATTCGGGAGGTGCTTTGCCAACAAGGTAGGGGCGTGATGTCGGACAATGGTTGCTGCATTTATTCCATCAAGGCTGGTGCTGGCAAGGATGGGCATGGAGATGCCGTTTCCCGCGGTATAAACGACGTGGTCGAGCTTGCCTTCGGTTGTAGAGAAGTCCAAGAGTTCGATCAAGTTTCTCTCCAAGGTATCGGCGTTTGCCACATCGCAAGCCTTTCCACGTATGCTATCAGCCGCATTTTGTGTAGCCTGTGCATGTTTCTGGAGCCTTTCAACGGCACTCTGCACCTTGGCTGGGTTGGAGCTGCTGATGATGACGTTGGCGCCGTGTTCGACTGCTGCCTCCGCCACGGCGAATCCGATGCCACTTGATCCACCAAGTACAAGGACACGTTGGCCTTGAAGCTTGTTCAGGTATTTGAATGCTGAGGGAGGTGACATTGTATATGCTGTCTGATATTAGGACCAGTTGAATCCGTTGTTGATGGTGTCGAGCTACGACATCTAGGTATCGATCGGTTGTCTAGCACGTGGGAATTTATATCCATTTAAACTCTCTGGTAGATGGAATTATTTCTGATCAATACTGCTTAATTCCTAACTCCCCGACTACAGTACATAGAGACACCCAACTGTCGGCGATAGACCGCTAGCGGCGCCGCTCCATCTCCACATTGATCGGCACCTGGAGCCGCCCCTAGGAATTCATGCAGAATAGCGGTACACTGACTTCTTTTCTTCTTGGATTTCAGTTCATATCATCTCGTAAAGTATTACTTTTAACAAAGGTATTGATTTAAATTTGTTGCTATTCTTCTTTTCACCTTTTGTGCTTTCCTCCTTATAGAAGGCTGTTCCTTAGCGATCAGGGTCGGTACTGGCTCGAGCACGGCAGTCTACACATCACATTGTACAGATTTATTGTTTTAATTTCATTCTTGCCTCTATTAATAGGCTAAAACGCTACCCCAAATGCTCCCTAGTCTCTGAATACCGTTCCAAAGACACTGGCCGTCGTTCCTCGATCTGCTCACGCCCTCTCAGTCCAAACCTGGCACTGAAGAAGAGAAGCGTCACTACTATGGTCATAAAGCAGACATCAAAGATCATCGCAATAAGGAAGAAGTACGGCGGATATCTTGGGTGCCGTTTATCAACCAGCATAGGAATATCATCCAAGCCATTAGTGATGACCGTCCACGTTTGCCGTATGAGAGTCAAGACATTTGCTGCAAGCAAAAGGCCGGATGCCCATATGGGGGTTAGCTAGTGTCTTTCGAACCGATATCTTGAGACGACTCACCGCATCATTAGCACCGGTCGCTCTGGGCCCGCCTCTCGTGTTGGGTATGACGGTAGTCACCGATGCAAGGAAGAGCACAAAGCTCAACAAGAACTCCAAGACGTTGTTGGCATATGCCGATGGATGCAAGCCAGGGACATCACTGGACGATTTGACATGTTCCCAGACCTGAGTGGAAATAAAGCCGGAAAGAGTCAACGCCAGCGAGAGGAAGAAGAAGGCAGCGGCAACTTGATGGGCGAACTTGTCGCGGATGGAGAATAAATCAAAGGCCAGCCTGAATTGGGTCTGCAGAATTGTTGCGGAAGCAAGGTAGCCAAACAGGTTCGCAAATGCAGCGAGCTGAGCAAAAGTCTCGTCGCCCCCAAGAGCGTGCAAGGGTAGCTGGAGCTGGGGGCGAATGTCTCTGCCTAAGAAGAAGGCGAGATAGCTGGAGTTGAAAACAATTCTATTAGTATCGAGTTGCAATGAAGGGCACTCTTTGATGGTGGAGGAGGACTAACATGATGGCTAGAAGAGCAGATGCGCGCACCCAGTGAGTGCTCGTGTAGCCATTTCGTCCCCCCTTGCCGAGTCCACAGAGAGCGCAGACGGCATTTACGACAGCGAGCAGGATCGCGATACCCGTGAGCACGAACCCGGCGGTTGACGGCTTCGTCGGGAAATACCGCATCGTATGGACATGCGGCCCTGGATGGGCACCCAGGCAGAGGGCGATTGAGGTTGAAAGGAAATCGTGCTGGGCGAGGGGAGGGAATTAGGGGAGATGAGATTAGCTGATGGCCACAAACTTGTCAGCTGGAGGAAATGCTACGCTGTGCGATTTGTCCAGGGGCACGGCCCAGGCGGTTGCGCTGGACGGATTTTCCCGCCAAACAACTGCCGTAATTATCCAGGCAAGCTTGGTTCTGAGAAGACCATGATCAATTGACACATTGCCATCTTATGCCGATGAAAACAAACCCAATCCATCACGGAGCAACAAGCAGAAATCAGTGCCAAGAGTGGTAGCCAGGCGCCAAGCACAACGCCAAGTGTTTCATCATAAACAGTAGAAGCAATTCATGAATTTTTTTTTACAGGCAATAGCAAAATGATTACTGCTGAGAATTCTCTTATCCTCTGAATGCTCTCCAGTGCGTCTCGTAAGCGTCTCAAAAGCCTTCACCATTTACTTTTTATCAATATCTTCCAAGTACACTGAAACTTCTTAATAATTATTTTCCATAACCCACAACGCTTCCATTCTCATTCACATGAGTGGCGGGTGATCATCCAGGTCCGCTTCGTGAGGAGGTTTTATCCATTCGTCTTGATCAGTTTCCGGCGGGGGTATGGCGTATTCCTCGCAGCCTTGCTCAATCGGTGGCAACAGCCGGACTAGCTTTGAACCGCTCGCCCGTAGTGTTTCCCTTGCTATCTCGAATCTGATTTCCCATTTCAAACGGTGCGTCAGGCGCATGTTGGGTGCCTCAATATCCGGCGTGATGTAGTTGTCTTCCGTGCTGGGCCCTCGCCCGTTCAAGACCCGAAGCCGGATCTTCTCTCCTAGATCGATGGGCAGCTCTTCCGAATAAGGGATCTCATAAGTATCAGAACGATGAAACAGATATCTTCCACTCATCAGATCAGTTTCAGTTGTCCAGGCTGCTGCGATATTATTGAACATCCCCCGACACTGAACTTGATATAAATTCTCCAGCTCTACCTTCATACTCGCTAGGGTAATCGCCTGTGGAACGCCACGAAGCACTTCACTCGACTTTTCCATGTCTGGAACCACTCTCAACTGGAACGGAATCGGCTTTTTCCCTATTTGAAGGATGGTAGGAAGCGTGACTTCTAATTCAAAGCATAGCGCGGGGATCGATGATGCATTGATCAGCTTCTTGAATTTCTGCGAAGCAGTAAGCTGGCAATCTTCCATGTTGGGCAGAAGGCGTTGTGACCGAATTGAGAACGGGATCGCTTTGACGGTTAGTTGATTATCCATCAAGGGCGGACCAGGTCTAAACTCATGGACCTTAATAGGTAATCTCGCTGTCCAGCTCAGAGTAGAGTCTCGTCGCCGGGCCTCTAGATTCCCCTCTAAGTAGTACTCGACAAATGCCTCATTTCTGAGCGACTGGACATGGAAACTTGCGGGCAAGGTCTGTTGGAAACTGGATTCGTCTCCTGTTGGCAAGTACAATCCTTGTTTCAGAGCCTCTGGCTTGACGGCATCAAGATCGACATGCGTTGGAATCCTCATTTCGAAGCTCCATTGTTTAGCATCACCAGCCTCGCCAAGAGCGATGTGGAGGGGGCCGCTGAAGAGGGTTTGGAGTGACTTTTCACTGCTGATCAGGTCTACTCGAGATCGATACTCAATTCTTTTGCCTTCTTTCTCCACGGCCTTGGCCTTTGCACGGCCGTGGAACGAGATGTTAAGGGTCGCGGCAGGGCTGAGAATTGGTGTGCTTCGATACACGCGCCCAACCACGACATCCCCGGGGCGAAAGGCTGTAGGACCCCCATCGAGCGCAATTCCCAGGTCTTGATTGGAGGATGCGAGGGTTTGCGGCATTGTACCAAGGGGAGCGGTTTCCCCTTTGTCCTGTGAATAGAGGATGTATGTGTAAGATCTAGGTATTTACTGAGCAGGGTAAGACTACTGAATTTTAGGGACTCAATGTTACCCCCGAAAGACAGACTCAATCCTCTTAAACCACCCCTGCACCACTTTCCTATTCACTTATCATCTGCAGATTTGAGTTTTCGGTTCGAACGACCTCTATTCAGCGAGTAGATAATCCTTGGCTTATTTTTATCGAAAGATTCCTTTACTTTCACATGGAGACTTGCCCACTGTTGACATGGACTGCCAAGCCCAACCAAGCCCACGTGTTCCGACTATCACATAAGCTCAACAGATGAGCAAGGTATCTTCCCAACTTATCTTTATATTTCCTTTAATTTCAAATGACTTGAATTTGTGTCGCCAGTATTACAGCTGTTGCCCAATTTTCATTCACGTATGAACGATGACCCCAAGACAAGGAACGTTGGAGTTTGAGAGCATTGCCAAAGTATGGCTTAGGAGTTTCATTCTGACGCTAACAATGAGGAGAAGCCACCAGATAGTCTTGATAACTTCATTGAGACTGACGTGTGCGGGCTCTACTTTGAAGTAGAGTAGCGCATCCTATCACCGAAGCTATCTTATGTCATCTCAATCAAGCTAAAAGCAGTCTTGTTCAATGAGTTCCAGCAACAAAAGTCTGTGAGAATTTTATGTTCATCTATTTCAAACAATAGTCTAAGCTAGCCAAGCTGCAGTAACATCCTTCACGCCATTCGCTATCCATTCGTCATCCAGAGAAGCATCCCCGTCGAAGCCGTGTTCCCCGTCCCGAAACTCCAGGTGAAATTTCGATTTCGGATCCAATTCACGCACCAGTTCTGCAAGCTTAGTGCTACCCTCGGCAGGAACGAGAGAATCGTTTTTCCCATGGTAGACAAATACACCGCCCTTGGGGAATCTGGCACCAGCCTTGAGCTTCTCTAGAATCTGGAATTGCGGATTCTTTTCAGTAAAGAAATCCTTCAACCCTCCGCGCTGGAAAAGACAGAACATGAGCGACGCTCTCTCAAACCTAGGATCACTGGAGACAATTGCTGGTGCTTCGCCCTGCTTGACCTTCTTCAGATGCTCCTCAATAAGGCTGAACGGAATCTGAGGCATGCCGAAAATCGGCTTGTCGTAATCCTCTGTGAAATAGGGAGATAGGAGGTCAACCATGGGGTAGGCAGCCGTAACAGACCGTATCTGTTCGGGGTGGTTCAGTGCTGTGAGAAGACTGAGGTATCCTCCAGCACTCTCACCAGCGGCCAGAAGTTGGGATGTGTTGACGTCGACTTTTCCATCAGTCTTCTCTCGCACAAAACCTGGTAGCTCTGCCAGGGTCCACTTCAGAGAATCCTCGACGTCTTCGATGAGCTCGTCGATAGAGGACTCTGGGATCATTCGATAGTCGGGCGAGACGATGACGGCGGAGTTGCGAGATGCCAGTTCCAACAGCCAGGGCGCGAAGAAGTCCGGGAAGAGACCGGACGCACCGACGAGACCACCGCCATGGAAGCGTAAGATCACAGGCCGAGGTTCAGATGAGTTCTTCGCGGCGGAACTTAGGGCCTTTGGTATTAGGACATGACAATCTATTGGGTGTTCAGAGACTGTTTTATAAGTTGTGGTGTGTATATTAAATTTGGAATATCTTGAAAAATCATCGGGGTTGAAGTGCGCCATATTGGTTGTATGGAATTGTTCTGTTTATTGTGAGTCTTAAAGAAATTGGTGGGCTGTGTAGCAAAACTTAATCTTCAATTTCTAGATCTTTGATGTTTTATATGTTTGAGGTGATGGATATATTTATGATATTATTGATGCGTTGTCCGTTCGGCCTTCGCTCCCCGAAGATGGCCGGCATTCAGCCCCAAATTTGTAAGCGTCGTCGTAGTTAAGACCGAGGGTGCGATTCCTTCGGACAATGAGTCAATCGGTGCTTGGTAATATGCAATTTACCATGGTTTGAAACAAGCGTCTGGAGGAAGCGAAGCTAGCTACCTAAAATCAACGCAAAAATCTATGGTAATTGCTCATACAACGGGACTAAACACAAAGGACAGCTGCAATGCAACTTTCAAGGATGGACAGTGGCATTGCCGAGTGGGATAAACAAAGTGGGATGTGTAAATGCGGAGGCCCAATTGCCTTGGGAGGGCAGATAACATCAAATCTGAACAAGATAATACCGGAGGAGATGTGGCTTGAACATTAAAATACAGAAGATATCAGACCCAACAAACTCAACATAATGAATACGAAAGGTTAATAAAAAAAAGCTTTGCTAGCCCAAGGCTGCAGTTATACAGCAGATAATTCTTTAAACCTTCATACCGATGACTCACTTGCCGTCAGGACGAGCTGCGCATCAAATGACTATTAAAGCTGCCCTCGTTACCCGGCTTCCTTCGTACACTTGTCTTTTATCACACCAATCCAGATACTTCAACACACCAAGTGCAAATCTTTTCAGCAACCAACCCAGTGAGTACCAGTAGCCCCTTGGCCAGAGCACTAACACCGACACACCCGCAGCCATCAACACACAAATCATGACAAGGAACGAGATCTCGGTACCTTCCCTTGAAGGCAATAAGACGAATATAATAAAGCGTAGTGCTGACTCTGGGCTTTGTTATATTCGTCTTGTTGCCTTCAAGGGAAGGTTCTGAGATGTCGTTCTTTGTCATGATATGTGTGTTGATGGTTGCGAATATGTTCGTGATGCTTTCTCCGATCACTATTAGCTTACCAAAGCATGATATCTATCTCATCTTTTTAACAAAAATCTATCTGGATAGTCTCATAACTTAGTTTGTGTTTTTGGAATATTACACCTATTAGGATCCACTTGATCAGGAGCACGCGGAGGGAACCACCAGACGCTTCTTCTCCATCTTCACTAAGAGAGGTCGCTATCAGGCTTATTCTCTTGAAAAATATTCAATTTAATTTCTCGTTTCTAACTAGTCGTGGAGAGCGTTAAACAAGCCAGCTGGCACCTCAATCGAGGCCAGCTAACACTGATATATAGTTATGTGCCATTCTGGTTTGAGCCAAAGGATAAATATACGAAAGAACATGTGATTATTTCTGAATGTCTTGGACTCTGTATTCGAGTCAAATCTTATTCCTGCCTCTTCTCGCGATAGTAGTCCTCAAGGTGGCGGGCTTCATCCCGGACCTTTTCAAGACAGCCAGTAATGCCACATTCTTGGGCCTGGAATCCTCTCGAGGCAACTTCGGCATTCCTATCACCGAGGTTGCTGGAAAAGTGCCATGGCCTGGTCCTATCGCTGTTGCTGCTTCGCTTGTCGTTCTTATCGCACCCAGTGACAGTGCATTCCTGAACTTGGATCACGCCACGGGGATTGGGGCGCACGTCATTGGTCTCGAGATCTCGCGAGTTGACCAGTTCTGGGTTTCGTGGTTGAGGGGTGATCTCGTGGTCAACCTTGATGGGGAGGATGCTGGCAGCCGAGCCTAGTGTGGCAAGGGCGAGAACAGTAATGGCGTTCTTTGGCAGCATCTTTATCGTGTTGCAGTCGATTAGACTCGTAAATATCGTAGGTTAATAAATATTGTTGGTGGTGATGATTGAATAGCAGAAATGAGGGTCCCCAAAAGGTGTGACCGTGTATAAGTAATATCTTGAAAAAGGGTAGCCTAAAGGGTCTTGAGGGTGGTGACGTGAGTCGCGGGACAAAAGAACCGCATTTGGGTCAGGAACTGCTTATTTAGTACGCTCGTGGACCCTGCATGAGTCCGGTACCTACCAGAAACAGCGAGGACTTTCTGGTGGCGGAGGAAATGGTCACTGGGAAAGTCAGGCAGCCGGTAATGCCAATGCTTGGGATATATGCCTGCCTCTCTTGGTTAGGGCCATGACTGATGTCTGGCTGCGCCGACGAATCGCGAGCCGATCAGCGCCCGATACCAGCGTGGCATCTTTGGCCTTCCGCATTTTCCTGAATTGAGGGCGTACTCTGTGGCGGTATCCTTGAGATGATGATCACCACGAGCTCAAACAGTAGCTTGTTTGAGAAGGATCATGCGATCGACACCCGACCCGTCCGCTCACCCCATTGCCGGTCAACCTGTCTATCAATCAATTACAGGCCGGTAAATCAAGCGATCGGTCGCTTATTCATCAGTAGACATGTGATAGTGTTTTATTGCTATGTAAGTACCTAGATATTTCCTACAAATTCTCTTGGATCTGGAGCGAAGTGATAGTGGCTGGTGAGGCGGTCCGCGGACACAGCCACAATCACCGCTACAGTACATACCCGGTGTCACTGCGCAGAGTCCAATGCTACCCATCGGTAGCCGGTATTTCCCTAGATTCCGAGGTATCATCAGGTCAAATACAGGAACCTAACATCACGTTGTTCTTGCCTCTGCCTTGATTCAGTGTTCCGGCATTCTCGGAGCAAGATTGCTTCTGGCAACCAAGCCGGTAACCAAACCTCCTCGCCAGATTACATGCGAATTTTTTCTATCCTTGTTCAATTATCAACTCTACACACTTTTTAAAAGCGATAGGCTATCGAAGAATGAATGCAACGTCATGTCAAGTCAAATAAATCCAGGACCTTCAAGCAGTTTTGTCTACGGCGACCATGCCATGACACTCGTATCCATTGAAGACTGGACATCATCAAGTCTTGTTACCCAAAAGATGTATAATTAATAGTTCTCATTGAGGTAACGAAATAGAATCAATTTTTATAAGCTGAGTCGATTGAGGATTAAGGAAAACAAGCCAATGGCAGACAGTCGGTTAGTGTTTTCCATTTTATTCAATCTGCCCACAAATGAGATAGTAATGATAGTAAAAATACATTTTCTTAATGATGAATTTAGTATACTAAACATTACTGACATCGAATTTTGTAAATAGAAAAAAAGGATCGTCAAGTTTTTCCCTATAGTTGTCCCTGTAGTTGGTGCTGCAGGCACACTTCAGTCAATACCTCTATAATCCACGAGTCTCTCCCAACAATCCCCAGTAACAGTCTCAAAACTATTCAGACTATTCACTTTCTGGTGGCACTTGGTCTCGCCGTTGAGCTAGTGGATGAAGAGCTCGTCACCGTGGAGCTTTCATCGCTGGAGGTCTCATCACTGGTGGTTTCCGTGCTGGAGGTTTCCGTGCTGGAGGTCTCAGTACTGGCGGCTTCCGTGGTAGACGTCTCCGTGCTAGATGCCTTGGTGCTTGAGGGTTCGGTGCTCGAGGCCTCTGTGCTCGAAGCTTCGGTGCTAGACGCTTCCTCAGTCGAGCTTGGCTTGGTCGAGCTTTTTCCGGACGAACTAGCAGAAGTCGAGGCAGCTTCCTCGATTTCGTCAGGAGTTGCTTCGGGCAGAGGGGTCTTGGAGGAAGGAAATGCCTTGTTAGCGCCGGAAGGTTTGCTGGAGGAGGATTCCTCCGTTGAAGAGGGCGCCCCAGAGCTCTCGGTTGATGTACTATCAGAAGATGGGCTCGCGGATGATGTACTCCCAGCAGATGAGCTCTCAGTTGATATACTCTCAGTGGATGAGCTTGCGGATGAAGATGGGGAGACGGTGGTGGAGTTAACCGGGAGAGATGTCGTTCCATCGGGAAATGTTCCATTAGGGGACCCGTCCGGCACGCAAACCATGATTGGGGGCGTCTTGCCGCTGGTGATTTGGACGCGGCATACCGTACCAGAGCTGCAGGGGTCGTTGGGACATCCGAAGTCAGGGGGCGCATCAAATGCCGGGAGCATAGCCGCCACCCGCTCAGTAAAAGCGAGTAGGCCAGTGGCAATGACCCATGATGTGAGCTGCATCTTGAACCAAGGATACAAGAGCGATGGTGAGCTTGAAGCAGCCGGGGAGAGACTGCAATGCGCTGCTTTGGACTGGAGGAAAGAAGCAAAGAGAAGAGAACGTCCCAAAGAACATGCCTGCCGGGATCGTGGAGTGTCACCATCTATATACCAGAATTGCCATGTGTTGGGATATCGACATTCGGGCGTCAATCTAGATTTCCGGAATTGGATATAAGCTTCATTCCACGAGTCGAGTGGGCCATGACAAGAGATCTGGCACAGGAATGCACCGGCACGTCTCCTTTCCCGCGGATAGCAAAACTAGTATGAACTCAATCTCATCATCGTGGACTCCCATCACCGCATCTAGAAATTCCTCACCTAAGTTAAAAGGTAAATAAATAGCCGAAGGACTAATGTAGCCAGTTAAATCTGAGTTACCAAAAGTAAGTTCTTTCATGTTTGAGTTCTCAGTGTCTCAGGTCTCTTTACCCCAGATCACGGCTTGCCGCCCCATGAATCGATCCGCGTGCTCTCTTCTTTGTTCTCTACACCAGGCGTAGTACAGTAGGCAAGTACTTTCAAGTCCTTCCCACTATTCGAGACCTTAGAGCATTCATAGTAGGATGAATCAATACTATTGACGCTGATAAATTAATGTCATAGAAATTGCTCCCCCTTGTAGTGTGTAAATTTCTTCTTCCTTCCCATACCAGTCACGCAAATGTCCAAATTAGCTTTAGAATGGCTCTTCACTAGTTGATGCCCATGTTGTGCTTCTTTCCTCTTCCGTATTAAATTCAGAGGAATGAAACATGTGTCATGCTCTGCTAGATCCTTACTCTAGCTTTACCCTTAGTGTGCGCAGTCCAGTCCTACCTAGTAGTTCAACCAGTACGAATCATCGTGCTTACGGATCCTACCCTCATCATGTGTATCAAATGTTGAACTTTCCAAATGAGGGCTTTCCGACAGTACAAAGTTTCGCCCTTGTCGATCTCAGTACACTATATAGAACGCTGTCATTATTCCATTTTCGGCTGACATCGCAAGCTGGGATCTAACTAAGGAACAGGTGTAGTCGACATTATCTCTTTTTCTCATACCTCTAGCTTGAGCTTCTTCCCTTCCTCACCTGGTTGCAGCCAAGTAAAGAACTATATCAACTGACTTAGACTCTGCGAGTGTCTGGGAGAATCCATGCGTACCCGCACTTGGGCACCAATTTGGCCTTAATATAAAGAAGCTAAGCATTCGAATTAGTCGTAAGAATATCGTTAAGAATATCGTTGGAGGCAATTAGTGATGACTGTGCACTGGATTGGGTGTAGCTGGAAAACAGTGAGATTCTGTAATGCAACACAAATGGCATATGGGACGTTGATAATCCTAGTCTTGAGAGCCCACACCTCTGATGTTCGGTTAGATTGCCGAGAACTTTGCGACCACCCGTTCTGGGAGGAAGACATCGGAAAGGAATGCGCATGTAATCTGGGGGGTGTTGAGGTCCAAGCTGTCAGACAGTCTTCTCCACATGTAGTTTCCGGGATGAAGCTTAGAGTTAGTCAAATGACCAACAACACCTGCAAGGCTAGCGAAATAAAGGCAAGCCGTAGCCCCGCGAAAAAAGAGATCTCTGCCAGCTGCCATGGCCTTCATTGACATGAGACACGCATACTGTGCGCAGTGATCCATGAACCTGTGGACAAAGATGTCGTGTTGAATGCCTGTGGGTCTAGGGTAGCAGGGACGTCAAACATGACAGGCAGCTCCTGGCCACAATACTCGTCCCGCATTTGACAGGTTTGTATCTGATCCTTTTCTTCATTATCGTCACCATTCTGCCTGCCTTGGCCTGAGCACACTGTACCACCAAGCCCATGCATGGTCTCGTCATCAGCCAAACCCAATGGCCGCTCCCTTCGCCCACGTGATTGCTCCGTGACCGGCGAGAGGTCCAATTATGTCATAAGGTTACATTAGGTAATCGGCTGGCGGATTGAAACACCGCCGATTGGCCTGGGCCTGAACATGTTACTAAATAAATAGGCACAGCAAGGGCAGCCTTCCGTGAAGCCATTGAAGTTTTTCTCCTTCGTGCCCGTTTGTCCACAGTGATTGATCCTTCTACCCCTCATTTGGCCTTGGCAGCTGATTCGGATCCTGGTCTATGGGATGGCCGGAGACCGCTCGCATCGTCAAAACATCGCGACCGCCACCTTGCAGACTCTTCATTCCGTCTTCTAACAGCAGCAACCGCCTCGCCGAGCGAGTCATTCGCTGACCATGGCCGACTTTACCCCAGAAATCGACACCGAGGAGGCCACCAGGCGGGCGGCTACCATCTTGGAACGCCATCTGCCTGAAGGGTACTCGGCCGATCCAGAAGTCAGTCTGGGTATTCAAGATTCAACGACGTCATTATCAGGCTCTGCACCTCGCAACAACGCCTTTCCTTCCCAGATCCAGGGCCACCCCGTGGCTTCCAGCCCCCCTAGTTCCGCATTGGGTGCGAAGGCAGAGGCTGGCGAGTCTTCGGGAGATGTGTCTGCGTCTCTAGCGAACGGTCAAGACCCCACGTCCTCTTCATCTACGGCCAACCTCTTGAGCCAGATCGACGGCACATTCCGTACCCCAAGCCCCGATACTCTCGAATCCTCTCTGAAGCTTCAGGGAGGCGACATTCACCGAGACCTGTTTCGAATCACTGCCCGAGCGAGCTCCATTCGTCGAGCGAATACATTTTCTTACCAGCCGTCCCCAAGTCTTCAGCCAGAAGACGACCTGTCATACCCTGAGCAACGTGAGCTTGGAGGATTTCGACGTCACTACGTACGCCACAATGCCCGCAAAAGACACGAGAGCGGCCCGCTTGTCATTACCAACACCTTCGTCGATTTCTTGGACCTTTATGGCAGCTTCGCTGGCGAAGACCTCGAAGACACCGATACCGAGGAAGACTCTGCGCTCGATGAGCAGGAGGAACCAGATGAGAGACGGCCGCTGCTGCCGAGGCCGAGAGCGAGCAGGCGACAGTCACACCGAAGGTCCAGAGAAGGTGATGCGAGCACATTCAAGACTTTCTTCACGCTGCTGAAAGCCTTCATTGGAACCGGCATCATGTTCTTGCCCAAGGCATTCCTGAACGGAGGCATTCTCTTCTCATCTGTCACATTGATCCTTGTTTCGCTTATCAACTGCTTCTGCTTCCGCCTTTTGCTCGACTGCAGGGAGAAGTACGGAGGCGGTTATGGTGAACTGGGTGCAGCCATCGTTGGCCCACGATTTCGCCAGCTCATCCTTGCATCGATTGCCCTCTCCCAGCTAGGCTTTGTCTGCGCTGGTCTGATATTCACAGCGGAAAATCTCTTCTCGTTCTTTGACGCCGTGACGGGCGGCCGCCAGAACGTTGCGTTCGGCGTCCCAGCCTTGATTGCCTTGCAGCTCATCCCCCTAATCCCCCTTGCCCTCATCCGTCACATCTCCAAGCTGGGCCCCGTCGCACTCATAGCAGATGTGTTCATCTTGGTGGGCCTCGTCTACATCTGGTACTACGACGTCGCCGCTCTGTCCTCGAGAGGTATGGCACCTTCGGTCCATTTGTTCAACTCTCAAAGCTGGACATTGACAATCGGCTCTGCCATCTTCACATTTGAGGGCATCGGCCTCATTCTGCCCATCCAGTCCAGCATGAAGAAGCCTCAGCACTTTGGGCCCCTCCTGTACTTTGTCATGCTCCTTATCACCATCATCTTCACATCCGTCGGCGCTCTCTGCTACGCGACATTTGGAAAGCACACCAAGATCCAGATCATCTCCAACTTCCCACAAAACTCACCGCTTGTCAACATTGTCCAGTTCCTATATTCATTGGCCGTGCTTGCGGGCGAGCCAGTGCAGCTCTTCCCAGCCGTGCGAATCCTGGAGACATCGCTCTTTGGAGAGCGGGCGTCGGGTGCCAAGAGCGCCGCCGTCAAGTGGCAGAAGAACGGCCTGAGGACGCTGGCCATGGTCGCCTGCGTCGGCGTCAGTATACTCGGAGCCACGGACCTGGACAAGTTCGTTTCGCTGATTGGCAGCTTTGCGTGCGTTCCTCTGGTTTACATTTATCCGGCATATTTGCATTACAAGGGAGCGGCTACAACGCGGTTGGCTAAGATTTTGGATATCGTGTTAATGGTTGTTGGCCTGGTCGCCATGGTTTACACCACAACCATGGCCATCTTCCAATGGATTGAGAATTAGATTAATTCAAGAGTAGAATGGCGCAAGAAGCGAGGGGATGCGGAGAGTTGGTGGATCATGTTGGATCATATGGGTTGCAGTTGCGGTGATTTATGTTTTCATGTTACGTTTGAGGTAGGTTATCTTTTTCAGCCAGGGATTGATTTGTGAAGAAAAAAAGTTTCGATCTTGCCGCGGGGGTTGGACACGAATGTGGTGAGAGATGCTTCGGTAAAATCAGCAAGTCTGCTTACACAGCTCCAACTACCAGCATGATCGGCTCGTAGAAGCTAAATCGGATGTTTGGGACGGACTCCCACCACATGCTGAATCGTGATGTGTTGTGAATAAACTCACAGACGAGTGACTGAATGTCCCCTCCACCGCTCGTGTCACCCCAACACCGGAAATGACATTGCATCCGGAGACGCCGCTCCAAAGCCTCCTGCTACGTAGGGCATCAAAGTATTGTCCTTCGACTAAATGTCGCAAATCGCAATGTTCATCCAACATCGCAGCTTTGGTGTGCTACGTGTAGAGTCACCCTTTAAAATCACCCACTTAGCACACTCCAATCTTTCGTCTCGTAGGTGTCATGGGCCCCAGGGCAGAGCAGACACACGGAATTGTCCTGTATGTTGGATCTGAGCCTATATCTTTGTACAAAGAGGCTATGGAACTGGAAGTTCCGCAATTAATATCCAATAGTACCCTGATATTTATCATTTCTGGCACTCCGGGGTTCGTGCTGTTCATAAAATTGAAGACTTGTGCAAACTAGACGTTCAACATCCAACCGATATCTTGAAACGCGGCGAATGCAACTACAGCTAGAGGTGGCAACCCGGTGAATATTCTAGAAGTAAATCACATATACAAATAAGCCCAAGGGCGTGGCTTCGTCTTATCGATTCTCCGGTACTTGTTGGTAAACTTTAGGGTGGACAACGCTTATGGGCTGGAAAGATGCCAAAGATGACAAGCTTGCCCGGTTAACCTTGATAGAAACTGAGGCTTAATGAAGCAAACTTTCCAAGTACAAAGTAAAAAATGCAATGAAAGGTGTCCAATTCGACATCTCAACACAATGAGTAAGGATTAGCATCTACTTGCATTAGATGTGGCTGAAAACGTGGAGAAAGTAAGATTTATTGTTAAAAAGCATGATCGTTGATATTTTTTTCAGGTTTTCGGAATGGCCGTTTACTTGCAGTGTGGTGTGTAGGTTTCTTGCTATAAAAAGACTGAACAGGTATACCGACCATGTATGATATCTTTCTTTAATCCTACTCTCTCTTCTCCATGAGACAATTCAAATCATAACCGCCATCTATTCATCTTTTAATACTAGATCTTTCTCAGAACTCAGAAATACCGAAGAAGGATATATATACATATATACAGCGACCACCGCCATGACGCCCACGCGGTACAAATCTCTTCCAGCCCTGGGGATCGAGCTCGAGGGCCAGAGAACCGCCTTCTATCCTGGAGATGCCATCATCGGAACAGTTCACCGAAGTGCGCCCATAGTCTGCACTGAAGCTACAATTGATATCGCGTTTCATGGACGAACCAAATCCAGAATGGAGATGGTGAACAGCCCCTGTGATGGCACATACCGCGGCCGCTTCACCCTTCTGCACCAAACCCAGAGTGTTTTCGCCGGCCCTATGCATATCCCAGGAGGCAGTCCCAAGCAGAAAGAGTGGCCGTTTGCGATCCAGATACCTCAGAACATCGACGCACGCCTGTTTCACCGGCAGTACGATGCAAAGAAATCCTTTATACCGACAGACCCTGCTTGCGTTGGCAACCAACCACTTCCAGCCTCCTTCTACGGGAGGGAGAGAGTAGGAGAGAGTAGGAGGTCGCGCAACGACGGAAGATGCCAGACCCGACAACTCAATAAAAGGGATGCTCCCTTCTTCTACGACGGCTATGGCGACAAAGAGGGCTTCATCGAGTATTACATCGAGGCTACCCTTCGTTATCAAAGAAGGGGCTCTTGGCATGAGGTGACGGCCACGATGCCCATCCAAATCCTGGCCTTCAACCCGAATCCTCCAGTGGTGGATTTTCACATGCAGCGTACTTCTCGCCTGGGGTTGGTCTGCACACAGCGCCTCGTTCCCGGAATGGAAAATGCGGAGCTATCAAAGATAGAGAAGATGAAGAAATTATTCGGTGCCAGGTCAGTACCGGCATTCTTCTTCAGGCTGAACGTGGACCTGCCGTCTGTAATACAGCTTGGCCGCGATCCGATCCCCGTCTTGATGCGCTTCGTACCAGACTGGCCAAATACCAGTGAAATCATCAGAAACGTGCCGCAAAAGGCGACCCTTGTCGCCTTCAAAGTCAAGCTGGAGTCCTGGTGTGGGATTAGGTGTGACGGCCGTGTCCGCGCGCACGACACGAACTGGAGAGAGAAGCTGTATCTGCAGAGCGAGGCGAACGCAGGCCGTAGAGTCGCCGTCGGGATCCCATGCTCAGACAAGACATCACCTACAGACGTTGGCAGGGCACTTAATATACGAATCGGCGGGTATGTGGGTACTCATTCGGTCTTTCATGATTTCACCATGTTCAACGTCAAACTCAGCCATCAATTTTCATGGACAGCCAAAGTCGAAATTGCGGGTGAAGAGTGCACCCTTCACGGGACGCAACCGGTCAAGGTTTTGCCACAACCCAGTGACAGGAGACCGAGAGGTTTAGCACAATCACAGTCTGCCACAGCTCATAGGGCAGAGTCATGGACGGCACCGCCTGCTGATATGGAGCCTCTGCCGACTTTTGCAGAAGTTGAGAGAGTTGATAAGGAGCAAAGCATTGCTCATGCTCAGACAATGCGCAAAGGAGCTGTGACTTCGGCCAAGAGCGGATAAGAAAACTTGGATGATGATAGGTATCTCAAGGAAAGGCAGTAATAGTTATCGAGCTACTTGCATGTTTATTTGTGATTTAGTGTTGGATGATTTCTTTGACGGGCCGTGGCCTCCTGGGAACGGCCCCTTACCTTGATCAAAAACGAGCCGGATTATAATTGAATTAAGGTCGTACTTGATTCGGTCAGGGTATGGCGATGGTTATTCGCCTACTTCTCTAGCCATTTCTGGATCTCTGCAGCAATCTGGTCGCTATTTTTTTCAATAAACATCATGTGTCCGTTTCCAAGTATCCCTACATCCTCCAACTTCAAATGGGTAGCATCAACACCTGCCTGCCGTAGATATTCCACAGTGCACCAGTCATACTGAGCATGGTATGATGCCGGGGCCGTAACCACGAGAACCGGGATTCTCTCAAGGTTGACGAGTTTCCGCGGTGTGTCACTCGCCTGCAGCCGGCCATCTAATAGGCCGGGTGCTGCTGCCTTCACCACACGCTTTTCCAGGTCCGCAATAGGATCCGTGACGGGAGGCTCATACGTGATCGGGGCGTTGGAGATACCGTACGGAGAACCGGGAACCGTCCTGATCGAGACTTTGGAGAACGGCGGCCCCAGGGGCTCGAGTGCGACAATGGACTTGACTAGGCCAGGCCGCACATCGCCCAGCAAGAATGGGATCGGCCCGCCAGCAGAATGCCCAAAGACGATGACCGGTCGCCCGATTGTGTCTAGTAGCGCGGCACACGCAGCCTGGGTTGCTCCCTCCTGGAGGACCTGGTCTTTGATCATCTGCACGCCCGATGCGTAGAACCTGTCGAAAACAGGGTCGCCCATCACACCGGATCCAGGCCATTGCGTGTGGAACTCGGCTTGCGGCCATAGTTTATAGTTCCTACTGGCGGTGAACATTTTCTGGATCTGTTCCGCAGGATAGACAATCACATCTCCAATCTCCGGGCTCCAAGGACTCCTCCCTCGGAACGGCTGATCGACGAGGTAGAGTTCGTATCCCTGTGACAGGAAATATGAAGCCCATCCAGGCTCACCGTCGGGCTTTGTTATCCAGTCCTGGTTCCCGTCAGCATCTATGCGGGCCAGAGAGCCAGAAGCAGCCAGCTCACTATTCCAGTACGAGTCCCGCCATGAATAAACAAGAGCGGGAGCGGCTTGATTTCAATGCTCTGGCTTGGCTGTAGGTGCTCAACGTACATCTGCCCTTGGAGCGAATGGTTACCTTCTTTGTCCCTAACATATTGTCCGCCGATGTAGAAGCTTCGGCGGTAATGAGGGGTCTGTCCAGCAGTTTGCGCTGCGGTTTCACCCATTCTGCGACACACAACTGTCCCAACTCAATCAAGTCACAGGTCTTGACCTTGGCTTCTCTCTGTTATTCTACTGGTTAGAGGATTGGAGCTCAAGACGACAAATTAAACTCTGTCGGTCTCTACGCTAGATCCAAGCAGATAATTTGAGAAGTAGATTATTCCCGAACAAATTAAAAGCACGCCGATCTGACAAGTAGAACAGAACTTGTTAGTCAGCGGGACAATACAACCGTTCCCGGGAATGTTATTTGGGCATCACGTCCTGTTGTACATGATCTTTCAAACCCACTTCCACATCTTGGGAGCTCTTGTACGGGTCACACGATTGACTAACTAGAGAACTGTTTGCTCAGATGGTAAAAGCTTAAATCCTCGTTTTGAAACCAGGGTTTTCCTCTTCATAAAAAGCACCATTACCGTGTGTTCATACTCATGGAAAGTCAGAAGGAAATGAGTAACAACTAAGGCTCAAGCGATAAGTATAGGGAACTGCAGACTCGCCAGGCTTTCATCGATCTACTTTGTGGCCCTGTATACATATCAAAGAAGCACAATGGCCTCGATTGGTTAGGCAGGTTTTGGAGGAATTTATATTGTACAATAACGACGGCTCAAAGAGTTGTCGAGAAAGATGATATCTATATTCCCTTCAAATACCACTGCTTGAGCTTCTTGATAAAGCAGCTTTCAGGACATCCCATGCTCCCTCAACAAGCCTCAACAATGAACATGTCGTTGGCATCAGATGCTCAGACGACACATCCATATCAGTAAGGAGTGAGAGTGCTGCCAATGGTGTCCAAACGTTCATTACTTCGACTCCCATGATCGTACATTCCTATTCATACATTCAATCTTACAATTCATTATTGCGCCTGTCCTTTAGGCCCCGACACATGCGACAGAACCTCCGGCCCGCTCAGCTTGCCCAGCAAACCACGCTCGAGCCCCAACCGCTCCTCAATCCCAGCCAGCGGGACTCCCGAGTCGCGCATTCGGATCGCATCAATCAGCGTGCGCATGTCGACGAACCGCCTGCCCTGGAGGTTTCCACTCCGCTGCGTCGGGTCCAGCTCGGCCTCGGCCTGTTTTTGCAGCCGCCGCCTCGCGTCGAGCGCGGAGAGCGTCGTGTTACTGGTCGAGGGCGCGAAGAGGGGTGCGAGAGGAGCGGTAGGCCCGTTGGGCTCGAGGGGGCGCGGCGGCGGTGGCGGGCCATGTTTGCGCGCGGCTCGAGAGGAGGGGGAGAAGGTCGGGTTGGGCTGTACTACGCCCATCTGGTGTAATCGTGCGGAGAAGTCGCCGGGGGCGGCGTCGGGATCGATCTCTTTGGGGGGTGCTGCGGTGGTCGAGATGTGTTAGCAAATTCAGAAGGAGGGATGGGCATTTTCTCAGGTTCTACTCACCGTCATCCTTGGGGCCAGCAGCAGCAGAGGGAGCTGGCTGTGGGCGACTGACGGCGGGACGAGTCACTGCCGCTTTTGAAGCTGTGGTTGGGTATTTGCGGGTGGCTGTACGAGCAGCCTTGGATGATCCTGCGCCCATGATGGTGGTGGGCAGGACGCCTTGTGGTCGAGTTCGTCGTCGGTCGGTCGGATGAGGTAACAGGTAATGAGGCCAATTCCTATGATGGGTTTTTCTCAGGCTTGTCAATTAGCAGGGCTGATTCCGCAGGCCGGCCAAATATGTGTGGAATGGCAGTGGCAAAGCTTCTAATATAATTCTATAAAGTCAGAGTGATCGACTTCATCCCACCAAGAAATTATTTCACCACCGCCCACGCAATCTACCTACCCTATAGTTTTCCTCACCAAACCTCGCCCAATGGAATGATTTGTCCTGTCTCGTTTTTCAACAATGGAAGCTTTAATAAAAAATTGATTACATTGTTGCCTTAAGCCTAGGAAAAAAGGGCAAGACTTATTTGATGACGCAAGAAAAATACCTTGTTGATGAGTACTTAGGAGCGAAACATAACCACTTGTGACCAACAGTCAAAGCAAATGCGCGAGGTCAAGATCATTAATAAAAGCTACCAAGTTGACATTCTAAAATGCGTGACAATAATAAAACTCGAGGACTATTCAGCTTCACCCCTTTTTCATTCTCATTACGCCTTTTTGATATCAGCAAGCAAGCACAAATAAATGAGTGTCCGTTCATCTCTCGCGCAAAGCATCCGAACCAATTCATCATTCCAATTCGTAAATCATGAAGGTCATACTCGAACCTGAGTCTAAAACGTCAACAGCCTCCAGGTTGGATATCAATTCGTTAATACCCTTGAGAATCTAGTTCCACATGGGATCATCACCAAGAAGTGGCGATGTAGTCAGCTTCTGAGACCGGCACTGGAGAATGGACTCCCTATCCGCAGGCGGCATCTAGGCGCGCGGGGTGACGAGAGTAGTCTCGGAGGCCTTGAATCCCTTAAAAGAGCCGTCGGCGCTACCCACGGGCTCACCGCTCAGCTGCTGGGGCCTCTCCTCGAGGCGGGCGCCGTCAGAGTTGCGGATCCAGGCGAACCGGCCCTTTCGGTCGCATCGTCGGTTGGCAATTCTGCCCGCCTCGCGACTCTTGGATCGGATCATGTAGATAGCGTCGCCGATTTCAAACGGGCCGGCGATGTCCTGAAGACTCAGATCGCGAGCCATGTCAAGCTGCCAATCCTCGCAGCCCGTGGTAGATAGGAGCATCGCGGCTGCAGGCGTCTTAGAGCCCTTTGCTGGGCGCTTCCAAACAGCTGCTGGGCCGTTGGGGTTTTTTGGCGGTGTGGCAGCTGCAGCCGAGGAAGCTGCAGCCTTTGGGGTAGCGGGGAGCTTTTTGGAATTTGCTGACTTGTTATTGTCATACCGACCAGCCTTGCTCACTCCAGCGGGCTTCTTTGGGATGGCTTCACGAGCCTTCTTTCCAATGGGCGTGGGAGTGGGTGGCGTGATGGGCGAGGAGGAAGCCTTAGGGCCATTTGCTTCAGTCTTGTTGACTGGCTTCTGGCCATTCTTGACGGGGAGTCCTTTCAAATTCGGTGGAGGTGCCATGTACGGCATCATGGGCGCAGAGACACCATGGGTTTGCTGCCATTTGACCATTCCAGGAAGAACAGCTGGCTGGACCAGATGGCTCAGGGCCGCCATGTGGTGGTTTCCAGCTGAATTTCATTTTGTTAGTTTCTATTCAATGCTGAAGATTTCTGCTCGCTTCTGGGGAGGACATAACTTACCATACTGACCGCCATTGAAAGCCATGTTGACATGGGGGAATATGGGCATGGTTCGAGGAACAGATTGGGCTGCGGCTGGACGATTTGGGACCTGAATGCCAATCGTTAATTAGAATTTCACAAGGTTTGAAAAGGGCAAAGAATATCGAACCGTGAATGCTCCTGCGGCGGCCATGTTGGCGGCGCGAAACTTGGCTTGCAACATTATGAGAGTGGCTGTCGAATACGATCGTGATATTGGGATTTCTTGTCCACAAATCAGATGAAGATATAGGACTTGGGTGCGTAGATGAAGATGCGGTTGGGAATCAAGATGAATATCGAGTGTTGGTTTCAATGGAAGAAGTACGATGATGGGTTTGCTAGATGGACAAGCAGAATAGGTTTGAAGAAATTGAAAAGAAATTGAAAGGAACCAAGGATGGGAGCAGTGTCCAAGTTCCCAGCCACCGGACAGGAGCCTGTTCACGTGCAGAGACGAGCAAACCTAATACGAGAGTGAATACACTCCGTAAAGTTGGAGAGAATCCTAAATCCAGTGTCCAACATGATTGCCATTCGGACCTCTGACGCTCCACGCACAACTGGAAATCGGACTTGATTTTTGAAAACAGTAGAATTCAGACTGTTGGCTATCATTCAAACCCCTTGAATCCATATTTCGATGAGATTTTGCCTTGTCGAGAGGCTTCTTGCTTGAAACCAAATCGTCGTCGACGACCAGATGTTTCGATGCGAGCCCATCAAATTGGTGTTTCGCTGCCTCAGTGGTCCGTGCACAAGAAGGTGGTCGCAAAAGTGGGGCACCCAACCACTCGCTTGCCACCGGTCCGTCATTTTTTTTTCGTTTCTCGCCTTTTGTCTCGCAGTTACTAAGGCCATATGACCAGTAATTGCTGGACGGGCTTGTCACTTGGAAGAGAGAAAATGGTTTGCGCAGTATGGGAGCAAGAAGTGAGGCCGAAGCTTGTTGAAAATTTGGATTTCAGAAAGCAGATATCTCAAACGACGCTGGCCGCCAAGACTCACCGTATTCCTCTATATCACTAATGAGGTCCCTCTATCCTTGACGCGAGTTACCTTAGGCGAAAGAGAAATATGCCTGAGGATCTACTGCTGTGACTTCCGTCTGAAGGAAGCGAGAGCATCAGAGATCCAGACACTTTTTCTTTCGCTTGCCCCACATGTCGCTTTTACTTCGAACGAACAGTCTACCTGTGGGCAATCCGCGTCCTCGACCGCATTTGTCATTCACTGGCCAGACGTGCAGCCCTTTGATCTGACCAAGTAGGTAGGTAGCATGTTGCGAACATGACCTAGTGTGTCGTGCTCTTGGTGGACCCGAATCTGCAAGAGACGGCAGACTACGGCTCGTTTGAGGGAAGCGAGTTTCACTTCAATCCATCCCAAACTATGCAGATCACCAACGGATTGGCAAAGGCATAAGTATGGAGGCGCCTTTGATGATGAGCTAGCTGGCCATGATCGCAAGTGGGCAGCGAAAGGTACGTTTTGGGATATCGGGGCTTGCAACGCCTGCGCTTGAGTGTCTTTATGACTAAGACCTCACAAGTACCGGCGTCAGGGCTTTGGCCATTTTAGAAGTGTATTGAACCAATGAATATAAATATATTAGCATTGGCATCATCATCTCCTGCGTCGCTTGCTGGGCCTGGTGATCTCTTCTGCGGGATCAGATAGTTCTGGTTCTTCTTCAGCTTGCTCTTCCTCCTCCTCCTCCTCATCGGCGGAGCCATCATCGACAGACAAGACATCTTCGTCTCCGCTACCGCCCTCGCTTTGCGTTGTCAGAGTGCCACCAAAGGATGACTTCCTAGACAGCCCCTTGTCGGTATCGCTACCGAAGCCCTCAAACTCATCAATGCCTTCGCTGTCATCAGACTCGTCATCCTTCTCGGCAGCGAAAGAAGCTTCTTGTTGGAGTTGGGCATCTGCTGAGATCTCAGACTCGGGTAGGGTCTCCTCTCGGCTGCGCTTCTTTGGCATCTCTCCGAGCTTTCCTTCTCGGCCATTGACGCCTTCCTCTTCCTCCTCAGGGGTGTGTGGAGGTGGCGTGAACCAAGGAATCTTGCCTCTCATGAAGTCATTAAGCACCATCTTGGCAACTCCATCCAGATCAGGCTCGCCACCACGAAGAAGACGACCACCCTTTCGGGCGAGGAGTTCCAGAAACTCGGTGGCATTGGTCCAGTTGGTCAACTCATACGTCCTCTCCATGTGACGTCGCTTGACCCTCTCCAGAAGGGCGCCGATGTACTGCTCAGGGTTTTCAACCTTTTCCACACGAGCCACACCACGAAGAACGAGGTCGGTTGGGGTATCTTGGTTGGACGGAGGCACAACACCCGGGCAATCGATGAGGTAGATGCGCTTCATTAAGCTGACGTACTGCCACACCTTGGTTTCTCCAGGAATCGGGGCAACATTGCACACCTTCTTCTTCAGAAGAGTGTTGATAATGGATGATTTTCCAGTGTTGGGTCCACCGATCAAACCAACTGAGATCTGCTTCCTGTCTGAATGGAGGCTTGAGAATTGTCTGAGGAGTGCAATGAGCGATCCCTTTCCAAACGAGTTGGTGATACTGGCGTGGAAGGCGAGTGTGGGATACTCTCTAGAAAGATGTCGGACCCAGGCAGCCTGTTGGTATGGTCAGCACAAGTTCACGACTATTCAAATGGTGAAATCAAGGTGACCAAAGAAAATGATGTTTAAAGGGAAAATGTTCTTGTCGCAACTAAGAAGTATGCCACGAAATGCTCCAACAAGAGAGCAGACAGACTTCAACTCAATCAGACAAAAAGTTACATCTCGTGACCGTTGCCAAAACGGCGTCGATCTACCAAGAGCAAGCTCAAGGCGGGTGAGATCACGATTAATCTTCCAATAGTGTAACAGACGTTCTCCACGAAGGAAAAAAAGAAGACGTCCTGACAAAGACTATTGGGACAGGGAAGGATGGGATAACGAGGTTGCGATAGTAAGAGAGAGAGAGAGAAATAAACTTACAGCAACACCAGTGGGAACGAGATCACACTTGTTCAGAACGAAGATGAGATGCTTGTGTGGAGCCTCCTCCTTGAGGTACTTCTCAATGCCCCTGCATCTTGTGCCGATTGGATCTCTGGCATCCAGAACATGAATGACAACATCGGAAGAGTCAATGACCTTGTAAAGCTCGTTCCAGATTCGTTTGCTCTGGCCCTTGTCAAAGACGGGCTCGATGGCTAATGTGAGTGCGCCATCTGTTTCACCATCCTGGTTGGCGTCGCCAGATGTGCCACTGAGAAGCTTGGCCTGCTCGAGGCGATCGCGGTACGAGTCCATGCTCTTCTCAGTGTCATCGGCCAAGTCTCCGAGAGTGCTAGCACCAAGCTTAACTCGCTTTCGCTGCGCCTTGGGTCCAAAGATCGACGAGTAAGGTTGGGTCGCCACGGCCATCTTGGCCTCGTGCTCCTTGAGGCCTTTCCCTCCATTGTTATCTCGGATCAAGCTCATGGGAAGCTTGTTCTGCTTGAGAAGAACCTGGTACGGATCGTTGGCCTTCTCGGCCATCGCCTCACGAAAGGACTTGAGGGTCTCTTGGGACACGACTCGGGTGTTGTTGAACCACTTGCGGTTCGGCTCGATGCGCGCATTGGGAACTTCCCTCGACTGGTAGATGGCAGCCTTGGTAATCTCGCCGTCTGCATTGCGCTGCTCCTTGCCACTCGTGTACTTCTTCACCGCCTTGACCTTCTTCGCATCGCTGACATGGTATTAGTATTTACTCGAGGCAAGAACGAAGGATGCGGTTTGTTCGTACCGATAGAAGTTCTCTCCCTTGACTCTGACATTGCCAAGGCCGTCGCCAGTCTTCCCTTGGCGCACCCTTCGGGTGGCCTCTTTCTTTCCGGTGCCCATGATTGTTGTGTTTGAGTGCACCAGGAAAGATGAGGAGGAAGTGTTTGGGAAAGGTCGGAGGCTGGATATTTTTTTTTTGAGCTGCGACTTGTAAGTGCCCCACCCAACTTTTTTTCCTTCTTATCTTGGCTTATCGGAGACCAGCCGTGCCGGGGACACGGCGTTAGATAATCCGTCCCAGCTTCAATTGATGCAACAATTTTCATGGGTCATCTCAATTGATGCCATGTACCTACTCGAATAGCCCAGCCCAACGTCGTCGAGCTGGTCTTTTGAAAGCGATTCTTTTGGGTCTGAGCACTTCGCCCAAACGGCGAATCTCTACCAAAAATGTCTTTCAACGCAACGTCGCTGCGGCCTCTGGCAAGGCAACCACTCTCTGTGGTCCGATGCTTCTCGACCACCGCCCAGAGATGCTTCATACCTCCCGACTCACCCTCCTACATCCGACTCCCGACTCCGCCACAAAATGAAGAGAAGAAGGTCGAGCGTGTACGAGGTTTTCTGCCGGTCCCCCGCCAGATCTTCCACAAGAGCGACGGTGACCGCAAAACGCAGCCGGAGTACCTGGAAGAAACCGCCCCGCGCGCCAGCTGGTCGAGAAACAGCAACAAGCACCAAAAGTGGCGGAGCAAAATGGCCGATTCCCGCCGCTCCAACCTCGAGACCGGTCTGAAATCCCTCTGGAACCGGCACAGCGCGAGGGAGACGAGGCAGAAGTTCCGCTCCGAGCAGAAGAACAAGCGGCACATCGAGGCCGCCCAGGCCCCCGAGCGCGAGGACGACCGGCTCACGCGCGGGTCCGTCTTCGAGTCGCTCCTGGACACCAAGGTCCGCTCTGACCCCAACCGCTTCGCCCTCGCCGACCAGCGCCGGCAGGAGATCCAGGTGGCGGAGACGGCGAAGAAGGAGGCCCGGCGCGATGCACTGATGGAGCTTTACATCAACGCCTCCAACTTCATCACGACCGAGGCCCAGTTGAAGGAGGAGATTGAGACGGTGTTCAGTGACGACTACTTCAAGAGCAAGATGGGTGGCTTGTGGGGTGCTGAGAACGCATGGGGTATTCACGGCGCTCCTCTGTCCTTCGGAGAGATGTTGGCCACGAGCAGAAAGATGTCGAACAAGCTGATTGATGTCACGGAATCTGAATACGACCGTTCTGTCAAGCGACAGAAGAAGATTGCCGAAGAATTCACTGGTGGAAAGATGGAGTAAGCATTGGGCGAGCTTGCAATTGTACATGTACATTACTGTTCTTATATTATGCCCACCCTTCGAAACATGTAGCATATGATGGCTCGAGTGTAATTGAGATGAAATGATCTACTTCAGGTGCACTAGGAATGTACACAAGGAAGAGAGCGCTGTTAAAAAAACAATCATAATTTCTCAACATTTCTATTTGGGAATACTCGGCAGCTGGAGAAATATCCAACTGTAGGCAAAGGAAAGCTAAGGAAAATCAGCGCCAAACCGAAACGCCAGAAAATATGACAACAGCCATGTTTAACCCATCCAGTAATCAGTATATGCGTATATATGTCGGTATATGCAGGCTCCTTCAAAAGCTTGGCTTCCACCTCCACTATCTGATCCGTCTCGTCTCTTGCGGGCTAAAAAAGAAATCCATGAAACAGAATGAAATCGGCTTGCGGGTCTAATTGCATGTCTTAACGCCTCTCAACTAGTAGTACATGCATGGCAACATAAGCCAAGATGATAAACATGGCAGCAAATATGCCCAGGTTTCTAATATCAGACCAGAGAGCGCTGTTTTCGAAACCAAAAGAGCTGAGAATAGCCGCTCCAGGTACGGTAATATCGAGGCCGTACTTCTTATCTATGAGTGTAAGTTGAAGCACCTCGTTGACAATGAGCGACTCGAAAGCATAATGGAAGATGGATAGCGATTGCAGCCAGATTGCGCTCTTGGGCGTTGCGTCATGGTTGAGGAGGAATCCAGCAAAGAGCAAGCTGAAAAGCATCACAAGACTTCCAATCAAGCTAGCAACACCGCCATCCTTGCAAACAATGCCAATAAACAGGCAGATTGCAGCTGCGGCAAGGTTGAACAAAACCAAAACCAGCATGAACTTGAAAAAGTGATCAGAGTCAGCCACCAGGCCGGTCATTGGGTAAACGATCGAGCCCATCAAAATGGGAGGGATGATTCGGAGTGGGATGATGTCGAATAGAACCTTGGCGGCAAAATATGTTGCTGGAGCATAATACCCGTTGGCTCGCTCGCGGACGAACAAGAGTCTCTCAGAAGCAAAAACGTTCAGACTGGTCAGAGTACTGAACCCAAAGAGGGCCAACAGGAAGAAGAACAGACCCAGTCGATTTTGGAAGCCGGGAATATCATCAGTCAAGCCGTAGAAGAGGTAACCGGAGAAAACAGCCAACACAATCGCAATAGCATAGTGTGTCAACATAAGCATCGGGTTTCGGTAGAGATTCTTCCAGGTCCTGTTCGACAGAATGATGAATTGGCGAGCGTATCCGATCCGCTGGTACCCCTTTCCAATACCAACACTAGCACCCTGGCCATCCGCTGCCCCGTTATTGCCATTGGGCCCATTGCTATGCGTCGAAGACTCAACAGACTGGCGAATTTCCTCATTGGTTGCGGCGGCGATGTCTGAGTGGGTGAAGGCGCTGGTAATCACGTCGAGATCCGTTGCAGCAACAGCGGAGGGAGGCAGGTCGTGGGCATCATCTGCCAGTTGGTTAACTATCGAGGTGCCGGGATTTTGTTGCAGCCTAAAGCCCTGATCATCACCACCGGCCTCCGAGGAAGCTGCTGTGTCGACAGTTCGTCGGCGAGTAAATAGCTCGCGTTCCTGGCGCTGCTTAATCGAGTTTTTACGCCAGTTATTGGGGCGAGAAGTTGTCACAGAATCCGCATTGGCCTCGCCAGTCGTGCTACCAGAGATGCTTGCAATTGATTTGACAGCTCTTGTGCTGCTGGGACCCAAGCTTGAGACATCCGTTGGCACGGTCCCATCGTCAACCAGCTGCATATTACCAGCGTGCATCGTCAAATCAACGAGATAGTCTGCAATATTGAATCCACTAGGGCATTCATAGCCAAGAGAGTCAAAATATGGCTGGCATTGGTTGAAAGGACCAGAAAAGACAGTCTTGCCTCGAGCAAGAAGAATGAGTCGGTCGAAGAGGGCAGCGATGTTAGACCGGGGTTGGTGGATCGTAAAGATGACGGTTCGTTTGTATGATTGGGCCAGAGTGACTAGACATTCAATAACATTGAAAGCATTGAAAGCATCAAGGCCACTGGTTGGTTCGTCAAGGAATAAAATCGATGGACTGGTAACGAGTTCGCAGGCAATACCGACTCGTCGCTTCTCGCCTCCAGAAATGCCCCTGCCCTTGCCCTCTTCGGAACCGATGAGAGAGTTGCGGATGTGGTAGATTCCAAGCTCCTTCTCCACCTCGTACACCCTCTGCTCCTTGGCCATGCGGCTCATATGACGAGGGAGACGGAGAAGGGCGCTGTTCAGGATAGTTTCGTGAACGGTGAGGGTTGGCAGCATTGTATCTTCCTGGTCCACGAATCCAACCAGAGTTTTGTAGACAGCATCAGGGACCTTTTCACCATTGACATAGAACTGGCCACCAACCTGGCCACGTTTATTCTTCCGTGCCAAGATGTCCAAAAACGTCGTCTTCCCAGCGCCAGATGCCCCCATGATGGCAGTCACCTCGCCAGGGCGGCATATTCCCTGAATACCACTCAAGATAGATTTTCCGTTTAGTGTGTAGGTGATATCCTGAAACTGGAGAGCGACCGGCTTGTGATCGATCATGAGCTTCGTAGTTTCGTCATCCGAGTCTTCTAATCGAATAGCACCATACTTCAGCTTTCTGCGAGACAGATACCATGTAATGATGATCACGGCAACCACAAAGAGGCCACTTGCAGCAATGACGCCGGCAATCAGAGGGGTATTTATCTGCTTAACTGGCCGCTTGTACCCTGGCACCTCAGTCTCATAAAGACATTCGCCGGCCTGGCAGTTGAGCAAGATGCTTGAATCACCAATCAAGGCTGAGATCAGCTTATTCATTTCGGGTTCGTTAAAGGCACAGTTGTGAATGCCTCCATCCTTTTGGGAGCAGTCGAAGCCACCTGGGCCTCGGATAGCCTGGTCGAGAAAGTCAGATAGATCAATAGAGCCGTCTTTACCACACAGCATATGACCCGGGATGCAGCTGCAAGTAATGTGGTCGCAACTATATGAAGTTGTGTTCTTGCTTTCCTCGAAGTTGGCGGTCGAGTCGCAGTCCGATAAGTGGCAATAAAACGATTCGACGGCATCCACCCAAACTGAGTATTGTGTCAGTAACAAGTACACAACTAGCAACGTGAATCCCGGTGTGGCTGGACTTACATTGAAAGTCGCAGGTAGAGTCTTCCTCCTTGCAGGTAAATGTGACTTCGGGGCGCTGCTCTCCCAAAAGGTCGGTGATCTTCTGGTTGGTGACGTCGCAGATTTGATAGTTGTGCTTCACGACCTCACCGTTCTGGTAGCAAACACCCCCAGAGCCGGTTTCCATTAACGCATTGCAGGCCTTGTTGTCGGTACAGACGTTGCAGTTGATTCCGGTCCAGCCCTCGTCGCACTGACAGTTGCTGTCACCATTGCGCATTGGTCGATCCTTGCCTCGGCCAAGTGAACCACACACTAACGGGAGGATCAAGGGTCAGCCTCTCATGTTATCTCACTCGCTCGCGCGTCATGTATCCAAGAACTCACAGGGCTCAAGACAATCGTCGCCGCCAAACCCCTCAGGACAGTCGCATTTGCCGTTGAACTCGTTGCAGCCAGCATATTGTGCGCAAGTATGGGCGGGGAGCAGACAGTTGAAACTAAACAAGGACAAACACGGTCAGTCAATGAATAATGTGATCTAGGCTTAGATGTAGATAATGCTCACCAGGGAGGGCATTCGGAGGGCCGTCCATCGAGAAGTGATGCTTGGACACGCAGCATCTCGGCTTGCGAATAAGTTGAGTTACCGCTGGAAGCTCCCGCCAGGAGAGGCAAGAGAGCTCCTGCCGCAGCAACGAGGCTCCCTAACCGAAGGATAGCCATGGCAGTCAGATCACAAGTGCGACGGCGCACTGGCTGCAAGATGCGACGACTGATGGTTGAGTCGATGATGGCAATGACAGCTCGAGATCGGGTGTAGGTTGCATCGAGGACGATGACGATGGGCGAGGTACAAGTATGTTCCACCTCGGGCCCGGAGTTTAATGATTGCGGTTGGCTGGGAGGCGGCTAGGCAGATGCCGACTACCTGAAAGTTACTTTCCCCTCGGGCAACAGCCACATGGCCGCTTACGTACACATCTGGTACCTTACACTCCGGTACCTTACACCTTAGCTGCAGTGAATACCAAGCTGCAGCCAATCAAGCCAGTGCACTCTGCATTTAGCCGTCCCCGCATGACGGTCGCTGGTCGGCAAGATCCCAGGCTCTTGATCACGAGAATACATGGACCTGAATGGTTGAAGCATATCGGAGCAGAGCTCTGCTGACGATTGTGCTGGTCAAATGACAAGGCCTTCTGACACCTCTGGCGTGCTATCTGTCAACCTATCGCCTCGCTTCTGAATCAACGTGCCAAACTATTGGAATCAGCGTATACCAGACTTGCACAAATGGCTGGCCAAAGGCTGAAGGTACCAGGACGCAGTAGCAATCGCTAGATCTAGGAGTGTTGAGCTCTTGCATGAACGTTTCAAATCGGGTCTGGTCGCCGTCAGAATCCAGGCACCAGGGCATGCGGACTCCGGACGACCGCCCGAGGACTGGAAGGCTACTGGAGGTACCTTACTCAGGTAGGCTGTAGGTAGGACAATCTCCCCAGCGTGATTGGCGACTAACTTCGGGGTACGGCAGGTATCCATATTTCAGTCTCTTCGAGAACAAGCAACGTAGTAATGGATTTCTAGGGTCTTTTGTATCTGTATTGCCTCAGCATTGAGACGGCATTTGAAATAAGCAGGACAAGGACTAACCCCAGGGTCTATTTGGGATAGTGTTAGTTTTCGGCAAGTCGTCCATCCACGCAATCCGGCCAAGCAAATGGGTCCCTGCTAGCTTGTGTTGGCCAGGAAGGCTGCTCTGGGCATTGAACGCGTGTTCCCTCTGAGACTTGCGCCGTCTTAGCGTCGTATCACGCTTCCCGTGGTTCCAGCTAGACTCTTGGCCGACTGTCAGACAGTGAGCAGCCCTGATGGGAAATCCATCCCTCCACTGCCTAGTCGCCAAGAGAGAAGCCCTCAGGGCTGTCCGCGGCAGCCTTCAGCAGCACCTTGGCACGCGGCTAGGGGTTTTTTCTGAATCCGCCCCCCAAAGAACCCCCCGAGTGAAGTGGATCACGTCCCAACTAGGAAAGCTCATGACGACGCTTCCTTCCATCACTCTTGGCCTTTTCAATAATTCTCCTCGCTCATGTCTCTTTTCGCATTTGTCGGTTTCTTCCATCTTTCCCTCCTCGGGCTGCGTCCGCCGTGATGTAGACCGTTCCCTGCGTTTCTGCGTCGATGCTCACCATATCTTGTATTTCTTCTCGTCCATCTCATCTCACCATTCGTCTTGGTGATTGCTTCACCTCTACCTAATTCAATACACCAACTGTCATTACCGAATAATATACTACATGCACTGATCTCGGCTTTTTCCCTGGCTCCCACGCTCAAGAACTCATCCTCAACGCTTTCCACACATGCTCTCAACGCCCACTTACATGTCCAGATGCTTAATCTCGCTATCGCCAGTGGTACGAATTACCGGCAAACTCCTACGCCTGAGAACCGGTCTTACTTCTCTTAGCCCTTTCTAATAGCGGTTACGGAGACCTAGGCATTGACTGGTCTTGCGAATGCAGGATGAAAAAACGGCTAGGATATCTCGGGTTGGTGCCGGCGCTGACCCTAACGGCCATGGCGCAAGTTGTCACCTGGGATATTGAGAAACGGGCAACAGGAGGATCACTGCAGCGCAGGTCGAAATCTGCCTTTGAGGAGATCATCCTCAATGAGAAAGGAAGGGGAGGCTACTTTGCCACAGTCCAAATTGGTAGTCCTGGTCAAAACATGACTATGCAATTGGATACCGGCAGTAGCGATGTTTGGATACCACACTGTGATGCAACAGTTTGCAAGTCTGGTTTATGCATGCTAGGTTCATGTGCGTTTTTCTTCACCCATGAAAATCATGAAGCTTGTGTGGGCTTCCTTTCGTGCTGACATGGTGGTTTATAGTCAACTCCAGCAGCTCTAAAACATTTTATGAGATTGGGGAGGACGAGTTTTACGTGTCCTATATTGACGACAAGTATGCCTCGGGCGATTACTTCAAAGATAGGTTCCAAATAGGCGGCAATGATGTTCAGAACCTTACAATGGGACTCGGTTTAAAAACTGATATCACCTATGGCCTGGTTGGGGTTGGATATGCCACCAATGAAGCGTCGAAGGCGAGCAAAGACTCTCCCTACGCTAATCTCCCCGTTGCCATGGAACAGAACGGATTGATCAACTCCATAGCCTACAGCCTTTGGCTCAATGATCTGGATGCGAACACCGGCAACATTCTTTTTGGTGGCGTCGATATGGGCAAGTTCGACGGCCCACTAACTAAAATCGATGTTATACTCGACGAGGACGCTGATAAGTATACCGAATTCATTGTCCTCATGTCGTCTCTCACAGCCACGAGCCCCAGCGGGACTGATGTTCTCGCCACATCTGAAAGTGCCATCGAAGTGCTCCTGGACTCAGGCTCTACCTTGAGCTACCTTCCCACTGAGCTGGCACAGGCGATATGGAAAGAGGTTGGAGCGAAGTATCAAGTGTCCTTAGGGATGGCTATCCTCCCATGCTCCCACAGTGCCCACCCGGGCCACTTCTCATTTGGTTTCGCGGGAGATGGCGGCCCTACGATCAATGTCACAATGGATGAGTTGGTCATTGATCTGACGAATGGGGATCCACCTTTACTCACTTCCGGTCCTTACGCAGGCGAGTACCTTTGCGCCTTTGGGATCCAGAACTACACAACAGGAACGTATGTACTTGGCGATACTTTTCTACGGTCTGCTTACGTGGTATACGACCTGGAAAATAATCAGATAGGTCTTGCGCCCACGAAATTCAACTCAACCGAGACCAACATTGTACCGTTCCCAAGTAAAGGCGCCTCAATTCCAGGGGCCACCGCTGCTCCGGTCACTTCAACTACCAGCCCCATAGACTCGGTGGTGGATTTCCCGATGGCTGAAACAACCAACTTGAAAGCGGCGGACGGCTTTCAAGACGGAGACAGCCCAGAAGAGAGCTCCGTTTTGGGGAAAGCCAATATGCTTCCCATCTTGCTCCCTTTGAGCATCTCACTGGCCAGTGCTGTTCTTCTCAGTGTCAGGCTGCTGTAGACTGGGTCGCTGCGCTGCGAGGATTCGACATCTTCCTCCTGCCTAGACCAAATGAGGATAGGCAAGAAAAAGGCGTTTGGGATATGTTTAGAGGTATTGGGCCAATTAGTTTAGGTTTAGATATACCACGAGGCAAGGTGTTTTTGGAGTCTTGGCTTTTTTTGGGTAAGATCGCCCTGAATATTGAAACGAAGGTTATTCAGAGATGAAGGAATGTATTCAAGCCCTTGATAGAAACATATACCAGTATATAAACCAACCTTATTTTACATAATTTCATCCAAGAATGCCTGCATTTCATCCTCGATGTGATTGGTGCATGATTCAGGCCATTATTATTAATAGTCCTTGCATGAATGGTTCGGGACACGGCGAGAGGCGGGAGTGCGATTAGAGTCTTATCGGCGGCGGATTTTTCCGGCACCCAAGTGGGAGCATGGAAAAAAAAGATTGCCGTCAGCGCAATTGGCCGACGAGTGCTAGACAAGTTAAGAGATCCTCCTCAGCGTGCTTTCGACAGCAATCATGAGGGGATTAGGGGCAATCAGATGGCTTGATTGCCGTCTGATAGGAAGCCTCTCAGTTCGCGATGCCAATCCCACAATTGGTTCGTGGGCAGCTGGCGGCCGACGAGCATTCAGCCAGACTTCGCCTACTGCCAGCGCTGCTCAAGAAGCGTACGTGCTTCAATCCCCGCCTTCACACCTCCATGCTGGACTTTTACTGATGAATTGGTTGCTTTTAGATTGAAGAAGGCCCAGACCGATGCCTCCAGTCTTACCCCCGAATATGTGGCTGCCAACATGAATCCAGCCGAGAAGGCCAGGCTCTCCAAGGTTCGCAACATTGGTATTGCTGTAAGTCGACGACGCTCCTTTTCCAATATGGTACAGCGCTGATGCCCAGGGATTTAGGCACACATCGACAGTGGCAAGACTACGGTTACTGAGCGAGTTCTGTTCTACACCGGCCGAATCAAGGCGATCCACGAGGTTCGAGGCAAAGATTCGGTTGGCGCCAAGATGGACTCTATGGATCTGGAAAGGGAAAAGGGTATTACAATTCAATCTGCTGCCACTTTCTGCGACTGGCAGAAGCAAGAAGACGGAAAAGAGGAAACCTACCACATCAATCTTATCGACACTCCCGGCCATATCGACTTCACCATCGAGGTTGAGCGCGCTCTCCGCGTTCTCGATGGTGCCGTCATGATTCTCTGTGCTGTCAGCGGCGTCCAGTCCCAGACCATCACCGTCGACCGACAGATGAAACGCTACAATGTCCCCCGTATCTCCTTTATCAACAAGATGGACCGCATGGGCGCCAACCCCTGGAAAGCCGTGGAACAAATCAACCAGAAGCTCAAGATCCCTGCCGCTGCTATCCAAATCCCAATTGGTCTCGAGGACGAGCATGAGGGTGTCGTTGATCTGATCGAAATGAAGGCTATGTACTTTGAAGGCCCTCGTGGTGTCAAGGTCCGTGTGGTCAATCAGGTCCCTCCTACCCTCGTGGAACTCGCCAACGAGAAGCGCCAGGCTCTGATTGAGAAGCTCGCTGATGTCGATGATGAAATTGCCGAACTGTTCCTTGAGGAGCTCGAACCTACCAACGAACAGATCAAGGCTGCCATCCGAAGGTCCACTATTGCCC